CTCATTTTGAGACACTGAAAAATAAATTTATAACTTTGGCACGGGGGTATTTTCCGAGGGCCACCTACGGTTGAAATGGCGATTCCCTTAAGTTGGAGTTAGTCTGAGCCTGGTTCTATATGTTAATTTTGTTTGATATGTTTCTGTTATCTATCCTTTGCTACTGTTTTCATTTAATAATTGATATTTAATGGATTAAAATGAATTAAACGTTATTAGATTTTATACATTCGTCTTTTATTTCTTGTCATGTATAGGAATTATTCAATCACCTCCCTCTGGCACAAGTTTTACATTTCTACCTGGAGAAACACACAATATAACGTGGACATTTAATGATAGTGAAAATGATTTGGACAGTAGAAATTGGTATTTCACTGGTAGTAGTAATGGTTTACCACAAACACTTTTGGCCTTTGTCTTTGAGAACTCTATTGTACTAAAGTCCATTAGTGCACAAATTCTTCTAAATTGTGACGTCTACAAACCTTCAACGCTGCAATTAAGAAATATCGCTCATAGTTATGATGGAACATATGAGTTTCGATTAGCAAGAAAGGGCAGTACGTTATCTCCTTTTATATCTAAAGTCAGAGTTTTTGTTGCAAGTAAGTCATCCCTATTTTTATTAGCTATTTAACATTTTCATCAGTTTTAGAAATTTATGCTACTCATTTGAAAATTAACCAAATTACAGTATGTTTTATGTTGACCATTTTTGACCATTCTTTCTGTCTGAGGATGACTTTGAAATAAAGTCGAAAATTTACAGTTTACTTCTTGTCTTGTTTTGATTCATATTTTGTAATCTCAAGATGTCTTGTTTCTTCGGAATTTGTTTTATATTATACGTTTGCGTTTACAAGTTTTTTATTTACTTGAAGATTAGAAATATTTTTTAACATTTGTTTCCAGCCAATCATTTTTTGCGATGTTATGGACATTATCTAAAGATTTTCTAAATGACCTATGGAATCGTCAAAACCAGTTATGTTTGTATCATCAGCAAACAATCGATGTTTTGTTTTGATGGACATTTTTGATGTCTAAAGCGAGAGTTTTATTGCAACTTTGTCTATTTTTGTGTTTTGCATTTTACCATTTTTAGAAATTTATACTTCACATTTGACAATTAATAAAACTACAATATGATTTATATCAAAAATTTTATATGAACGAGAATTCTTTTGACAGTAAACATCTTTTTGATAGCCTATAACGATGTAATCAACGTGATGAGAGTTGTTCCTTTCTGTTACTCGATTACTCCAATTTTCCCGATTATACTGCAATTTGTCTTCCTATTTTTAGTGAAACCAACTATTATCATGACTAATTTAAGTGAAGAATATTTTTTGCTTTTAACTTCAGTGAAACCAAATGTGGTAATTTATTGTTCAAATCCTTTGGTTGTGAATGAAGGTGATAATGTATCATGTGTATGTAGAGGTGAAGGAGGTAACCCTCCTGCTAATGTCACATGGTTTGATAAAGATAACAACATAATTGGTGATGTTGGAGTTGTAAATAAGACATTAGTAATCACTAATGCTACAGTGAATGATGGTGCAAATTACAGATGTAAAGCACAGAGTTATAATGATCCACGTTTTAGAGATGAAAAATCTATTGAAGTAACAGTGAAAGCTACTTGTAAGTTTGTAAGACAACATTTCAGACCTCATTATAAACGTTTGTGTAGAATATTGAATTTAATTTTATACTTTAAAGATCCACCACAACAAACCAATATTACCATCAGTCCAATGTCAGTAAAAAAGGTCAAAAAGTGATAATAACCTGTGAATCAGTTGGTTATCCTGAACCAATCTACACTATTTATCATAATGGTTCAGTTATCATGCAGTAATAATAAGACATACATCATTCAATCTGTCAACTTCAATCACCAAGGTTCATATCGTTGTGAAGCAAAGAATAAACTGGGAAATGATTTATCTGATGTTAAAAATCTTACTGTCATGAAAGGTAAAATTAAAAGCTGAAAAACCAGAATTTTCAGAGCACTAACCATGTTAACTCATGATTTTATTTTCAAAGATCATAAGCATTAAAATTCATCATTTAATTTTTTAGTAAAAATGGTAAAGACAAATTTAGTATTTTCGACTGTTACATTGATCACATTTCTTGGTCTTGCCAAAGGTATTTAACTTCAAATATCCATTTCTTTTTTTTACTTAAATGATTTTTGATGTATTTTTATTTGTTGTTGTAGTAATATTTAATTTGTTTACTTTTTATTCGCAATTTTTGAATAGAACCTGAATTAAAAACATCAATTACTTTTGTTATGTTAGTAGAAGATGTATTTTTTCTTGAACTATCTTTTTATCAGTCATAGATTTTAGCTAAATTTCAATTTCAGGAACAATAACATCTCCACCTGATGGTCAAAGATTTGTATTTTACCTGGATCTTCTCACAATATAACTTGGACATTAAATGATACTGAAAACATTAATTTATGGCTTTGGACTTTTACACCTCGTGGTTCATCTTCCTCTCAACAACTTGCAAGATTATTTCCTATTAGTGACAAACCTCAATATTCACCATCACCTTTAACATTTGAAGTTTTTAAACCTGGAACTTTGAGGCTGAAGAATGTAAATCAAATTTACAATGGTGAATTTACATTTACTATTTCAACTATTCCTCCTACTCCTCCATCAAAAGTAAATGTTTATATTGCTGGTAAGTTTTAATTATTTAATCTTTCTTGTATTGCATACATTGTTCTGAGTATTTAATAGGGGAAACTTGGCCTAAGAAATTTTGCCGAAGAAACGTTTATAACTGTTATTGTGTCGTTGCAAACTTTCTTTTTCGGAGTTGGACCTTTAGTACATTTGACATTGCTTCTGCAGCTCATGCAATTGTAACAATAAGTGGCAATAATGGAGACCCAAAATATGATACATCAGTCCTTAAGTCATTTGGTTTAAATGTTGAAGTTTTTAAACCTGCAACTCTAATGTTAAAGAATGTTACTCAAAGTTACATTGAAGTTTATAAATTTACCTAACTCTTGATCGTATTGACTCATTTGTAAACGTGTCTATTGCAAGTAAGTTGTATTTATTATTTTTAACTTAGCAGCGGGGTTATCCAAGCCTTTCATGTAATCTGAGCAACTGTAGCATTGGGCGTAATTATACGATATATGACCGCAGTCTGGAATCCTAAAGCCAAATTCTTGAGCCGTTGAGCGAAGACAAATGCGAAGACTTGTTTTGTTTTGTTTTAATTTAAAAAGGAAGTTGTAAGGCATCTTTTGATTTGAATAATCTATGTTAAAGTGCTTGTATCACAGATTTTACTACATTTGAGTATAGGACTAAGAATAAGTTATTGATACTACTTTCGACGTTTTGATACCACTTTCGACTTTTGTGGTATAAAATTTGATATCAATTGATCAACTGGTAATATCACTATTATGTCTCGCCGAACAAAGAACAGTCTATCCACGCTTATATGATTTCATAATATTACACTGCTAGTGTAAAAAAACTTCTCTCGACAAGAGCACAGTATGCGCATGCGAATTGTCACCAGTCTCTTGATTAGTAACTGTAGGGAGCTTCCTTTAGACAAGATCAACATCAGCTCCTTCATATGCAGTGCTTTGATTGAAGTCTTTCGCTAACAAGTGACTTTTCAAGGTTTACTGTCCGAGAAAGCCACCGAGTATTCGAATTCTTTACTGTAAGGATAGCTCACTTTTGGATTTATCATTGCAAATGCCATAATACCTAGAGACTCAATATATCCACCTTTTTCAAGCTATCCTGTCATGCCATTGTTTGTCGACCAAGGGTTTCTGGTGCCATATAAAAAGGAGAACCATGTAAGTTTCGTCTGTTCTCCATTTTACGAAGAACTATGTCCATGTTTGAACATCCAATAGTACTCAATCCAAAGTCAAATAGTTGGCATGAAATTGGCTTTAGATATCTATGGACTGTGTTCTCTCTGTACTGGTACTCAAGACCGTTCACAATGTCTTAAATCATGAAATGTCTTAAGTCTGCTTTTTGTCTAAAAACGACAGAGGCGCTATTTATCAAGCTTAATGATCGGGTCCTTTGTCGATAGAAACAGTTCATTTTTAAATTGGCTTTATTTTGATGAGGACTCGTTCTCCCACGCTTGACTAGTCATTATTAAAACAACTGCTATATAAATACAAGTATAAGTTGATTCACCTTTAACAGATAGCAGACGTTGATACCTGACAAGTTGTCTGCCGAAATTCATAGTGTCTTAAATTTCTAAAACAGTTCTTTTCCGAACTCTTAATTTTTTCTTGATTTTTTCTTTGTTTTTTCTGGTTAGTTTTTTTCTCGGTTTTATCTTGGGTTTCGTGTTTTTATTTGGTTTCAGTCCATTCACTATGGCAATTGTTCTCTTTAAGGCGATATTCAAATTTGTCACCACGACAAAGTCGCTGGTTTATTTATTATTGGATTATTTAGCGTAAACTATCAGCATTGTTTTCCATAGTTAACATGATTTTTAACTAAGCCTAAACAAACGCTTATAAAGAAACTCTGCATTTTCTACCCAGCTCCCCAGCATGGTGGAAAATGTCGAGTTAAAATTTCTCAATTGTAAACAAACACTCAGTACTCCGCACTCCAAATTTTCCACAATGCCATAAAAATAAGACAATTATGAGCTATTGGTTTGTTTTGTCATGAAAATATATTCTTATATATAATATTTTGGTTGAATTTGGCAAAGGAAATCCGTGTTTACGATTCAAATTTCAACCAAGATAGAGAATATCTTTGTACTTTACTCCTTGGGGATCGGCTGCAATTCACCTATAGTCAATAAAACTTATCGAAGTTATATATAATGTTGCTTTCCTAAATTCCTAATGGCGATTTTTATTTATCAATTACTTTTCACCTTATATTGATTTTCTTTATTTTGAAAATTGACTGAAATATTTCTGTTTTTGTTTTCAGTGAAACCAAATGCGACAATTGAATGTTCAACTCGTCTGGTTGTGAGTAAAGGTGATAATGTATCATGTGTATGTAGAGGTGAAGGAGGTAACCCTCCTGCTAATGTCACATGGTTTGATAAAGATAACAACATAATTGGTGATGTTGGAGTTGTAAATAAGACATTAGTAATTACTAATGTTACATTGAATGATGGTGGAACTTACAGATGCAAAGCACAAAGTTATAATGATCCACGTTTTAGAGATGAAAAATCTATTGAAATACAAGTAAAGCCTATATGTAAGTTTGTAAGACAGCATTTCAGATCTTATTATAAACGTTTACAGAATATTGAATTTTGTTAATTCTATACAGATCCACCACAACAAACCAGTATCACCATCAGTCCAATGTCAGTAAAAAAAGGTCAAAAAGTGATAATAACCTGTGAATCAGATGGTTATCCTGAACCAACCTACACTATTTATCATAATGGTGCAGTTATCAGTTATAAAAAGACATACATCATTCAATCTGTCAACTTCAATCACGCTGGTTCATATCGTTGTGAAGCAAGAAATAAACTGGGAAATGATTTTTCTGATGTTAAAAATCTTACTATCATCAAAGGTAAAATTAAAATTTCACTTCATCAATTTTTGGGCTAGTATTCTACCTTGTACATGAACAAATTACGACTGTTCAGTTTCATCCCATTTGTACACGATAGTACAAGATTGTGCTGAACAATGAAGATAGTTATATATTTTTCTTTGTTGGCGAGATTTAGATTCGTTGTGCTGAAAGACTACCACTGCCAATTATGATTGACTCTTAAGCCTACATCTCATATACCCCTTTTGCTGCCTGCTACGCTGACGTATGCATCTGTCGTCACCTAGCTGTTAACTTTGGCTATTGCATATCGTCATTAAATATGTTATCAAAAGCCTTAGACGACTATGATTTGTTTATAGTTCTTCGAAGACCAACGATAGTTGTTTAGGCTTCATAATAAGTCAATATTGTTTATATCTAGTCGGTCACGCCATATAGTTTCAAAATTTCAAAATTTATTATTAATATACATCTTGAAAGTTGAGTGATTATTGTTATTTTGTTGTTCTTTTCCAACATCAAAGTCTTTTTTACAAATGAAATTTTCATTGAGCAAATTGCTTAATAATGTAGTGGTTTAATGCAAAAATCTCATTGGATAGCAGTTTAGTGAAAAATTTGCACTAATTTGGACTTTTAGCGAGTGATGAGCGGGCTTCCTGCTGGCTTGTGACTGGTTAGGGCATCGATCCAACACTCCTAAGAAAATGCACCTAACACTGACGACTACTCTCATTATTAATTTTCTTTTTCTTAATTAAATTAAGAAAGGAATATTTTCTGTTTTTAATTTCAGTGAAACCAAATGTGGTAATTAATTGTTCAATACCTCTGGTTGTGAATGAAGGTGATAATGTATCATGTGTATGTAGAGGTGAAGGAGGTATCCCTCCTGCTAATGTCACATGGTTTGATAAAGATAACAACATACTTGGTGATGTTGGAGTTGTAAATAAGACATTAGTAATCACTAATGTTACATTGAATGATGGTGGAAATTACAGATGTAAAGCACAGAGTTATAATGATCCACGTTTTACAAATGAAAAATCTATTGAAGTAACAGTGAAAGCTACTTGTAAGTTTGTAAGACATCGCTCTTTTATAGCATTCTTTAGCTCTAGCCACACAATGCAATTAACATCTCGACCTTTTCCTTAGACTTAATGGAAATGTTCAATCAAAATGCTCCAATCTTGTTATCATATGTATATTAGTATTGTATACAAATGAAATCTTTTGATTTTTTCCATATTTTTAAGTTCTATGCTTCTTCTCTAGACAACGTTCTTTGTGATGACCAAAAAGAGAGAATAAAACAGTGCAAAACAGAATGGTACATTATTTTAATAACTTTAACATCTGGAATTATCGTTGGAATTTTGGTTTCTATTGTTTTTCAATATCGCCGACATTGCTTTTGTAAAAATTGTCAACAATTTCAATCTCCATCTGAAGTTAGGAAAAATTCTGTTGATACAACTTATCAAGAATTGGATTTATCAAAAATTAATAATAAAGAAGATAATTATCAATCATTGAGACCAAAGGATGACACAATTGATAAAACTTATCAAGAACTGTACATATCGAAAAGGAATATAGAAAATGATAATTATGAATCGTTGCAAAAAAAATAATGAATCGGAGTACGAGATTATGAGAAGAAATTATGAGAACAGTAATTTGTTTCAAGAAAATCATAAATTTATTCTAAACATGTGTTTATAAATATTTTCTATGTTGTAATGTCACAATGGCGCTTTTACGAACATTTACATTTTCTGATAAGATTTGAATTTTGCATCTTTTCCTCCCATTGGAGCTGCCAATACTTTATGATTTCCAGAAGGAAGCCATTTTTGGATGAGAAAATACACTGGTCATTCTGACTCATTCATTGGTTGTTTTTGATAACAGTGTAAGGTAATACTGTTTTTGAATAAGTATTTTCTATTTATCTTACTATACACCTGCCTTCCTGACTTATTTCCTGTGTGTACCAAATTGTTTAGAACAGGATCACGAAAAGGCCCTGAAAAAGCACAAAATCTTATTTCTGATGAACCTAAATCGTAAATTTCAAAATTTGTCTTTGATTAGGGAATGCCTTGAGACCCATCTAGTTAAGAGAAGACCATAGTTGGATAGTTAAGAACACCTTTAGTGATCTACTATGGAGCGCCAATCGTAACAAAAATTATTTACAGTTTATATGGTCTCATTTTTAATACAGGGCTAGTGGGTTGTTCGACAACACAAAGAGAGCCTCAAAATGCGGCGACCTTTAGAAAATTTACCGTCTTAATACTTGAAATATAAACAAATGTACTGGAGAATCCCGACTGTTTAATATCGCAATGCTCCAGACATACAAAAACCTCCATCATTCGGGAGCAACAATAAAACTTTTAACGTTTTAATATTTCATTCTCAATCTGAATACTAAAACAATAAGAGCAATAACTTTAACTTTATAAATCAAAATTTCAAAATTTATTATTAATATACATCTTGAAATTTGAGTTATTATTGTTATTTTGTTGTTCTTTTCCAACATCAAAGTCTTTTTTACAAATGAAATTTTCATTAAGCAAGTTGGTTAATAATGCAGCGGTTTAATCCAAAAATCTCATTGGATAGCAGTTTAATGGAAAATTTCCACTGATCCGAAATGATATTGATGGATAAGCGTGTATATAGCTTGTAGCTGACATTTCAGCTGGGCCACGCTTATACATCTCGGATTCCCGTTGTAAGAAAAATATAAACTATAAAAAGAAAATTTCAATGGTTACCAAATCAATGGGAAAATTAGACTAATCTGAACTTTCTAATTAGCGTACTGCCTGCTGGATTTGCCAGGGCAGGGCCATGAACACTTACACATCTCGAAGTCCCGTCTGGTCCCGTTGCACCAACTTTTTTCTTTTCTATTGTTCTTTTTATCGTTGTGAAGCCATGATTAAACAGGAAAGTTTAAAATCTCACTGTCAACGAAGGTAAAAGGACGAATTTTACTCTTTCATTTGTTTTTGTTGATCAAATATCATTCTTTTTTTGTATTTCATGTCATGTTCATCTTAAAAATAATAATGGTTTTCACCAAAGTTGCTTGACTATGTATACTTTCCATTTAATATATAATGATCTTGAATGTATTGATCGATAGTTAGGCCGATACAGACTGAACAATGTTTTTAATTTGACTTGTTTACAGTTAGTTTAACAGTAAAGATAAGTCGCTGTAGAGACTTCAGTTGCATTTTCATCTCTTTTGACTTTTGATTTTAGTTGATGTAAGAACGAGTTGATTTCTGTGTATTTAGCATTTGTCGTTTGATTTTTTGCCATAACCTGTGAATTTGTTTAACAACTGTATCTCCGAATTCGGTAATTTTATATTGATTTTAGTAAGTTTTGGAGCTTGGCTTGGTTTTTATTGATTTCAGTAAGTCTATCCCTGTGCCAAAAGAGTAGGAATTTGTCTTTGGCACTTGGCTACAAATGAAGATTTGCGTTCTTTAGCTTGGCGTTTTGGTATAGGAAAAGTACAGCCTGTGAAATCGTGAACGAGGTTTGCCAAGCTATTGTTGACGTGTTACTGCGTCTTGTTATCAAATGGCCAACGGGCGATAGACTGCAGAGTATCGTTGATGCCTTTCTAACGACATGGGGCTTCCCTCAATGCGCTGGAGCCGTTGATGGCACTCATATTCAAATTGTAGCACCTTCAAATTCTGCACAAGATTACTACAATCGAAAAGGATTCTACTCTATTGTTCTCCAAGCTGTTGTTGATCATCAATACAGGTACCAAAACGTACTGCTTTTGTCAAGGTTGACTTAATAAGTTTTTGCCTCCCTGTTATGCAACTGGCATTTTCACCTTCTAACGGTTTTAGATCCCATGGGGGTTCAACAGTGATGTAAAATAGGTTTCTTATTAATTTAGACATGTGTTTCAACCAGTTGAGTAAGTAAGTTACACAAAGTGAATTAAATTACACACACTTAAAAGTAAAAATATATATTTAAAAATTTTGAAGATTCACTGACATTTGCATAAAGTGGCCAGGTCGAGTCCATGATGCAAGAGTTTTGTCAAACTCGGAGTGTTTGCAAAAGCTGAAGCAGGAAAACTTTTCCCAGATGTAAGTTTTCTGTTCTTATAATGAAAAGCTTATCTTAGGTCAGAGGCAAATTTTACTGCATTTTTGATAATAGCCACTAGAAAATTCATGGTCTTGATATACTCTAGGAGGAAAAGAGATATGTGGTTGCAATGTACCATTCATGCTTATTGGTGATCCAGCATATCCACTGTTACCATGGTTGATGAAGAGGTATCCTAACGATGGCAATCTCAGTCCTGCTCAAAAGAAATTTAATTACTACATAAGTCGAGCAAGGCAAGTCGTGGAGTGTGCATTTGGCCGTTTAAAAAACAGATTCAGATGCCTACTTAACAAGAATTATACAAATTTAGATCATTTGCCTATGAAAATTGCAGCATGTTGTGTTGTACACAATATTTGTGAGAGTAGAGCTGACAAACTTTTTGCAGATTATGTTGAACTTATCCCTGATGATGAAATTTCAGAATTTGTTTTACAGAATACAGATGCAAGTGCAGAGCAAATTAGAAATTCTTTAACTGAGTTTTTGATAACACAATAAGCCGATGATAGCTAAATTACTCATGTTCTTAAATTAAATCAAAATTTGTAATATGTTTGTTGACTTTCAGCATCATGGTGAACATTGTAGAATGGTTGTTGCACAGGCTGAGACCTCATTGCTATTGCATTTGCAAGAAGTGACATTGACTCCTTATAAACATTAAGCTCTTCCTTTCGCAACTCTCGCTCTTTTCTGCTTCTTTTTCATTTCTGACAAAACATTTCATCAGACTCCTTGGGATATTTGTTATGCTCTTTTATTGCATTCTCGAATGCCACTTGCATGCTGGAGGGCTTTCCCTTTCCCCTTGGTATTCTTTTCCTTGGCACTGATTTGTTTTCACTTTGAGATGGTAGGGATTCCTCATTTGCTTCACTAGGTAACTTCTCGTCTGCATTACTGACATCTACATAACATATCTCATAAATGTTACGACGTAATAAAACAAAATATAGTACACACATGCAATGCTCTACTGTTCACCTGCTTCAATGCAATCGCAATATGGGCAAACAAGTCTGTCATCATCAGCGTATACTGCAGTGCTGTTTCCAACATGGGCTCCTGCTGTCCTAAGCTCCACAAACTCATCGCACTGAGGACATTTTTTTTCAATGATCCTCCCGTGTCCGTATTTTCTTGTAAGCTCGTCTGCTATGAAACGGAAAACCAATATTTTCATTTGCAAAAAACCACTCGATATCAACTCATCCACGATAACTTACCATCATCATCATGCCCGTTAATGCTTTTTATTTCAGCATCAGCTGATGAGCACGTTGATTCATCAGATGTATTGATGACGTTTTTTAGACCCCTTGCTTCTGGTCTGTCACCCATGAAATTGTCCATAACGTTAAAGAATTTAGGTTCCTTGCCTCTCCCAGCTCCTGATCGTGATAATGTGTCTTTGAACTTTTTGTATTCAGATTTCATATGCTTAAATTTAGTTCTACATTGCGTCCAATCACGATCTATCCCTTTTTTTTTCATTATAATGCTGATTTTTTTATAAATATCAGCGTTTTTGTAGGTACCTTTCAACTTTTGTTGAATTTCTTCCGTACCGTACGCTTAGAGGAGGGCTAAACAGTCTTTTTCTGACCAAACCTCTCGTTTTTGCGCCATTTTCCAAGCTTTTTTCTCTGTTTTGATTTTAAATTTTGAGAAAAACGTCCGCGTTTTGGCGGAAACGGCATGGGAGCGAAACTGTTCTATCGAAATAAGCTCACTTACGTTCACATATAAACCGGATCGATCTCAGATCGATCTCAGACCACCTTTCGAAGCGAGCTGACTGAGATCGATCTGAGATCGATCTCAAATTTTAGCGAAGGTTCACACTTAGCTCGCTTTACGTTAGATCGATCTCAGATCGATCTAAACGACCAGTGTGAACAGGCCCCTGGTCACGGTGGGCCACACTGATTAAATACATCTATTTTATTCAATGTATTTTGGTTCAATGATCACCACTTCGCATTCCAGTTATATCATTTCAATAAAAATACGCCATTGAATTACCATATTGAATATTTTGAGTGAATATATGCACAGAAATATGAAATACGCCCATCGAACTGCATAATCAACAACGACATCACGTACGTCAAACGTTGCGAAGCAGGAAATTGATTTTTTTTCTGAAATTCTCACGGAACAAAACCAAATTACATGGGTATGTTACATTTTGCTGTATTTTTAGTGGAATAACGTACTTGTACTTGTTGAGCTCTACCTGTAGAGCGTCGGACTAGTATCCCGAAGGTGCGAGTTCAAATCTCGTCCAAGTCACATGTTTTTCATGTGCATATTAAAAACCGTGTTAGGATTAATATATTATATATATTCTCTGATGAAAGCTTTGGAATAATAAGGGCATGTTTACATGGGAATAGGGTAACCATACTTGCAAGGCTATCTTTTTGTGGTCACCCTATGAATATGCTTTGATGAAGATCTCTTTAATTTAACGTCGCTTTAAACAAAACTTTTAAGAATTTTGATGCATTTCGAATTTATAATTTTAAAGACCAAGACGAAATACTACATTAAATACTAAATGAGTATGTTGGGTTTTATTTCTTCTTTGATTCTTGATAATATTTCTGTACTTCCTGTTGTATTGTTTAGTTACCAAACTAATAAGGGCCTGTTTACATGGGAATAGGGTAACCATACTTGCAAGGCTATCTTTTGCATAGGGTGACTCTACCATTGACAGGTCTGTGTATTACTGTTAATGACAGCAACATCAGCATGTTGTAGACATGATTGCAGATGAAACATTTTGGCTTCATTGAGGCATATTTATAAAGATCCATAATTCAGTCTAAGACCTCGAAAATTGTTTCAAATTCATTTTCATTATTCATTATATTATATTCACAATGAAGACTTAGCATTCATAGAATAAAATCTTTTTGCCATCTCAAAACTTCCTTGTAGATGGTGGATGGGCTCTAGTTTTATTGTTTGTCTCTGTAAAGTCATGTAGTGCATCTTGTGTATAATTTTATGCTGACGAAGCAATTTATTTTCCCAGATATGCAAATATTTTGAGTAGATATGATGTGAACATAGCCCTACTGAAAGGAATTACCTTATCTCAAACATTTTTATGGTTTATGAAATAAAAACATAACCTACTGTTTTGGTAACCTTATCAATTTGATATGGAAACCCTAACCCTCAGGGTTACCCTAGCACACATGTCAATGCTACATATAAAGCAATTTGACCTAGGGTAACTTGCTTGCTAATGTTACCCTTCTGCTAGGGTTACCCTACCTCCATGGGCCTTGCAATCACTACATTTTATCTTGAATCATACTGTAAACATTTGTCCATAAGCCTTGAACTTATATAATTTTGTATGCCCTCTTTCTTGGGCTTATTTTTGTGGAGTGAATGCTTAGATTATATTTTATGGCAGTCATCAGCACAGTATACACAACACAGTCTTTATTGACAATAGTATGAAAATTCAACTGACAAAACATCAAAACATAGTCAAAGTATGTGTGAACAGTTTACAAATACATTAATTCTTATCCTGTAATAATTATATGCTTGTGGGCTTTTCTGTGGACCAAGTTGAAAACTAAACTAACTTCCAGTTGCAGTAGTTACAAACAGTTAGTAAACAGTTACTATTACTTAAGAATTACACAAAATTACTTTCCTGTACAGCTAACTGTCTTTTCCTAAAGTTCATTTTGCTAAAACAATGTCAATCCTCATCTATAACCAATGTTTCTTTTGTAGTTTGTGTATAGACAGTAATACTTTAATTGCATCGTTAAATGATTTAAATTTCAAGTTTATTCTGTTAAGAACATTAGGAAAGTTAGCCCGCAAATTTGGTTGTGCCATGTAAATTTCACAATCTAGTAAACTCTTGAATAATTTACATAGCAGAGCTAAAGATATGCCACTGGTCACTTACAATAATTGTAAAGTGAGATGCAAATGTACTCAATGATTTACAATCTTTAGGAAACAGTCTTTATGTTTGTCTTATGCTTTCCTAATCAACTCAAGAAAGAAAAGTGTTAACTTTGTTTTCACAGGCTTATGTAAACTGAGGAGACCTTTTGGAGAACTTGAGAGTTGATCAGTGCAAAGCAGGTTTTGCACCAGCTTGAGCGTTCTCACAAAGATCTCTGAGGTTTGCATAAGACTTTCAAGGTTTGCGTTTTAATTTTCTACAAAGTGCTTTAATGAACGGTTTGCAAAATCTCTTCGATTGATTGAGGTTGAGCTACGATCGATTTACCCAGGCTTATGCAAACTCAGCCTTTGACCAATCAGTGCACACGTTTTACTGTTTTTATCTTATAAAGAAAATTAAAACACAAAAAGTTTATTGCAATGATAAAGATTTTTCTGTGGTAGAATTAATGGAACATATTGCTACGCAAAATGTTGCCCATTTACGAGTAGAAATTACTATTTATTTTGATGCACCATGTTTAGTTCTGTGTACTGGAGATGGGCTGCAGCGCCGGCTATTTTACCATTTCAGAATTGAAGCCGGAGCTGAAAAACCGGAATTTTCACAGCACTAACCATGTTAACTCATGATTTTATTTTCAAATATCATAAGCATTAAAATTCATCATTTAATTTTTTAGTAAAAATGGTAAAGACAAATTTAGTATTTTCGACTATTACATTGATCACATTTCTTGGTCTTGCCAAAGGTATTTAACTTCAAATATCCATTTCTTTTTTTTACTTAAATGATTTTTGATGTAATTTTAGTTGTTGTAGTAGTAATATTTAATTAGTTTATTTTTTATTCACAATTTTGAATAGAACCTGAATTAAGAACATCAATTACTTTTGTTATGTTAGTAGAAGATGTATTTTTCCCTAAACTATCTTTTATCAGTCGTAGGTATAAGCTAAATTTCAATTTCAGAAACAATAACATCTTCACCTGATGGTCAAAGATTTGTACTTTTACCTGGATCTTTTTACAATATAACTTGGAGATTTGATGTTACTCGAAACATTCTTGTATGGGCTTGGAGTTTTACACCTCGTGGTTCATCTTCCCCTCAACAACTTGCAAGATTTATAGATAGTGGCAACACACCCCAATATTTGTCACGACCTTTTGCATTTGAAGTTTTTAAAACTGGAACTTTGTGCCTAGAGAATGTAAATGAAAGTTACAATGGTGAATTTACATTTACTATTTCAACTACTCCTCGTACTCCTCCATCAAAAGTAAATGTTTATATTGCTGGTAAGTTTTAATTATTTCAATCTTTCTTGTGTTGTATGCATTGTTCTGAGTATTTAATGGGGGAAACTTGGCCTGAAAATTTTGGTGAAAAACGTTTATAACTGTTATTGTGTCGTTGCAAACTTTCTTTTCGGAGTTGGACCTTTAGGACATTTGACAATGCTTCTGCAGCTCATGCAATTGTAACAATAAGTGGCAATAATGGAACACAAAATATGATACATCAGTCCTTAAGTCATTTGGTTTAGATGTTGAGGTTTTAAGCCTGCAACTCTAATGTTAAAGAATGTTATACAAAGTTACATTGGTGTTTATAAATTTACCTAACTCCTAATCCTATTGACTCATCTGTAATGTGTCTTTGCAAGTAAGTTGTATTTATTATTTTAACTTAGCAGCGGGGTTATCCAAGCCTTTCATGTAATCTGAGTAGCTGTAGCATTTGGCGTAATTATACGATATATGACCGCGGTCTGGAATCCTATAGCTAAATACTTGAGCCGTTGAGCGAAGACAAATGCGAAGACTTGTTTTATTTTGTGTTAATTTAAAAAGGAAATTGTAAGGCATCTTTTGATTTGAATAATCTATGTTAAAGTGTTTGTATCACAGATTTTACTACATTTGAGTATAAGACAAAAATTAGTTATTGATACCACTTTCGACTTTCGTGGTATAAAATTTGATATCAATTGATCAACTGGTAATATCACTATTATGTCTCGCCGAACAAAGAACAGTTTATCCACGCTTACAGATGCTGATGTTAAAAGCTTGATTCTGAAATTGCCCAAAACGGATGAAACCAAAGAAAAAGATAATCCATCAGAAAGTATAATTTGATTTTGGGCTTTTTATTTTTGCTATTTGCAAAGCATAATGAGCCGATACATGTACGCTTACGTACCTATTTTTTAGTTTTTCCCTCCCAAATTATTGAGCACAAACGCGCATAGACCGTTTCGTTCAATGACAGGGCTCTTCAGCATGCGCAGGAAACACATAGTGCAAAGCAGTAATGTGATTCCGGGCATAGAGCATTAAGCGACAGTCTTTGGTTGCAGGCAGTTGCACAGTCTGAATTCCTGCAGCTATGGCGCATTATAGCAGACATTTGCGCTCTCTCAATTTCTGCAGGAAAGTAAATATCAATGACACATTTAGAAAATAATAAACGAATATTACCTTCAGCAAACTTGGTAATCACACTTTCAATGTCAGAAATACTTTATGGATAAGTTTGCATTAAAGCCAAGCAAATTAAAAGCTCTTCTATCATAAAGCTTCTAAGATAGGTTGTTAGATTCCTCAGTGCTGAAATTTATCTCTCACATTCATTACCTAAAATGCAAAGATTAACTTTAATATTTTCAAATCCTGGAAATTTTACATGCTTCAGTGTTTTGACGATGTTGTCTGGCAAAGGCCCATTGCACGTTTCCCAGTATAAACACCATTGCATTAATTCAGCATCTAAACAAAGGGATTGCGCAAATCATCATGATAGAACTTTGCAACACTTTTAAACAGTTCTCTCCAATCAATGCTTTTGTTAAACAGAGTTATCATGTCGGGAACGATAAATAATCCTCGGTAGACATTAACACTATCCAAGTTAAACCTAGTGCTCAAAGATGTTTGAAGTTGGTCTAATTGAGGAATAGTGATGGTTAGTTTATAATGCTCTTTGAATGATTGATTGGGGGATTAGATCTCCCAGTTTCTTCGACTTTGACTTCTTCAGCAAGTTTTACATGCATCCTCTTCAATGATCAACGCTTTTCTCGTGACCTGTATCAACAATAGGTTTAAGAATTTTGTATTTTGCTTAATTTCTTGTTTCACATTGGTATCAAAGAAATTTTCAATTGGCTAAGCTACACCTGACAATTGAGATCGTTCATTATCCAAAATTGGAGAAGTAGAAACATGTAGTCCCATTTCCTCCCATGTAAGTTCCAACATGTCGCCTAAATGTACCTACAGCATAATTCCAATGACGAAAGGGTGAACATTTAATCTTGAGCATTTACTTGGGAATTTGTTTCCAAAAAGCACACATGATGAGCAGTAAACACGATCTTCTTTTGATGAATAACACAGCCAAAAAAAATCTGCGAGCCATTCATATCTAAACGACTTTTAGTTTCCTCGCCTAAAGAAGGTAAAATGTAATTTTCAATCGGTTTAAAAGCATTTTTAATTAACAAAAAATATCAAACATTTTAAACCTTTAGCTCTCTTGTGTTAAGTAGCTACATCAAATTATGAATGAAGTAAGGCTTTACATGCATATCTTCAATGGTTTGTTTAGAAATAGTACCTATTTCTCTAGCCCAAGAAATAATATCAGGTTTTTCCACTTTTGAAAAACTTGCTGATATTTTCAGACCTTTCTTCTGTTACTTTTATGGCACTGAGCATGTTGGACCCGAAATTGTCCTTTCAGTTTGGCTGGGAAAAATACTAGAGGCACAAAATGATTAGGTTAGAAACATTGACCTGATTTAACTACACGTTCATGGAAAAACTAAAGATAAAATCTGCTGATTCCTTAACTGTTCCGTTCCCTTTGGAGAAAAGAGAGTGAATATTGGTTCAAGCCTGCTGTCCACCATCAGGAAAGTAAGTAAAGTTTTTGTCTCCAACACAGAAGAAATGGCTAAAATGCAAAGACAAGATCAACACTTACAAAACCAGAATCTGGATTGTCTCGTGATAGTCTCGTCAAAGTAAATTATTCTTCATGCTGTTCAACGACCTTTTTAATGTCACATTAAAACGCACCATGCTCTTAGTTTTGTTCTCAATATTATTTGAAGCGTTGCTCTTCTGTTGGAGCCTGATGAATACAAGGTACTTGGCACGTCCAAAAAGAGATCTCTCTGTTTCGTTTGTTGATAAAAACAATTTGCTTAAATTAATAATTTCTTTGGAAATCCATTTGAAAGAAATGTTGACTCTTTCTTTTCACGTGTTGAAGATACACAATCATGTGCCTTACTAAGCGTTGCCAATTTAACTTTACTTTTTAAATTCGAGAAAATCTTCTTGAGAACTGGCGAAGAACTATTTTTGTAGTGTGTTTTCTTCATTGCTTACAGTTTTCGAAGCTTTCATCCAACTCATTAGCCAAAATCACCTTGTCGTCTTTAAAAAATACAAATAATGTTGAATACTGTTCTTTTCCTTGAGCCCATGTCGTGGCTTTTCAACTCATTTTCAGACTCCAAGTCAGCGTAATTCAAATGGAAGCACAGGTTATGAAAAACACTATTTGGTATGATCTTGCATGTTGTTCAATAGTCAGCTGGCTTCAATAATGTCTTCAGTATTTGTTTTGGTGTCTTGTCTCCAGTATTCCTATGTTGAAATGTTTTTGTTATACCTGTTTACTTATATATGCTCTGCTCGTCGTTTTACTCTGTTTATTCGTTTTACCGAATGTCCTTATTTGACTTTGCCACAAACTTTCGTAAGTGAAATCAGTAAGTGAAATCAACCAATGAAGTTCTTTCTTCACTTTTTTATACTTCCACTGTCTGAACTTTCGTTGATTTCAATGAATGGCAATCTTCTATTTGCCACACCACGCACACGGTCAGAAGCATAGCGATGGTTTCTATGAATTTTGCGACTAGTCTTACAATGAAGATGGTAAAGGTCACTTACCAATCTCATGCAGCATTTTTAACTGCGTTCGATATTAACCACGCTAGACTTTGCATTTCTTGCTTGTTCAATCCACTTGATTTCAGACGTTTCAACATCCATTTGACAAACAACATAATGTATGTAATGACAGGTCATTTGTGGCTACAAGGATAGGTTTACCATCTCCACCAAGTTCTTCTTTACAGGATGTGTATCGATCAACGAGTTGTAATGCACTCCTACCAAAAATGTGTATGAACAGCGGATGTATAATCCAACTTATGATTTCTCATTGTTTACTTGCTTACAAGTTAAAGCATCAATACGTTCATACCTACCGACCTTTGACAACGCGCCATTGCCTGATATGCACTCCTCTGTCAAACGGTTAGAGGACTTGATCAATTTTGCTGTGTCTTAAATTTCTAAAACAGTTCTTTTCCGAACTCTTAATTTTTTCTTGATTTTTTCTTTGTTTTCTCTGGTTAGCTTTTTTCTCGGTATCTTGGGGTTTCGTGGTTTTTTATTTGGTTTCAGTCCATTCGCCATGGCAATTGTTCTCTTTAAGGTGATATTCAAATTTGTCAACACGACAAAGTCTCTGTTTTAATTATTATTGGATTGTTAAGCGTAAACTATCAGCATCGTTTTCCATAGTTAACATGATTTTTAACTAAGCCTAAACAAACGCTTATAAAGAAACTCTGCATTTTCTATCTAGTTCCCAGCATGGTGGAAAATGTGGCGTTAAAATTTCTCAATTGTAAACAAACACTCAGTACTCCGCACTCCAAGTTTTTCTCAATGCCCTAAAAATAAGACAATTATGAACTATTGGTTTGTTTTGTCATAAAAATGTGTTCTTATATATAACATGTGGTTGAATTTGACAAAGGAAATTTCGTGTTTACGATTCAAATTTCAACCAAGATAGAGAATAACTTTGTACTTCACTCCTTGAGGATTGGCTGCAATTCACCTATATTCAATAAAACTTATCGAAGTTATGTAGAATGTTGCTTTCCTAAATTCCTAATGGAGGTTGCTATGTTTAAAACAACTTGATTTTATTTATCAATTACTTTTTACCATATACTCATTTTCTTTTTTTTGAATATTGACTGAAAAAATTTTCTGTTTTTGTTTTCAGCTAAACCAAACGCGTTAATTAATTGTTCAACTCCTCTGGTTGTGAGTAAAGGTGGTAGTGTATCATGTGTATGTAGAGGTGAAGGAGGTAACCCTTCTGCTAATGTCACATGGTATGATAAAAATAACAACATAATTGGTGATGTTGGAGTTGTAAATAAGACATTAGTAATCACTAATGTTACATTGAATGATGGTGGAAATTACACATGTAAAGCACAAAGTTATAATGATCCACGTTTTAGAGATGAAAAATCTATTGAAGTAACAGTGAAACCTACTTGTAAGTTTGTAAGACAGCATTTCAGATCTCATTATAAACGTTTTTGTAGAATATTGAATTTAATTTTATTCTTTACAGATCCACCACAACAAACCAATATCACCATCAGTCCAATGTCAGTAAAAAAAGGTGAAAATGTGACAATAACCTGTGAATCAGATGGTTATCCTGAGCCAACCTACACTATTTATCATAATGGTGCAGTTATCAGTTATAAAAAGACATACATCATTAATTCTATCAACTTCAGTAATGCTGGTTCATATCGTTGTGAAGCAACAAATAAGCTGGGAAATGATTTTTCTGATGTTAAAAATCTTACTATCATCAAAGGTAAAATTGAAATGTTACTTTCATCAAAGGTAAAATTATCAACTGCTAAGTGTCACGAATTTTTCGCGTTTCTTTACGTTTCAAACGTCACGTTTGTCAGACGAAACGTTGAGTTTCATCTTGTAAGCGTTACGTTTGTTCAAATCGCGATTTCTAAGTTTGAATCAGCTCTTTCATATATATGATCAATTATCAAACTTTGCAAATCGCCTAAGGTATACAGATGTAATTTTCAGTTGCTACAGCATTTTATCATTGTAAAATCGTATAAACATGTTAATCACATGACCAAAACCTGTTCAATTTGTTCCTCAAACGTTAAACTTCCTAAGCATACATTACGTTCCTAATTTGAAACCCGACGTTTCACCTGACAAACGTGACGTTTGAAACGTGAACAAACGCGAAAAATCGGGGCAATTACCATTTGAACGCAAATGATAATAAAATCTTACTTCATCAATTTTTGAGATAGATGAGTTTCACTCTTTCATTTGATTTGTTCTTTTGGTCAATTATTATCATTTTTTCGATAGATATTTCTGTCATTCAGCATTCTGTCAGCATTTTCATCTCTTTGACATTATAATTTGAGTTGATTCCCAATAAATGTGTTAACATATGAATCTCCAACATCATTTTTCCTTTCAAAATATTCATCTACTGATTGCAACACGAAAGGTAATTTATTTACAATGCTTTAAAATCATCTTTATGTTTAAAATACTATTAGCTCTTTTGTTCAATTTGCATGCGCTACCTGAGATGCTAAAATCCTTAAAAGAAAATTCAAGCAAATCGCTCTTTTATAGCAAACTTTAGCTCTAGCCACACAATGCAATTAACATCTCGACCTTTTCCTTAGACTTAATGGAAATGTTCAATTCAATCTATCCAATGCTCAATCAAAGTGCTCCAATCTTGTTATCATATGTATTTTAGTATTGTATACAAATAAACTCTTTTGATTTTTTTCCATATTTTTAAGTTCTATGCTTCTTCTCTAGACAACGTTCTTTGTGATGACCAAAAAGAGAGAATAAAACAGTGCAAAACAGAATGGTACATTATTTTAATAACTTTAACATCTGGAATTATCGTTGGAATTTTGGTTTCTATTGTTTTTCAATATCGTCGACATTGGTTTAGTAAAAATTGTCAACAATTTCAATCTCCATCTGAAGTTAGGATAAATTCTGTTGATACAACTTATCAAGGATTGGATTTATCAAAAATGAATAAAGAAGATAATTATCAATCATTGAGACCAAAGGATGACACAGTTGATAAAACTTATCAAGAACTGGACATATCGAAAATGAATATAGAAGATAATAATTATGAATCTTTGCAAAAGAATGATGAATCGGAGTACGTGATAGCCGACGAAAGAAGAAATTATGAGAACAGTAATTTGTTTTCAAGAAAATCATAAATTTATTCTAAACATGTGTTCATAAACATTTTCCATGTTGTAAAGTCACAATGGCGCTTTTACGAACATTTACATTTTCTGATAAGATTTGAATTTTGCATCTTTTCCTCCCTTTGGAGCTGCCAATACTTTATGATTTCCAGAAGGAAGCCATTTTTGGATGAGAAAATACACTGGTCATTCTGACTCATTCATTAGTTGTTTATGATAACAGTGTAAGGTAATGCTGTTTTTGAATAAATATTTTCTATTTATCTTACTATACACCTGTCTTCCTGACTTGTTTCCTGTGTATACCAAATTGTTTAGAACATGATCACGAAAAGGCCCTGAAAAAGCACAAAATCTTATTTCTGATGAACATAAATCTTAATTTCAAAATTTGTCTTTGATTAGGGAATGCCTTGAGACCCATCTTGTTAAGAGAAGACCATAGTTGGATAGTTAAGAACACCTTTAGTGATCTACTATGGAGCGCCAATCGTAACAAAATTATTTACAGTTTGTATGGTTTCATTTTAATACAGGGTTAGTGGGTGTTCGACAACACAAAGAGAGCCTCAAAAATGCGGGGACCTTTAGAAAATTTACAGTCTTAATACTTGAAATATAAACAAATGTACTGGAGAATCCAACTGTTTAATATCGCAATGCTCCAGACATACAAAACCTCCATCATTTGGGAGCAACAATAAAACTGTTAACGTTTTGATATTTCATTCTCAATCTGAATGCTAAAACAACAAGAGCAATAACTTTAACTTTATAAATCAAAATTTCAAAATTATTATTAATATACATCTTGAAATTTGAGTTATTATTGTTATGTTGTTGTTCTTTCCAACATCAAAGTCTTTTTACAAATGAAATTTTCATTAAGCAAGTTGGTTAATAATGCAGCGGTTTAATCCAAAAATCTCATTGATAGCAGTTTAGTGGAAAATTTCCACTGATCCGAAATGATATTGATGGATAAGCGTGTATATAGCTTGTAACTGATCAGTTCAGCTGGGCCACGCTTATACATCTCGGATTCCCGTTGTAAGAAAATATAAACTATAAAATGAAAATTTCAATGGAAAATTACTAATCTGAACTTTCAAATGCAATGCAGACAGAATATATCTGAATCTAAACTCAAATTAGCGTGGTCCTGCTGGATTCCAGGGCAGGGCCATGCACACTTACACATCTCGAAGTCCCTCTGGTCCCGTTGCACCAACTTTTTCTTTTCTATTGTTCTTTTTATCGTTGTGAAGCCATGATTAAACAGGAAAGTTTAAAATCTCACTGTCAACGAAGGTAAAAGGACGAATTTTACTCTTTCATTTGTTTTTGTTGATCAAATATCATTCTTTTTTTTTGTATTTCATGTCATGTTCATCTTAAAAATAATAATGATTTTCACCAAAGTTGCTTGACTATTTATACTTTCCATTTAATAGATAATGATCTTGAATGTATTGATCGATTGTTAGGCCGATACAAACTGAACAATGTTGTTTTTAATTTGACTTATTTACAGTTAGTTTAACGGTAAATATAAGTCGTTGTAAAGACTTCTGTTGCATTTTCATCTCTTTGACTTCATGATTTTAGTTGATGTAAGAACGAGTTGATTTCTGTGTATTTAGCATTCGTCTTTTGATTTTTTGCCATAACCTGTGAATTTGTTTAACAACTGTATCTCCGAATTCGGTAGTTTTTTATTGATTTTAGTAAGTGTTGGAGCTTGGCTTGGTTTTTACTTTTAGAAAGTCTGGTCACGGTGGGGCACACTGATTAAATACATCTATTTTATTCAATGTATTTTGTTTCAATGATCACTACTTAGCATTCCAGTTATATCATTTCAATAAAAATATGCCATTGAATTACCATAGTGAATATATTGAGTGAATAAATGCACAGAAATATGAAATACGCCCATCAAAACTGCATAATCATAACGACATCACATAGGTTAAACGTTGCAAAGCAGGAAATTGAGTCTTTCTCTGAAATTCTCACGGAAGAAAACCAAATTACATGGGTATGTTACATTTTGCTGTATTTTTAGTGGAATAACGTTGGCATCATGGCGAATTGTTGCTCGATGTACCAGAACATCTTTGTGTTTGACTGTATCATCCACTAGTATGGGAATGTGAGTATCAGCATCATTCGTGTTTTGGGCTAAAAACAAGAGAAGGCTAGGTAGTCATGTGCAAGCAATAACAATTGAGTGTTGAAGGAGCAAACCATCTAGAAAGGGAAAGGGTCGTGCTTCTCCAATAAAAAAATTAACAAAGTCCCCTGAAATTCGATCAGTTTTTGCTAGTTACTGTAAACAAGCTTTTCCATATCCCTTAAATAAAATTTTCAGGAGAACAGACATGATTAGAATATAAAACTAAATTGGAGCAATTCTTTATTTGTTGATATCCATTGAAAACAATCGTTTTCGCATCTGATGCCTGTAGACTTTTAAATGGTATTATTTAATTTACAGAATGCAGATGATGATGTAGTTTGACTAACATTTTGATGCACTTGTATTCTTAATCTACTCAATGTTTTCATAAAATTTCTTACAGAAACAAAAATAGTTTCTCCAAATAAATTTGACAAAAACATTGAGGCAATTTCCTGCCCTGCGTATTACAGGGGTAGGCCTTGTTTGAGACACACTTGAGTCACTGTGCATTTGGCTTTTGCTTTTCTTACTCTACATTTTTAGGAAAAGGAAAAGTTGGCTGTTTTATTATATTTTTGCCTGAATTTTGTCAGCCTCCAATTTTGAGGGCTCCACATTCAATTTTCACAATATTTTGGTCATAGCAAATATCTGCTGACAAAATCACTAATCAATTACCTGCTACTTCACCTGACAAAACACTTTGTTCGGCGGGTGTTGCAGATTCCAAAGTCCTGTTGTCTGATGGATCTAATGATAACATCAATACACAAGTAAAAACAACAGCACAATTTAATTAGAGCACTATGTAAGATATTCCTAATATTTTACCCTGCAACTCTGATGATGCCAAAAGGTTATCGGACTCAACAACTTGTTGGGCAGAAGTCACGGAACCAAAATTCATCATATCTTCTGATTCATCTACAAATTGATAATTTTAGTGCATATTTAAAAACGACAAGAATTTTAGTTAAAGCAAATTTGGGATTCATCTTGATCTTTTACATTGTAGCATTGGGGATGTAACTAGGTTGTCTAACTCAGCATCTTGTAGGGAGGACTTTGCAGAACTCAAATTTCAATCTTCTGATGTATCTAATGATGATTTTTGTGTACGAGTAAAAGCAACAGTACAATTTTATTAGAGCACAATACACGATTTATCAAATGTTTTACCATGTGCCACCGATGGTGTCACTGTACCATCCTCTGCCCATAAAATATCTAAAGACATTTCATCTTCCATTTCTAGAAAAAGAAAGCCATTTTCTCTTACTTGGAAGAATGTGCAAACCATAAATATGATATGACAATTTAACATATAAACTTTATATAGTACCTAAATCAATAGGACTTTCCTCATTAAATTGATTGTTTCCTTCTGAAATATGTAAAAGTTTCAGAATGTCATATTACGTGTTATTGCATCAAAATGGACTACTGGATATTAAGTTTATAAAAGAGTCAATCAATCATGGAATATGGTGACTAACAATAGCATTTTTCAGCAATAGGATAAAGACAAATTTGCCACCTGTGGTATGGATTTTTGTCCAGGTGCAGACACAATTATTTGTTCACTTGGACGAATATAAATTGGTTTGTTTTGAAACAGCCGCTGCAGTATTGCCCCATCAATGCCCTGTTGCCCAGGTGCCAAAGTTGGAGCAACCAAAGATGTATGCATGGACATCAGTATTTCGATATCAACACCTGGAGGAACCTTTCCATCAAACGCCTCCATTATGGTGATCTCTACTTGTGCTGCATTCATCCCTCTAGTGAATCTACATCCTGATATCACATGCTCTCTCCATTAAATACAGACGCGCTCCCTGACGTGGGACAACAAGAATGGAAGGTCCGTCAAGCAGTACCAAGTCACGCATGAAGGTCCTGTTATCGATGGCTTTGACTTTAGGTTCCTTAGCTTTCTGACCAACATTTGAAGGACGTTGTCCTTGAAAATTGTGCCTCCGTACAAAATTTCTGTTATTTGATAGGTTGAATTTTGTCTCCCGGTTGCAAGCCTGGAAGACGATGCTTGTGATGTTGAAGAAGTTCTTCTTCCAGTAAAACGCCTGACCTCTTTTCACCAGTTTCTGGGGAGAAATGCGCGAAGAGTACGTCCAGTCATGGCCTAATTCCAGTCTTGTAAGAATATTTTCTACGATATTATTCGGTACGCCATTTTCTTCAGCCATTGTTTACTGAAGACCATGTTATGTTATATGGATGACACGAAGTATTTACAATATACGTTTCGCAACCGCTGTCCAGTTTGCCAGTCAGAAATATCGACGTATGGTTGATTTTCTCAACACGTGCTTGCCTTCTCATATGTCACTTATGATTCTCGACTTGTGCCATAACTTCATGTACGTCATACGTTGCGAAGCAGGAAATTGAGTCTTTCTGAAATTCTCACGGAAGAAAACCAAATTACATGGGTATGTTACATTTTGCTGTATTTTTAGTGGAATAGCGTACTTGTCCTTGTTGTCTTGAATGAAAATATTGTTTTGCTGTAAAGTTTTGGCGTAAATATTCATGGCATTCGACAGGCGCTATTGAAACGAGTCTCTTATCGAGAATTCTTAGTTCAAACTAAAATTAGCCAATACTAAAATTGTGTTTGTGAAGGAAAATAAGTTTTAAGCCAAGGCTACACTATCGTCCATATCGACGAAAATCAGAACGAAAACTGCCGCAACGAAAATTTTGAACGAAAACTCGACGAAAATTTCGTTTCGTGCATATTAGAAGAATTAAACTTTTGACCTTTTCGTTAACGAAAACGCATACTATTGGCTAATAATATCAGACTTTGTACTCAAACATGGCGGAGTGGCAAGAGGTTTTGATAAATCAGGGCTAACAGATTTTCTAAGATGTGTGCCAACTTTAGTGATGTGAGGTCTAATTGAATCCAAAATGAATGTTTTATGCAGTGCGGTGTTTGAAATTAAATGAAGATGATCTTCGCACTTTGTTGGACAATTTAAGCAATTGTCTCATAAACCTGAAAAATCAGGTGACTCAACGGGAATCGAACCCATGACACAGTGGTGAGCAGGTCAATTTTATTGGGCTCATGTTTTCTCGTGAATGAATGTTATATGAATGTTTTATGCCCTGCGGTGTTTGAAATTAAATGAAGATTCGCACTTTGTTGGACAATTTAAGCAATTGTCTCATAAACCTGAAAAAATCAGGTGACTCAACGGGAATCGAACCCATGACAATGTCATTCATTCATTTCACGAGAAAACATGAGCCCAACAAAATTGACCTGCTCACCACTGTGTCATGGGTTCGATTCCCGTTGAGTCACCTGATTTTTTCAGGTTTATGAGACAATTGCTTAAATTGTCCAACAAAGTGCGAAGATCATATCTTCATTTAATTTCAAACACCGCACTGCATAAAACATTCATATAACATTCATTTCACGAGAAAACATGAGCCTAACAAAATTGACCTGCTCACCACTGTGTGACTTCATAGCTCAGTTGGTCAGAGCACTGCACCGGCACCGCAGAGGTCATGGGTTCGATTCCCGTTGAGTCACCTGATTTTTTCAGGTTTATGAGACAATTGCTTAAATTGTCCAACAAAGTGCGAAGATCATATCTTCATTTAATGAATCCAAAATGTAGTCAAAATTTGTCGTCGTCATTCGCAAGTATTTTATGTGTCTATTTTCATTGTTCGGCTCTCGTTTATTAATTGGATGAATCCAGTATCGACGTTTGCTGTTGCTTGTTTTCAACTTTAAAGGCAGTAACTTTTTCTTAAGAAAAAGTAATCTTTTTCTTTTAGAGATCGCTATTTTTCTAATCCGTCAAAATGCCGCTTGCTTATTGGCCAAAAGTTTTGGCTTTGCAAACATGCTTGTAATTTTTCGTCGTGTCTGGCATGCATTTCGTGCACGAATTTTCGTTTCGTTTTCGTTTTCGTCAATATAGACGATAGTGTGGCCCAGGCTTTAGTCTGAATTCGTGAAAACCTTCAATAATATGGTACACAAGTGTATACGTAAAAATACAACAGCTTTTGTATTGGTATGCTTTGATGAAGATTTCTTTACCTTAACGTCGCTTTAAACAAAACTTTTTAAGAATTTTGATGCATTTTGAATTTCATAATTTTAAAAGACCAAGACGAAACACTACATTAAATATTAAATGAGTATGTTGCGTTTCATTTCTTCTTTGATTCTTGAAAATATTTTTGACTTCCTGTTGTATTGTTTAGTTACCAAACTAATAAGGGCCTTGTTTACATGGGAATAGTGTAACCATACTTGCAAGGCTATCTTTTGTGTAGGGAGACTCTACCATTGACAGGTCTGTGTATTACTATTAATGACAGCAACATCAGCATGTTGTAGACATGATTGCAGATGAAACATTTTGCCTTCCTTGAGGCCTATTTATAAAGATCCATAATTCAGTGTAAGACCTCTGAAAATCGTTTCAAATTCATTTTCATTATATTATGTTCACATTGAGTGTTTTTTCAATGACGACTTAACATTCATAGAATAAAACCTTCTTTGCCATCTTGAAAACTTCCTTGTAGATGGTGGATAGCTCTAGTTTTATTGTTTGTCTCTGTAAAATCATGTAGTGCATCTTGTGTATAATTTTATGCTTTGAAAGCAATTTATTTTAGATATAAAGTAAATGGTTTGAACCCGGAGTATCGTTATATGTTTGTAATTGATGATCGTCCAGGTTAATAAAGTCCTGAGAAGGACTGTTTTGTTGTTGTAGACTGACGTTTCGACAACCTTAGCGGTAGTCATCTTCAGAGTCAAATGAGGAGTAAACGTCAGGTTAGCCGTATTTGTTATTTGGTTCCTACGTCATTGTATTGTGTGTACAGGAAATGTGTATTGTCATTGTGGATTAGTGTGAAGTGAAATATTTTATTGTGATGTGTGAATTAGGTGTGACGTTTTTAGTTGTAATGTGTGGGTGTCAATTGTGTATTGTCATTGTGAATTAGTTTGAAGTGTAATGTTTTGGTTGATCGTTTGTTTGTATTGTGAATAAGTCGTTTGTAACGTGCCTGTAATTGCTGTGATCTGTTCAGGGGGGTTTGTTGTTTATTTTAGATATGATGTGAACATAGTTCTACTGAAAGGGATTACCTTATCTCAAACATTTTTATGGTTTATGACAAAAAAACATAACTCAACTGTTGTGGTAACCTTATCAATTTGATATGGAAACCTTAACCCTCAGGGTTACCCTAGCACACATGTAAATGCTACATATAAAGCAATTTCACGTTGGGTAACTTGTTTGCTAATGTAACCTTTCTCTTTTCCACAAAGTTCATTAGTGAATGGTTCACAAAATCTCTTTAATTGATTGAGGTTCAGCTAAAATCAGTTTACCCAGGCTAATGCAAACTCAGCCTTTGACCAATCAGCGCACATGTTTTACTGTTTTTATTTTATAAAGCAAATTAAAACACAAAAAATTTATTGCAATGATAAAGATATTTCTGTAGTAGAATTAATCGAACATATTGCTACGCAAAATGTTGCCCATTTACGAGTAGAAATTACTATTTATTTTGATGCACCATGTTTAGTTCTGTGCACAGGAGATGGGCCACAGCGCCGACTATTTTTACCAGTTCAGAATTGATAAGCCGCAGCTGGAAAACTGGAATTTTCACAGCACTAACCATGTTGACTCATGATTTTATTTTCAAAGATCATAAGCATTAAAATTCATCATTTAATTTTTAGTGAAAATGGTAAAGACAAATTTAGTATTTTCGACTGTTACATTGATCACATTTCTTGGTCTTGCCAAAGGTATTTAACTTCAAATATCCATTTCTTTTTTACTTAAATGATTTTTGATGTATTTTTAGTTGTTGTAGTAGTAATATTTAATTAGTTTATTTTTATTCACAATTTTGAATAGAACCTGAATTAAGAAAATCAATTACTTTTGTTATGTTAGTAGAAGATGTATTTTTACCTAAACTATCTTTTATCAGTCATAGATATTAGCTAAATTTCAATTTCAGGAACAATAATATCTCCACCTGATGGTCAAAATTTGTATTTTGCCTGGATCTTCTCACAATATAACTTGGACATTAAATAAGATTGGAAACTTTCTTTTCGGAGCTGGACCTTTAGGACATTTGACACTCCTTCTTCTGCAGCTCAAGTAATTGTAAGAATAATTGATGATAAAACCACATTATCGTACATCAGTCCTTAAGTCTTTGGGTTTAGATGTTGAAGTTTTAAACCTGCAACTCTAATGTTAAAGAATGTTACTCAAAGTTACATTGGTGTTTATAAATTTTCTATCCATGCTCCTGATCCCTTTGGCTCATCTGTTGAAGTGTTTATTGCAAGTAAGTTGTATTAATTATTTTAAACTTAGCAGCGGGTTATCCAAGCCTTTCATGTAATCTGAGTAGCTGTAGCATCGGGCGTAATTATACGATATATGACCGCAGTCTGGAATCCTATAGCTAAATACTTGAGCCGTTGAGCGAAGACAAATACGAAGACTTGTTTTGTTCTGTTTTAATTTAAAAAAGAAACTATAGGGTATCTTTTGATTTGAATAATCTATGTTAAAGTGTTTGTATCACAGATTTTACTACATTTGAGTATAGGACAAAAAATTAGTTATTGATACCACTTTTGATTTTGTGGTATAAAATTTGATATCAATTGATCAACTGGTAATATCACTATTATGTCTCGCCGAACAAAGAACAGTCTATCCACGCTTACAGATGTTGATGTTAAAAGCTTGATTCTGAATTTGCCCAAAACAGATGAAACGAAAGAAAAGATATTCCACCAGAAAGATCTGCCAAAGATAACGGAAACAAGACGAAAGAAAATAAAACGTGCACCGAACTTTATGATAAAGAAGCAAAATTTCGCGCGCACGTGGTTGATGTCGAGACATTTGTTTTAACAAAGTAAATGGTTTGAACCCGGGAGTATCGTTACATGTTTGTAAATGTAGATCGTCCAGGTTGGCATAGTCCTGAGAAAGACTGTTTTTGTTGTTGCTGACTGACGTTTCGACAACCTTAGCGGTAGTCATCTTCAGAGTCTGAATTCCTAAAGCGCATTATAGCAGACATTTGTGCTCTCCGAGTTTCTGCAGGAAAGTAAATATCAATGACACATTTAGAAAATAATAAACGGATATTATCTTCAGCAAACTTGTTAATCACACTTTCAATGTCAGAAATAATTTCTGCATAAATTTGCATCAAAGCCAAGCAAATTAAAAGCTCTTCTATCATAAAGCTCCTTTGATAGGTTCTTAGATTCCTCAGTGCTGAAATTTATGTCTCACATTCATTACCTAAAATACAAAGATTAACTTTAATATTTTCAAATCCTGGAAATGATACATGCTTCAGTGTTTTGACGATGTTGTCCGGAAAAGGCCCATTGTACGTTTTCCAAGCTACACCTGACAATTGAGATCGTTCATTATCCAAAATTGGAGAAGTAGAAACATGTGGTTCCATTTTCCTCCCATGTAAGTTCCAACATGTTGCCTAAATTTACCTACAGCATCATTCCAATGACGAAAGGGTGAACATTTAGTCTTGAGCATTTACTTGGGAATTTGTGTCCAAAAAGCACACATCATAAGCAATAAACACGATCTTCTTTTGATGAATAACACAGCCAAAAAAAATGTGCGAGCCATTCATATCTCAACGATTTCTTAGTTCCTCGCCTAAAGAAGGTAAAATGTAATTTTCAACCGGTTTGAAAGCATGTTCTTCTTGGACAAAAGAGAGAGTTGAATATAGATTCAAGCCTGCTGTCCACAATCAGGAAAGTAAGTGAAGTTTTAGTCTTCAACACAGAAGAAATGGCTAAAATGCAAAGACAAGATCAACACTTACAAAACCAGAATCTGGATAGTCTCGTGATAGTCTCGTGATAGTCTCGTCAAAGGTAAAATATTCTTCAAGGTGTTGTTGAATTCTTCATGCTGTTCAACGACCTCTTTGACGTCACAATAAAAAGCACCATGCTCTTAGTTTGGTTTTCAATATTATTTGAAGCGTTGCTCTTCTGTTGTAGCCTAATGAATACAGGGTACTTGGCACGTCCAAAAAGAGACCTCTCTGTTTCGTTTGTAGATAAAAGCAATTTGCTTAAATTAATAATTTCTTTGGAAATCCGTTTGAAAGAAATATTGACTCTTTCTTCGTGGCTTTTCAATTCATTTTCAGACCCCAAGTCAGCATAATTCAAATGACAGCACATGTTATGAAAAACACTATTTGGTATGATCTTGCATGTTGTTCAATAGTCAGCTGGCTTCAATAATGTCTTCAGTATTTGTTTCGGTGTCTTGTCTCCAGTATTCCTATATTGAAATGTTTTTGTTGTACCTGTTTACTTATATATGTTCCGCTCGTCGTTTTACTCTGCTTATTCGTTTTACCGAATGTCCTTATTTGACTTTGCCACAAACTTTCGTAAGTGAAATCAGTCAATGAAGTTCTTTCATCACTTTTTTATACTTCCACTGTCTGAACTTTCGTTGATTTCAATGAATGGCAATCTTCTATTTGTCACAACAAGTACACGGTCAGAAGCATAGCGATGGTTTCTATGAATTTTGCGACTAGTCTTACAATGAAGATGGTAAAGGTCACTTACCAATCTCATGCAGCATTTGTAACTGCGTTCGATATTAACCACGCTAGACTTTGCATTTCTTGCTCTTTCAATCCACTTGATTTCAGACGTTTAAACATCCATTTGACAAACAACATATGTATGTAATGAAAAGGTCATTTGTGGCTACAAGGATGGATTTACTATCTCCACAAAGTTCTTCTTTTACAGGATGTGTATCGATCAATGAGTTGTGATGCACTCCTACCAAAAATGTGTTTGAATAGTGGATGTATAGTCCAACTTATAATTTCTCATTGTTTACTTGCTTACAAGTTAAAGCATCAATAATTTCATACCTACCGACCTTTGACAACGCGCCATTGCCTGATATGCACTCCTCTGTCAAACGGTTGGAGGATTTGATCAATTTGTTTTGCTGTGTCTTAACTTTCTAAAACAGTTCTTTTCCGAACTCTTGATTTTTCTTTGTTTTTTCTGGTTAGTTTTTCTGGTTAGTTTTTCTCGGTTTTATCTTGGGTTTCGTGGTTTTTATTTGGTTTCAGTCCATTCACCATGGCAATTGCTCTCCTAGTCAATAAAACTTATGTAAAATGTTGCTTTCCTAAATTCCTAATGGGGGTTGCTATGTTTAAAACAACTTGATTTTATTTATCAATTACTTTTCACCATATATTCATTTTCTTTATTTTGAATACTGACTGAAAATTTTCTGTTTTTCTTTTCAGCTAAACCAAATGTGATAATTAATTGTTCAAATCCTCTGGTTGTGAATGAAGGTGATAATGTGTCATGTGTATAGAGGTGAAGGAGGTAGCCCTCCTGCTAATGTCACATGGTTTGATAAAGATAACAACATAATTGGTGATGTTGGAGTTGTAAGTAAGACATTAGTAATCACTAATGTTACAGTGAATGATGGTGGAAATTACACATGTAAAGCACAAAGTTATAATGATCCACGTTTTAGAGATGAAAATCTATTGAAGTAACAGTGAAAGCTACTTGTAAGTTTTGTAAGAAAGCATTTCAGATCTCATTATAAACGTTTGACATTTAGGCATCAATGTCCTCTTTGCTGCCTGCTGCGCTGACGTATGCATCTGTCGTCACCTAGCTTTTAACTTTGCCTATTGCATATCTTCATTAAATAGGTTATCAAAAGCCTTAGACGACTATGATTTGTTTATAGCTCTTCGAAGACCAACGATAGTTGTTTAGGCTTCATAATAAGTCAATATTCTTTAGGTCTAGTCGGTCACGCAATTGACTTTCAAAATTTCAAAATTTTTTATTAATATGCATCTTGAAATTTGAGTGATTATTGTTACGTTGTTGTTCTTTTGCAACATCAAAGTCTTTTTTACAAATAAGATTTTCAATAAGCAAATTGGTTGTTAATGCAGCGGTTTAATGCAAAAATCTCATTGGATAGCAGTTTAGTGGAAAATTTCCACTAATCTGGACTTTTAGCCAGTGATAAACGGGCTTTCTGCTGGCTTGTGACTGGTTAGGGCATTGATCCAGCAGTCCTAAGAAAATGCACCTAACACTAACGACTACTCTCATTATAAATTTTCTTTTTCATAACTAATTTAAGAAAGGAATATTTTCTGTTTTAAATTTCAGTGAAACCAAAGGTAGTAATTCATTGTTCAACTCCTCTGGTTGTGAATGAAGGTGATAATGTATCATGTGTATGTAGAGGTGAAGGAGGTATCCCTCCTGCTAAAGTCACATGGTTTGATAAAGATAACAATATAATTGGTGATGTTGGAGTTGTAAATAAGACATTAGTAATCACTAATGTTGCAGTGAATGATGGTGGAAGTTACAGATGTAAAGCACAAAGTCATAATGATCCACGTTTTAGAGATCAGAAGTCTATTGAAATAGTAGTGCAATGTAAGTCTTCAACTTCTATATTTATACTTTTGTTGCTATAGATGTTTTAGTTTTTCAAATACGTTACTGTGGAAGTGTGTGTGTGAATATTAAATTTTATTTTTAGACCGACCACGACAAACCAATATTACCATCATTCCAATGCCAGCCACAAAAGGTCAAAGTGTGACAATATCCTGTGAGTCAGATGGGCATCCTGAACCAACCTACACCATTTACCACAATGATAACACCTCTGTTGTCAGCAATGAAAAAACACACACCATTCAGTCCGTCAACTTCAGTGATGCTGGTTCGTATCGTTGTGAAGCAAAGAATAAACTGGGAAATGATTCATCTCAAGTGAAAAATCTCACTGTCAACGAAGGTAAAATTAAGAGCCTCAGTTTATCACTTGTTGGACTTTTATTTTGCATTATGTACGAACTTTCTTGGTAGCAAAAGGTGAAAGACCGATGTTTATCTTATTATAATTAGCATTAGACTTCTTGAATGCGCTTGACTACCCTTATAACAATAAAATTTCACTAAACAACGAAGATTGCTCTGATTACATAACTTTTTACTGGCTCGTGTGGTAAAACAATGACTGGCAATGTCTGCATGCTGCATTAACCATAACGATTTATTCTATGAATATATATTCTTCAATGACTATCAGTAAAAATATGTTTAACTCATCTGTACTCCCCAGTGTAATCATTAAAGTGTTTATAAACGTAAATTGCCTAGAGTTCATTAATTTAAATAGATTACTTGGCGTGAATTGCTTAAATGACTGGAATTTCAAACTAGCAAATTTTCACGATTTGGTGGCACGCATTTCAATATTGAAGGAATTTCAATATTGGAATCATTCTCATTTGAACAAATTTTGTAATTGTGCTAGCTCCTATATCAAGCTCATTCAGTCTATCGCCGTCGATAATTACGTCATCGATGACGTTTACCTTTACGTCATCAATTAGTTCCACTCCCACTAATAACGGTAACTTTTTAACGTTTTTCTTTAATTCTTTCATGTGGAACATCATTTATGGAGAGTGTGTCTCACCATTTGTTTTTTAAACTTTTTTTATTAATTTATCAATTTACGTATGACCTGACACTAACTTTAGTGTGTATTGTGAATTTTATTTTTTTTTTGCATATCGCAATGTTTCATTTTGGCTATTTCAAACTATTTGCTAGACCTATTTAAAAAGCTATTGATTAATGTTTGAATTTGGGGTCGTCAAGAAGACTGTTTGATAAAATTTATCAAAGTTCACAACTCTTTATTTAAGTTAGCCAAAATACTTCTACAAGCAAAGATAATGGTAACAATAATTTTACAGTTAAAGATGATGATGATGATGGACCAAATATTGCTCTGATTGTTGGCATTGCTGTTGGAGCGGTTTTCCTTGTCGCCATTATAGTTGTTGTCATTTTCTGCTGTCGTAAATAAAAGCAAAGTAAGTTCAGCTTGGTAGCGTTGCATGAAATTTTAATCCGATCTGTATTGACGCTTTATTTTAAACCGGATTTGCAATTCTATATTGTCCCCAAATTTTGTAAAATTTTCTTTCATTTAAGATTCTAAGCTAATGGTAAAACAATGTAAATACAACGATTAAAAGAAATTATAGAACATTACTTTTGTACTTTTAATTTCTGAATTTGTTTTCGTGACTTGTTGGGCTTAGTGTTCTGGTTTTAAACAGTTCTTTTAAGAACTATTACGTCATTATTTTAACCATTCACCATGGTATTTGCTCTTTTTTAAACAATTTTAAATTCTAATATACCCGATTAAAAAGAGCAAAGTCGTCTGACGTCATCCATGTACAGTCCTTTGCTAAACAGAAGTTTGCAGTCCAACCATCTGAATTGAAGTCGCTTAGGTTGAAATGGTGAAGGTTAAAGGACAACTTGGTTATTTGTCATTTGATTCACTGTTTAACGAAATCAAAAATTTCTCAGTGATGCATGCCCCCTGGGACTCGTCAAGAACATTCTCAATCTAGCCACGTTTGGTATTTTCAACTAAAGACTGCAGGATAAGATCATTGGTAAGATAGATAGGGTAAGCAGGGGGGTGGATCAAGCTTTCCCAGGGCCCCTGGCGATTCCAAAGTCCCCCCCCCATCTGGAATTCTTTGTAGACAAAGTATAAGAAATTTTTAATTGTGCATTAAAATTGTGAAAATTACTGAGAATATTTCAGCAAAAGCGATTTATACAGATGTTATTTTTCACAATGATTTTCTTACAAAATCCACTTGTGGATGCTCACCGTCTTCAAGAGCATTGTAATCAACTAGGAAATGGATATTGGCACAACGTGTCGAAGTATACTTTCACAATTTATACATTCATCTAAAAGCACCATTAAGTCATATGTAAGGATAAAATTACAGAATAAAGATTGTGTGGCTGGTATTCTGTTTTTAAAACAACTCTGGGTAATTTGCGTGGCTTGTCATGAGAGAGGTTTTGATAAAATATGATCGCTCTGTTACATATGACAGCGTTGTCACAGCGTTTACATTCTTTTCATTACTTATATAAATATTTGCGCAACATGAGACCCGGAAATAATGTGAAATAAGGAAAATTAGCTGGTTTATTCAAGAAATACGAGAAGATTTTTCCCAGCTAGTTACTTCAGTATTGTTTAAGGTAAAGTGAATCATTTAAAATGTTATCAAATATTGACTGTTCAGTTCATTTGTAAATAATTTTATTGACATTTCACGGAATTTCCTGTGGAATTAAGAGTTGTCTGAGTTGTATCATAGTGGAAAGTACGTTAGTACTTTTGCAAAGTACAAAACGATGTATAAACACAACGTTTTCCAACGAAACTTTTGTAAGTTTTTACTGATGCTCTTGTTCCTTGAATATTATGGGAAATTAAAAATATACATAAAATATAAAGGAATACATCATATATTTATGTAGCAGTTCTGTGATTTTACTTAAGTTGCATCTTCACCTTAACCTTTATAGACAGAATACAAGATGGCAAAGTTTGGCTTCCTTTCATTTGTTTTGCTCTGTTGGATTTCATCTTGTCAAGGTATTTATTATTTTATTAGATTATTAAGGAAGTTAATGATTATTTTTGTTAAATAAAACTGTGGAATTTCTTAGAAATTTAAGCTAAATTGACTAAAATACTTGCTGGTTTTAATTTCTCATGTGTACACAATAACACTTATCGTAGCCAGTTCTCCATTTAAAAATAATCCAAAAGCAATATCTTGCAGTATTTTCATCTTTTAAATACATGCACATAATGGCTATTTAGCAAAGAAGTAAGAATATCTCATTTACAATAGGGTAATTGACATTTTTTGCAGTAAATAATGATAGCACCTATGCTTGTACAATAATACCAAATGTGTTTCACCATTATAAAATATGTTGCTCTATGCGGCTGTAGTGCAATTATGAATCTAAATTATAAATTATTAAATATTTATATGCCAGCTATTATTATTTATCAATTGATACTCATACCAATGTGTGAAGAATGTTTAATTGCCCATGACTTTATTCATACACCAATGCACTAAATCTTCTGTTAATTAGAAATTGACCTTGATCATTTAATTTCAAGGTTCATCACTTCTAGCAATTTTAGCTTCTTATGTAGCATTGCTTTTTTTGCTTAGAAAGATCACATTTGGCCCTGATGTACTAAAACTATTTTGTAATCATTCAGTTCAATTTTAAAAGGAAAAAAACTTGTTTGTAAATTTAAAAAACCTGCTTATCAGTTTCACAAATTTTTTTGTGAATCCTGGGACTGTAGGGTTTTCATAATTTTTCTAAAGTACTTCATTATAGTTGGAAACTGATTGTTGTCTTTTGATATCTGGTTAAAGTAATGTTCATCTTTTACATTCTAGTTAAATTTCCGCACTCCGACTTTCAATCAGTAATTAGCATGTGTCCTGCTTTATTTTCATGTAAGTTTTATTTGTATATGCAAGTTCTTCAATTTTAGCAGATAGTTATCATTCGTTGATACAAAAATGTTTTGATTTAATATTTTTCCAAAGTCTGGCAGTATATTTTATATCACGAACAACTTCTGCCAGAGTGTTATGCTGGAGTTAAACAGACTCGGCTCCAGAAGGCAAAAATAGGCCAAAGCTCCTTTGCAATTTGCATTATCCCTTGCATTGCTAGTTTTGTTTTACAGTGAAGTTTTAACATAATTTGAAAGCTTCAGACAGTTTCCCTAATTATTTATGTTGTTAATCATTGCTTTTATAGTTAGTGACAGGCTTGTTATCATTGTAGCATGTTGCTTTTCAATTTGCAAACTTTAAAGAAACACTAAATTGCCACACTTTAGATAAGTTATGGAGTCACCAGCAAACAATGGAGGTTTTGTTTTTTGTTAGACAGTAAGGCCAATCGTTAATGTTCAGTACAAAACGTAATGGCCCTAAAATACGTAGAATCTTGTGGCACTTTACACTTAATAAATTTTTATGATAACTAAAGTCTATTTATTTGGCATTTCTGTTATCGAATATGAAATATTTGCTATGTCATGCTATTTGCAATCCTTCTGAGTTGAAAGATTAAACATAAGTTTGAAATTAATCTCAATTGGAACAAATCGTTGGCAATTAAGTCCTATCAAAATGTTATGAAGACAAGAGTAAAAACAAAACTACACAGGCTTAATACAGTTGTATAATTTTCAATGTTATCTGATTTTTCAGTAAACGTTGGAAAGACAATTGTTAAAAATAGTAATTATCTCAAAAAATGGTTTGCATTTAAAATAGTAATGAATTTATAGTTAAAATTGGAGAGATTTCTTGAGGATGTTGCTTATTTTCGCTTTTACGAAATGAAATAACTTTGGGATTTCACTAAAGATGTTTTCGTAAAGTTTCTTATAAATTCTCGTATATTTTATGTACTTTAAATAAACATTTAAATTATTTCAAAACCATATGTACGCACTTTGTACCTATTTTTATTCATTTATCTTTCATTTCTGATCATAGGAGTAATTCTATCACCTCCTCCTGCCAATAGTTTTACATTTTTACCTGGAGAAACAGAAAATATAACGTGGACATTTGATGATGATTTAAACGATTTGGCCAGTAGAAATTGGCTTTTTACGGGTAGTAGTACTGGTTCACAATCAACACTGTTGGCCACTGTCACTCTGGATTTGTCAGTGATAAATCTTAATGATCCAATTCTTCCAAATTATGACGTCTACAAACCTTCAACGCTGCGATTAAGAAATATCACTCATAGTTATGATGGAACCTATGAGTTTCAATTAACAAGAAGGGGCAGTGCGTCATCTTCTTTTATATCTAAAGTCAGAGTTTTCGTTGCAAGTAAGTCGTCCTTTTTTATTATTTTATATTCTTATCAGTTTTAGAAATTTATATTTTCATTTGAAAATTAATTAAAGCAATACATCTATTCAGTTAGAAACGTAGAAAAATAATTAGACCAGTGGTTGCAACGTTAGGGGACTAAGAAATTCAAACCATGTGCATGCGTCGTATGGCTCATGTTATTGGTTGATTACGAAATCATGGGTTAAAGTGTATATTAGCTACCAGAGGCGGTTCTAGAATTTTTCAAACGTCATCCATAAAACAGCGGACGCCGGAAATCCTCCCTTGGAAATTTTGAAACATAAGGTTCTAGAAATGCAATTTCAAGCATTTTGGAATACCTTAACTGACAATTTTTGCAGGGTTACAAAGTGAGCGAAATCGCCGTTGGTAAAAATCAATGATAATAATCAATGCTCTTCCTCATGTTGACTACATCATTCTTCAAAGTGGTTATCAAATGAAAACCATCCATAACATCATAGTTTCTCTATGCAACAATTGCGTACTGGAAAAGTAGCATCCAGAATCTTTTTGGTAAAAACTAGCGCAACAATAAAACGAAATTGAGTGACTAATGAAAGTAAGTAAGAAGCATCAGCAGCAAGGGAAGGCTTTACCTCGTCGTTTACATTGTTTATCATGTCCTGAAGAGTGTCGATTAAAGGGATAAACGTTTCAACGTTTCAAGAATGTAAACTCGCTGAACCCATCTGGTTTTACAAAAACTTACCAGTTTTGCCTTCTTGGTCTGAACATCTGACTTTTTCACGTGCTCAGCAAAGGGCATGTTGCGAATCTGTGATATGTTGATAAAATTGGCAGCTTGACAAACAACAGATAACATGTTATTAATTTCAACGTTAGAAAGAGTCTTACAGACAGATGAATTTAGTCCATGACTTTAACAGTGAGTGTTTAAATTGCATTCATTAAAGAATCAACAAATCGTTGAACAAGGGGCAACTGTTCTTTTTCAGAAGAATCGCAGCTTCATCTGCAATGATAGAATAATATCTATTTTTTATCTCTGTCGATATTACTTGATCAAAACAATTGATGATTTTTTTTGGCTTGTCTTGGCAATATTCGTTTATGCTTGTCACATTTAAACAAATGATTTTCCAAAGTTTGATCACCAGCTCTAACTCTAAAATTTTAACATTCAACAAAATTTTGTTGCTAGCAGTTGGATAAACTGGATTAATCGCCCGCTTACCACAGTATTGTTTCCATTTTGATAAAATTTCTTTGTATTGTTTTGGTGTACCAATCCGCCAGGCTGCCTCCATGATGTTGATTTCCAAAACAGCTTCGCATTTTTTCTGCGTTATATCGTTTAGGGAAAGTAGTTTATGTAACGTGGGTTTTATAATGATGCCCAACGTCTAAATGATAGCTCACAGGTTGTGTGGTCTAATAGCGCATGAGCATTCGTGTTAAGTTTGGTTACTTCATCAACCTCGGACAATTTTATCTGCCTCCACTGGACAAGCATTTCTGTCGATTGTGCTAGAATGGCCCCGACCTTTACCAGGATTTTCTAGACTGCCGAATAGTAATCAGTATATCTGTTGTGTTTTTAGAAAAATATAAAAATATCATTCGTACGATAAAAAACAGTTTTTACCATCATAAGAAATGATGTAACAGACATTTCAACATTTCATGGTTAAAAATATTTTTGTTCTACACTGCATTGTTGTTAGATAGTGTTTATGTAAAACGATGTCTTCAATTTGTCTTCTTTTTAGTAAAACCAAATGTTGCAATTAGTTGTTCAACTCCTCTGGTTGTGAATGAAGGTGATAATGTATCATGTGTATGTAGAGGTGAAGGAGGTAACCCTCCTGCTAAAGTCACATGGTTTGATAAAGATAACAATATAATTGGTGATGTTGGAGTTGTAAATAAGACATTAGTAATCACTAATGTTACAGTGAATAATGGTGGAAATTACACATGTAAAGCACAAAGTTATAATGATCCACGTTTTAGAGATGAAAAATCTATTGAAGTAAAAGTGAAAGCTACTTGTAAGTTTGTAAGACAGCATTTCAGATCTCATTATAAACGTTTGTATAGGATATTGAATTTAATTTTATTCTTTACAGATCCACCACAACAAACCAATATCACCATCAGTCCAATGTCAGTAAAACAAGGTCAAACTGTGACAATAACCTGTGAATCAGATGGTTATCCTGAACCGACCTACACTATTTATCATAATGGTGCAGTTATCAGTAATAATAAGACATACATCATTCAATCTGTCAACTTCAATCACGCTGGTTCATATCGTTGTGAAGCAAAGAACAAACTGGGAAATGATTTATCTGATGTTAAAAATCTTACCATCATCAAAGGTAAAATTAAAATTTTACTTTCATCAATTTTTGAGATAGTTTCCTACATTGTACGTAAATCAGAATTATTTACGACTTGTCAATGTTCATCTTCAATTGATTTTCATTTGTACACGATAGTACAAGATTGCAAAAAAGGTCTTTAAAAGTCTTAACATAAAACTATCATAAAAAATGCTCTTTGAACTCCACAACACAGGCGTTGGTGCTTATTTTCCTATCCTTACTTCGCATGCTTTCAGGCACACGGCGCCGAAAGTTATTCTAGAGCGACCGTATGGAAAACAACTCACCATGTTTTGCATGGGAACAAAACAATGTTAACGAGTTTGAATCTGAAGTTTAGGGTGATCCATTTTTGCTTGAGGTCGTACATATCCTCTGTGACATAGGTCTCTCTAAATTGTGGTGCCTCAGCTTCAAAACCTGAGTTCCTCTGTCATCATATTTTCATTTGAACAGCTCACAGGGTATTATGCATGTGGTAGTCGTCGTCGTTGTTATGATAGATAAAAATATACTTAGGTGTGATATGTTTTGTTATCTGTCATTTGGTACTGTTTTATTTAAAATTGGTCTTTATTGGCTCAAAATGATATAAGTTTTATTCGATTTTATAGTTTTATCTTTAATTTCTTGTAATAGGAAAAATTCTATCACCTCCCTGGCACAAGTTTTACATTTTACCTGGAGAAACACACAATATAACGTGGACATTTGATGATGATTTAAATGATGTGGCCAGTAGAGATTGGTTTTACGGGTAGTAGTAATGGTTCAACAGCAATACGTTTGGCCACTGTCTTTCTGGATTTATCAGTGCAAAACTTTAATGAACCAATTCTTCCAAATTATGACGTCTACAAACCTTCAACGCTGCAATTAAGAAATATCACTCACAGTTATGATGGAACGTATGAGTTTCAATTGAGAAGAAAGGGCGATTCATTACCTAGTTTTATATCTAAAGTCAGAGTTTTTGTTGCAAGTAAGTCTCCTATTTTTATTATATTGTATTCTTATTAGTTTTAGAAATTTATATTTTTCATTTGAAAATTAATGAAAGCAATACATCTATTCAGTTAGAAACGTAGAAAAATAATTAGACCAGTGGTTGCAACGTTAGAGGACTAAGAAATTCAAACCATGTGCATGCGTCGTATGGGTCATGTTATTGGTTGATTACGAAATCATGGGTTGAAGTGTATATTGGCTACCAGAGGCGGTTCTAGAATTTTTCAAACTTCAGCCATAGAACAGCGGACGCCGGACATCCTCCCTTTGGAAATTTTGAAACATAAGGTGCTAGAAATGCGATTTCAAGCATTTTGGAATACCTTGACTGTCAATTTTTGCAGGGTTACAAAGTGAGCGAAATCGCCGTTGTTAAAATCAATGATAATAATCAATGCTCTTCCTCATGTTGACTACATCATTCTTCAAAGTGATTATCAAATGAAAACCATCCATAACATCAATAGTTTTTCCATGCAATAATTGCGTACTGGAAGAGTAGCATCCAGAATCTTTCTGGTAATAACTAGCGCAACAATAAAATGAAATTGAGTGACTAATGAAAGTAACTGGGAAGCATCAGCAGCAAGGAAAGGCTTGACCTCGCCGCTTACATTGTTTATCATGTCCTGAAGAGTGTCGATTAAAGGGATAAATGTTCGAACGTTTGAAGAATGTAAACTCGCTCAACCCATCTGTTTTTACAAAAACTTACCAGTTTTGTCTTCTTGGTCTGAACATCTGACTTTTTCACGTGCTTAGCTAAGGGCATGTTGCGTATCTGTGTTATGTTGATGAAATTTGCAGCTTGAGAAACAACAGATAACATGTTATTAATTTCAACGTTAGAAAGAGTGTTACAGACAGGTGAATTTAGTCGATGACTGAATGATGACTATAGAATAATATCTATTTTTTATCTTCGTCGATATTACCTGATCAATGCAAGTGATGATTTTTTTGTCTTGTCTGGGCAATATTCTTTTATACATGCCACATTCGAACAAATGATTTTCAAAAGTTTGGTCACCAGCTCTAACACTAAAATTTTAAGATTCAACAAAATTACCAACATTGTTTTTAACTGAATAGCAACCAACCTCTGAGTGAATTTGAGTATCATAACGATGACGTCGTAATCCAATGGCAATTAAGAAACACCAAAGCAAAACCTTTGTCAATAAGACAAAGTCCATATTTAGTTGACATGGAATTCTGGAAACGATTGTATCCTATAGTCAGCCTCGTTACTCATCGGTAGAATGTAAACAGTTTGCGTTAGACTACCATTTCACACATAACACTATAAGTCCGAGTTATCCACACTCAGGTGGATTACGTCTGATAAACAGTTCAGACAGTCAAAAACATTCTAAAAAGAAATGCAAAGCGAATGGACAAGACCGACAACAATATTTTGTGCTGTTAGACTATCGTAACACCCCCATTGACGGTATGTGCCCCGCGCAAGCCGCTTTGATCAACCATTCCTACTTTACAATGTAAGCTGTATCCCAAACCTATCGACCAAGCTCCATTTCACACTGCTCGTCAATAACTGCACTGCCAAGGCTTCGCAACAACTGAAAGAAGGTGAATGAGTGAGATTTCGCCAAGACTCGGTATGACCATGGACTCGCGAAACGATGATACGAAAGCATTAAACACCCAGAAGCTACATGGTAAAAAGCGACTACAGAACAGAACACAGAAGAAATCGTAGGTACATACTCAAGACCTGAATTCAGATTCAGCTGCAAATGCTGCTACAGAGAATGTCCAATGGGGTTGGGGCTGTGTGGCAGAATGGTTTTCTTCCAAGCTATAAAGATGACATTTCTTTCGAAAAACAAATTCTTGGTTATGGAATGTTTTCACTGCTCGCCATGTTGGTAGAAAATCTCCTATAGGTAAAAGAATCTGTATTTATTTTATGTTGTGTTCAGCGTAGGCCCTTTGAAGTTGCCTACCAACATGGTCGCTTTGACGTCATCACACGAAAGAGCTTCATTCTCTTTTTTCATCGTTAGTAGATAAAAGTAATTTGCTTAATAATTTCTCGCGAAATCTATTCGAAAGAAATATCCTTTTCAAGAAGTTATGATCACTTTCCTTGAACTCATCCGATGGCAATCTAAATAGCATGCGTCAGCGCAATTCTTACCACATAATTGGCAATAAAAACGTAGGACTTCTTATTGCGTTGCATTAATTGTGAAAGAAATATTTGCTATTTTCAGCTATTAGTTGGAAGTTTATTAAAGCCTTGCAATTTCAGAAAAATCTCTTAGACTTTATTTTTTCATTATGTTGAAGAGAAAATTGTTTCAGCATCCATTTTCTTTATCATAATTAGTGAAATTTTTTTGCTTTTGTTTTCAGTAAAACCTACAGTGGTGATTAATTGTCCAACTCCTCTGGTTGTGAATAATGTGTAAATGAAGGTGATAATGTGTCATGTGTATGTAGAGGTGAAGGAGGTAATCCACCTGCCAATGTCACATGGTTTGATAAAGATAACGCAAGAGTTCGTGTGTTTGGAGTTGAAAGTGCGACTTTAGTAATCCCTAATGTTGCAGTGCATGATAATGGAAGTTACACATGTAAAGCACAAAGTTATGATGATCCAGGTTTCAGAGATCAAAAATCCATTGAAATACAAGTAAAATGTAAGTTTTGCAGATATATATTTTATCATCTTGTTACTATAGATGTTTGAAAACTTCGTCTTCAACTTTGTTATTATTGACGTGTGGTAAAATATCATGACTTTGGAATATTATACACCTATTGTATGCTCCCAAGGGAAATAGTGAGTTTAGTTTTCCAAGAGTCTCAATACATTGCATGCGATTCGAGGGAAAGCAAAGCTCAGTATTTCTCACGGAATCATACATTAAGTGTTTTGTTATATATAGGAACAAAATTCATAGATTTCACAGCTTTTAAATGAAATTAACGTCTCTTTGGGGGGGAGATTTGTCCGTCGAGATTTCGTTTCATAATGCTATAAGGGTGACCACAGCATTTTTGGAGCACTTCTAAGGGTTTTTACAATATTTTTTTCTATTACAAGTTGAATTTCGTTGCTTGATAAACTCGAGACTTGTATTTTTAGTTTTCGGCTCCATAGCTGTTTTATTTTTTATGATATTAAAATCAGCACGCAACAATTTTTCACTTGTTTCTCTCATGGGAAACATTGCGTCTATTTTAAGTCATGTGACTACGAATGAACCAATCAAATTTTACATACACAGCACATACAACAATGAATTTTATTCTTTATAGATCCAACATTCCTCTTCCGCTTTTTACCCCTACCTCACTGACGCTTACATATTGTTTCTATCATGGCTATTATTGTGATTCTGTTTTTAATTTCAGTTAAACCAACAGTGTCGATTAACTGTTCATCTCCTCTGTTTGTGAATGAAAGTGATAATGTGTCATGTGTATGTAGAGGTGAAGGAGGTCACCCTCCTGCTAATGTCACATGGTTTGATAAAGATAACACAACAGTTCGTGTGTTTGGAGTTGAAAGTGCGACTTTAGTAATCCCTGATGTTAATGTAAATGATAATGGAAGTTACAGATGTAAAGCACAAAGTTATGATGATCCAGGTTTCAGAGATCAAAAATCCATTGAAATACAAGTAAAATGTAAGTTTTGAAGATATATATTTTATCATCTTGTTACTATAGATGTTTGAAAACTTCCTCTTCAACTTTGTTATTATTGACGTGTGGTAAAATATCATGACTTTGGAATATTATACACCTATTGTATGCTCCCAAGGGAAATAGTGAGTTTAGTTTTCCAAGAGTCTCAATACATTGCATGCGATTCGAGGGAAAACAAAGCTCAGTATTTTTACGGAATCATACATTAAGTGTTTTGTTATATATAGGAACAAAATTCATAGATTTCACAGCTTTTAAATGAAATTAACGTCTCTTTGGGGGGGAGATTTGTCCGTCGAGATTTCGTTTCATAATGCTATAAGGGTGACCACAGCATTTTTGGAGCACTTCTAAGGGTTTTCACAATATTTTTTTCTATTACAAGTTGAATTTCGTTGCTTAATAAACTCGAGACTTGTATTTTTAGTTTTCGGCTCCATAGCTGTTTTATTTTTTATGATATTAAAATCAGCACGCAACAATTTTTCACTTGTTTCCCTCATGGGAAACATTGCGTCTATTTTAAGTCATGTGACTACGAATGAACCAATCAAATTTTACATACACAGCACATACAACAATGAATTTTATTCTTTATAGATCCAACATTCCTCTTCCGGTTTTTACCCCTGCCTCACTGACGCTTACATATTGTTTCTATCATGACTATTATTATGATTCTGTTTTTAATTTCAGTTAAACCAACAGTGTCGATTAATTGTTCATCTCCTCTGTTTGTGAATGAAAGTGATAGTGTGTCATGTGTATGTAGAGGTGAAGGAGGTATTCCTCCTGCTAATGTCACATGGTTTGTTAAAGATAGCACAACAGTTCGTGGATTTGGAGTTGAAAGTGCGACTTTAGTAATCCCTGGTGCCTCACCAAATGATCGTGCAAGTTACAGATGTAAAGCTGAAAGTTTTAATGATCCACGTTTCATTGACGAAAAATCCATTGAAATAATAGTGAATTGTAAGTTGCGAACTTATATATTTAGTACTTTTGCAATAAAGTTTTCAAATTGTCAAATACGTACAATTTTGAATTTTAATTTCAGATAAACCAAGAACTACGACCATAACCCTATCAAAAATAAATCCAAAAATTGGTGAAAGTGTGATTATAACCTGTGAATCAGATGGTTATCCTGAACCAACCTACACTATTTATCATAATGGTGCAGTTATCAGCAATAATAAGACATACATCATTCAATCTGTCAACTTCAATCACGCTGGTTCATATCGTTGTGAAGCAAAGAATAAACTGGGAAATGATTTATCTGATGTTAAAAATCTTACTATCATCAAAGGTAAAATTAAAATTTTACTTCATCAATTTTTGGGCTAGTATTCTACATTGTACTTGAACAAATTACGACTGTTCAGTTTCATCCCATTTGTACACGATAGTACAAGATTGTGCTGAACAATGAAGATAGTTATATATTTTTCTTTGTTGGCGAGATTTAGATTCGTTGTGCTGAAAGACTAACACTGCCAATTATAATTGACACTTAAGTCACACCTCATATGCCCCTTTCGCTGCCTACTGCGCTGATGTATGCATCTGTCGTCACCTAGCTGTTAACTTTGCCTATTGCATATCTTCATCAAATAGGTTATCAAGAGCCTTAGACGACTATGATTTGTTTATAGTTCTTCGAAGACCAACGATAGTTTTTTAGGCTTCATAATAAGTCTATATTGTTTATGTCTAGTCGGTCACGCGATTGACTTTTAAAATTTCAAAAATCATTATTAATATGCATCTTGAAAGTTGAGTGATTATTGTTATGTTGTTGTTCTTTTCCAACATCAAAGTCTTTTTTACAAATGAAATTTTCATTAAGCAAATTGGTTAATAATGCAGCGGTTTAATCCAAAAATCTCATTGAATAGCAGTTTAGTGGAAAATTTCCACTAATCTGGACTTTTAGCAAGTGATAAGCGGGCTTTGTGCTGGCTTGTGACTGGTTAGGGCATCGATCCAACACTCCTAAGAAAATGCACCTAACACTAACGAATAATCTCATTATTAATTTTCTTTTTCATAACTAATTTAAGAAAGGAATATTTTCTGTTTTTAATTTCAGTGAAACCAAATGTGATAATTAATTGTTCAACACCTCTGGTTGTGAATGAAGGTGATAATGTATCATGTGTATGTAGAGGTGAAGGAGGTAACCCTCCTGCTAATGTCATATGGTTTGATAAAGATAACAACATAATTGGTGATGTTGGAGTTGAAAGTAAGACATTAGTAATCACTAATGTTACATTGAATGATGGTGGAAATTACACATGTAAAGCACAAAGTTATGATGATACAGATTATAAAGATGAGAAATCCATTGAAATAACAGTGACACCTACATGTAAGTTTGCAAGGCGGCATTTCAGATCTCATTATAAACGTTTGTGTCGGAGATTGAATTTATTTTTATTCTATACAGATCCACCACAACAAACCAATATCACTATCAGTCCAATGTCAGTAAAAAAGGTCAAACTATGACAATAACCTGTGAATCAGATGGTTATCCTGAACCAACCTACACTATTTATCATAATGGTGCAGTTGTCAGTAATAATAAGACATACATCATTCAATCTGTCAACTTCAATCACGCTGGTTCATATCGTTGTCAAGCAAAGAACAAACTGGGAAATGATTTATCTGATGTTAAAAATCTTACTATCATCAAAGGTAAAATTAAAATCTTACTTTTATCAATTTTTGAGATAGTATCCTACTTTGTACGTAAATCAGAATTATTTACGACTTGTCAATGTTCATCTTCAATTGACTTGCATTTGTACACGATAGTACAAGATTGTAAAAAAGTCTTTTTTACAAATGAAAATTTTCATAAAGTAAATTGCTTTATGAAGCAGCGGCCAAAAATCTCATTAGTTACCAAATTAGTGGGAAAATTCCACTAATCTGGACTTTTACTGATTAGCGCGATATACGCTGGTTGGTAAATGACTTAGACATGGCCATTCTTACGCTAGTCGTAGTTCGGCCGTCTAAAATTGTGATCGTACTCAAATTGTAAATCAGCTACTGCGCATGCTCTATGGACTCAGACTGTTTCACCCGGATCCGTGGCATCAAATTTTGCCTTTTTTATCGTTCTTTTTATCGTTGTGAAGCAAGTTTACACTGGGCAAAGATTTGATGTTAAGAATTTCGCTATCAACCAAGGTAAAAAGATGGAGCTTCACTCTTTCATTTGAATTGTTCTTTTTGGTCAATTATTATTATTTTTTTCGATAGTTATTTCTGTCTTTCAGTATTCTGTCAGCATTTTCATCTCTTTGACATTTTAATTTGAGTTGATTTCTGTGTAGCTATTTTAGCATTTGTCATTGAAGCATTTGTCAAAATATTCATCTACTGATTGCAACACGAAAGGTAATTTATTTACTATGCTTTAAAATCATATTTATGTTTAAAATACTATTAGCTCTTTCTGTTCAATTTGCATGCGCTACCTGAGATGCTAAAAATCCTTAAAAGAAAATTTAAGCAAAACGCTCTTTTATAGCAAACTTTAGCTTAGACTTAATGGAAATGTTCAATTCAATCTATCCAATGCTCAATCAAAATGCTCCAATCTTGTTATCATATGTTATCATAATGCTAAATTATTAAGTATCTACTTTTGTGTTATGTTTATTGTAGAAAAAGGATACCAGTAAGTGAATTATTCATTTTTATTTTCTTTGTGTGATATGTGATGTTAATGTGTTTTTTATTTCTCATCTTTTGAATAAAATATTTTCATGGTTTGAGCAAGTTAGAGAAGCTGTTGTATTTCGTACAGTACGAACTGTTATATTAATGTTTTATCTATATTTTCTTTGTTTCGTCTATATCATGTACAAAATTTAATCATGGTTGTTTATGTTGCAGCCGTGAAAATGGTGTTGAACCATTAGCAGGAGCTAATAATGCACAACCCAATCATTATGAAGTGGCTGGAGAACTTAGAGAGAATGCTTATTTACTGTTTCATATTGATTACCCACAGATTCATGAATCTGTTGGTAATCAATATGAAACAGTAAATAATCCATCAACAAGTGATGAAAGTAAACCATCAACAAGCAAAGCACCACCACCTGTATATTCCCTCGATCGATAGAGAAAACAGAAAGGAAATCCGGTTTGTTGTGGATATTTGTCATTTATTATTTAGAAATAGGATTTGTGCATTTATTTTGTTTTAGTTGGATTATGGTGATGATTAATTTGAATGCATCATGGGATTATGCAGGGGGGGGGGTTAAAAACTGCTCGTATGTGAAAGCACCCGATATTTAGAATTATTGTTATTTAGCAGTAATTGATTCTCAAAGACCTGTAAACACACTTGAAAACAATACATACGAATTGCTTCATTGAAACTTGATTTTATATTAGACGAGTGTCTCTAATAAGCGCTCAGTCTGCAATAGACAAACCCGGCACATTGTCATAATTTAAATTTTGTTATCGATTGGGCTAAGAAACCGTATATTTAGTCTTGACTTTGTTTCTGTTTGCTCACAATAAGGTGATAGAAAATGGTGTAAACGTCTCTCTCTATTTCACTACTCGTGTCAACTGAACGTCCCCCCCCTCTCTCGAACTGCTTTGGAATTTATTTAACGTCACGGGTTTATTAGATCATTTACGATGATTAAAAAACCTACATATATTTTATCATCATATGTATATATGATAAAGTATATACAAAGTGTATAACAATGTGCCCTCCTGGCTATCACCATAATAAAATGGTGACTCCTGCACTTGGGACACAGGATGTACGGTTACACATTGTATGGATTGTTTTGTAACCAGAGTGCTCAAACATAATATAAAAAAACAATGTTTGTAATGACAATATAAACGTATTTTTTCTGTAGTTATGCTCCTCACTTGATTTAAAAGATGTCCCTTAAAAAAACCCTGCCCAAAATCGTCCTGCACCAACTGAATACGCCAGGATTGATATGAGTAAACTGGCACCTGTCGAGAAAAAAGACGACAAGAAAGGTGATGACAAAAAAGGCGATGAAAAGAAGGAATAGTAAGTTTTATCTTTTGGAAAAGATCCACAAAGCTCGACGTAATTCTTTGATGGTTGAAGAAAAAGTAAAATTGATTCATTTGTTGAATATTTTTAAAAATGCCGAAAACATGTTTTTCTTTCTCTTATTATGGTAGTTTAATCTTATTATAAATTTCCTTTAGAACTGGCGATCGTCGTTAATAAAACAAGAGTACGTAAAGACTGTTACTACATTTATAAAGTTTTATTTTGTTCTTCATTAGATAATCTAGATTTGATCTCTAAACAGTATTAAACTGAATACTTTATGATTGTGTCTGTGTACATAATCTTTTGCCGTGAACAAACTTGAATCTTGGCATCTATGCTACAGTTTGTGAATGTGTATTTTACTTGCCTTTATAAGGCAACAACATTACACACTGACTTTAACACAGCATTTTGAATAGAATATTGTTTTAATCGTAGTTTTACTTTTATTATTTTAATTATCATGGTTAAACCATTTAAACTTTTATTTACATAGAAATTAAGTGTAGAAATTAGAGAAATCAAGCAATTTCAAGGAGTGTGATGGAAAACTCTTTAAATTTCTTCTTTACGATTGAATGATTTCATATGCATTAGTGTAAGGGATGTTTACGAATAAAACAATTTCGTGATCATTATTATTTTTGCTTGTTTATTTTCGTGTCTACTGTAGATGTGAGATTTTACCTACCCCCAAAGACAAGCTAACATTGAGTGGCTTTGTTTCAGCAAGCTTGGGCGGTAAAGAAATTTTTTAATTTAAAAATTTCTAGGAAGACAGCAAACTGCCATTAAAAACAATTTAGTGAACAAAATGTAACTAAATTTTAATGTGTGAGTCACTGCACAATGGATTGTGCTATCCTTCCTTCGTATAAACAATGCTTCAATTCCATAAACATCAATTGTAGTTTTCAGCAAGCAAATATCTCAATTATGCTCATCAGTGGACAATATTCATTGATCTTTAATGATAATCAATGACAGGTGAGCAGGATAGCCTAAGGTAGAAGATAGCCTAAATATATATATACCGCAGAATGCAGATTTTCAATTATTTCTTACACTAAAATGATTCGTAAAATTCAAATGTCTTACTTGGGAGTGAATACGCTTTATTTTAAACCGGATTTGCAATTCTATATTGTCCCCTTATTTACTAAAATTTTGTAAAATTTTCTGTCATTTAAGATTCTAAGCTAATGGGAAAACAATGTAAATACAACGATTAAAAGAAATTATAGAACATTACTTTTGTACTTTTAATTTCTGAATTTGTTTTCGTGACTTGTTGGGTTTAGTGTTCAGGTTTTAAACAGTTCTTTTAAGAACTATTACGTCATTATTTTAACCATTCACCATGGTATTTGCTCTTTTTTAAGAAATTTTAATTCTAATATACCCGATTAAAAAGAGCAAAGTCGTCTGAAGTCATCCATGTACAGTCCTTTGCTAAACAGAAGTTTGCAGTCCAACCATCTGAATTGAAGTTGCTTGCATGGGTTGAAGTGGTAAAAGTTAAAGGACAACTTGGTTATTTGTCATTTGATTCACTGTTTTACGAAATCAAAAATTTCTCAATGATGCATGCCCCCTGGGACTCGTCAAGAACATTCTCAATCTAGCCACGTTTGGTGTTTTCATCTAAAAACTTCAGGATAAGATCATTGGTAGGATAGATAGGGTGAGCAGGGGGGCGGATCAAGCTTTCCCAGGGCCCCTGGCGATTCCAAAGTCCCCCGCCCCCCATCTAAAATTCTTTGTAGACAAAGTATAAGAAATTTTTAATTGTGCATTAAAATTGTGAAAATTACTAAGAATATTTCAGCAAAAGCGATTTATACAGATGTTATTTTTCACAATGATTTTCTTACAAAATCCACTTGTGGATGCTCATCGTCTTCAAGAGCATTATAATCAACTAGGAAATGGATATTGGCACAGCATGTCGAAGTATACTTTCACAATTTATACATTCATCTAAAAGCACCATTAAGTCATATGTAAGGATAAAATTACAGAATAAAGATTGTGTGGCTGGTATTCTTTTTTTAAAACAACTCTGGGTAATTTGTGTGGCTTGTCATGAGACAGGTTTTGATAAAATATGATCGCTCTGTTACATCGCTCTGGACTGATTGTTTCCTTCAATATTAATGGTTATAGGAAATCAAAAATATACATAAAATATGAAGGAATACATCATATATTTCTGTAGCAGTTCTGTGATTTTACTTAAGTTGCATCTTCACTTTACCTTTATAGACAGAATACAAGATGGCAAAGTTTGACTTCCTTTCATTTGTTTTGTTCTGGTGGATTTCAACATGTCAAGGTATTTATTATTTTATTAGATCATTAAGGAAGTAAATGGTTATTTTGTCAAATACAACTGTGGAATTTGCTTAGAATTTTAAGGTATATTGACTAAAATACTCACTTAATTCTTCATTTTGTGTACAATGACCATAATCAGTTCTGCATTGAATGAAATAATTTAAAAGCAATACCTGGTAGTATTTTAGAAGACAAAGAGTGTTCATTTCTTGCGTAATTTTCATCCAACGTTAGTTCAGTGAGTAAACGTCTCTGTGTACAGTGCTTCAGCTGATTTGAACCCTCCTAAAAATAGTTAAAATAAATAAATAAATTTTCATCCACAAAATGAAAAATGCTACAATTTTTATTAGGAGTATTGAAAATTAAATTAATCATTTACGTAATAAAAATAAGAAAATTTCGCGTAACTGACTTCATGAAAATTTATTCAGGAGCGACCGTATTCACCATGTTTTTCATGGGAACAAAACAATCTTATTAAGTTTGAGTCTGAATTTTAGCGTGGTTTATTTCTATGTAGGGGGTACATATCCTCTGTGTCATAGGTCCTAGACTAATCGATGTCTTAACAGTACACCTAATGAACACCAAATTCGAAATATTCTGATATCGATATCAATTCATCCCCTACATCCGTGTTGAATTTCTAAACATTCACAATGTCTTTTAACTTGTCAAACTTTCTACGTTTTCCTTCCTAAGACTTAATAAATAGAGCGCTTTTATCTTCATTTTCAATTTTTTTGCCTTAAAGAAATGAGTTATTTTCTCCACATATTGCGTCAAAGCCTTAATGTCATCACTATTCTACCATGCGTAACATTCTTCATTGTCTGTGTAATATATTGATTCACGCGTAGTTGAATACTGACTTAAATAATTTAGCAGCTGGTATAAATATATAGTAACAATGATTACACTTTAACAACATTATCATTGCAATACTGCAATAGTTTATTTCAAGGTCATTATTTTTCTCTTTATAATTGTGGTGTCTTTGTGGAACACCTTCAAAAACCTGAATTCCTCTGCCTTTGTATGCTCATTTGAAGAGCCTAATGCTCATTAAGCTTTGGTAGTCGTTGTTATGATTAATAAGATGTTTCTTATGTTTCTTAATGGCTCAGACTGACTTATTTGCAATTGTCTCATGACACATCGGGGCCTCTCCTGGAAATCAAAACGGGCCTTTTATTGTACACATCTAGCTATATGATATCAATGTGACTGAAATTGAAAAAATTAGGAATATGTAAATACTTTTAAATTTTCAACTAACATCAAAGTCATCAGGAATGGAACAACTTCTCTTTTTTATAACACTAAAATATTTTACTTGGCTAGCAAAGGCTCTGATATTTGAAGTTGTTCAGAATGATATAAATTGTTGTCAATGACGACATAATGCCCTCATTTTTAGACACTGAAAAATAAATTTATAAATTTGACGCGGGGATATTTTCCGGGGGCCACCTACGATTGAAATGACAATTTCCTTAAATTGGAGTTAGGGTGAGCCTGGTTCTCTATGTTAATTTTGTTTTATATGTTTCTGTTATCTATCCTTTGCTACTGTTTTCATTTAATAATTGATATTTAATGGATTAAAATGAATTAAACGTTATTAGATTTTATATATTTGTCTTTTATTTCTTGTCATGTATAGGAATTATTCAATCACCTCCCTCTGGAACAAGTTTTACATTTCTACTTGGAGAAACGAACAATATAACGTGGACATTTAATGATAGAGAAAGTGATTTGGACAGTAGAGATTGGTATTTTACTGGTAGTAGTAATGGTTATGCACAAACACTTTTGGCCATTGTTTTTGAAAACTTTAATGTAATAAAGTTACGTGCACAAATTCCTCCAAATTATAACGCCTACAAACCTTCAACGCTGCAATTAAGAAATATCACTCATAGTTATGATGGAACGTATGAGTTTCGATTAACAAGAAAGGACAGTCTGTTATCTCCTTTATATCCAAAGTCAGAGTTTTCGTTGCAAGTAAGTCATCCCTGTTTTTTTATTATTTTGTGTTTTTATCAATTTTAGAAATTGGTATTTTTTTATTTGAACATTTAATATAATTACAATATGATTTATATCGATCATTTTAACTCTGTAGAACCCACAATGTAATTTTCTATAGCTAAAACTATTTCCATTGACGTTTTTACTCATTTGGAGTCATTACTTGCTGAAATGGGGAAAAAAATTTTGTTAGGTCCCATTTTAGCCTCTATTTTAGCCTCATAATAAAGTATATATGTAACACCGAGCTAATTGTGGCATAAAAGATAACTTTATGCATTTCAAAATGGTTTGTAAGAATATGCACCTCAAATAGCAGGGCAAAATGTATAATTTTTTTAGTCAACACAAAACAAGGTTTTTAAGAATGAAAAAAAATATGTTTTTTGAAATGCTATCACTGGTGGAAATCATAGAAACAATTACGTTCCTCAGCAAAACAAAGTCTAACGTCACATTTCATACACACAGTGTTTGTGTTGTTTTTCATGCAAAGTTTGCACCGCCCACGTTTCTCACTTTTCTTTGGCCAATGACAGTAGCCATTATTCTGAATATCAGCAGTAGGCAATCGCTGTTTTTTCTTTGGTTGTTGCGGGTTGGTGATGGAGTGCTTGACGGTGATGGTCGGCCTACTTTTCGTTTTGAATTTACATGCACCAGCGATGAAGCAACAGATACCTGAAAGTTTCGACGGTTCATCATTTCCTTTATTGGAAATCCCAGCAATCTGTAATCACGCCGGTATAAATTCCATGCATTTGCAATTGCAACCATCGAAAAATGCCAATACAGATATGTGTAACACCGGCGTGATCTTACCTTGAAACGGTATTGAGCAAGAAATGAATCAAGCAGATCAATTCCACCCATATGCTTGTTGTATTGATCAATAACTGCTGGCATGGGCAATTTGACTCGTTCATTCTTCTTTTTGTCCCACCTCTCAGCTGACATAATAGGCTCAATTCCAATAAGCGTATAACAGAGTGTAACAGCTTTATTGTCAAACGAACGAACCGCAACAATGTTGCTGTTCTGTTCAACTCTGTGATCATAAGACCCTCTTCCCGTCTTCTTCAAGATCTTTTCCTCCTTCAAGTTACATCCTGACAATCGATTCTTTCGTACTGAACCAGTATAATGCATTCCCCTCTCCTTTATTTGCAGGAGAAGTTTGAAACTTGTGAACAAATTACTGCATTAATTTTATAATTGGCATGGTATGCTAAAGTTGAGGTCAGGTTTAGTATTACATCGGCTCCTTTGCCCAATTCACTTCTTTTCCCATTTTCACTTTGGTAAACATCAAAATCGTACAATATTCCACTGTCGCCTGCTCTACACCAGACCTTGAATCCCCATGGATGTGGTTTACTCTTGATATATTGTCGAATGGCATCTTTTACATGACTGGGACGGAAAGATTTAAGCCTTAGAGCGACTTGTTTGAGATATTATCTCTTTTTGATGTGACAAACAATATCAACGGTACATCAAACGGCTACTAAAACGAAGTAAACACATTAGTGGAAACTTCAAAACGCAATTCTTTTTCGTTTACATTTCATAAACCAAAGTTGTCGAATGCTTTAATGTGAAGAAAAAACCAGACATACAAACCAGTCAAATCAACTACAGACTATTCTAACAAAACTAAATCCAAGTCTTTCTATTACAAACTACCCAGCAAAAACTTCGAAAGTGTACAAGACGCTTCTGTAATTATGTGGACATTAAAGTAGTTTATTCCTTTGAGAAAATTCCACAGGTTAAAGCCAAATTCCTCCCACAAAATAAAAGCCACTGAAAGACACTATTTCCTTTTTTTTCGATGCTTTTGCGTGATGTAATTCTGCTTATATTATTTAGGAGATAACTCGCCATTTCTTCACACTCATCAAAGAACACACAACTTCCAACAAAAATTTACACATTTACAAACACCTTCACACTTCACTACAATGTAAAACTAAAACAACTTATGATTTTGCATCCTGGACATCGGTTACCTTTTATTTTACTCTAAAACTTAAAGAAGCTCTCTATACTAAAAAAGTCAAACAAACAAAGTCATCACATCAACACCATCTTCAATTTCTACGTATCTCTAAATTATTCAGTAATTTGATACCTGTAACATATTTCATATGAATATATTTCTCATTCCTCTGTACTGAACATGGTATAAGATATCCGAAACCCATGTTTATGTTCAAAAAAATCGTCGTTCTCTTAAAATGTTTCATATATCTGTTGTGCTGTTGGGAAATCATAAAAATATGATTCGTACAATAAAAAACAGTTTTTACCATCATATGAAAGGATGTAACAAACATTTCAACATTTCATGGTTAAAAATATTTTTGTTCTACACTGTATAGTTATTAGGTAGTGGTTATGTAAAACAATGTCTTCAATTTGTCTTATCTTTTTTTAGTTAAACCAAACGTGACAATTAATTGTTCAACTCCTCTGGTTGTAAATGAAGGTGATCATGTATCATGTGTATGTAGAGGTGAAGGAGGTAACCCTCCTGCTAATGTCACATGGTTTGATAAAGATAACAACATACTTAGTGATGTTGGAGTTGTAAGTAAGACATTAGTAATCACTAATGTTACAATGAATGATGGTGGAAATTACACATGTAAAGCACAAAGTTATAATGATCCACGTTTTAGAGATGAAAAATCTATTAAAGTAATAGTGAAAGGTACTTGTAAGTTTGTAAGACAGCATTTCAGATCTCATTATAAACATTTACAGAATATTGAATTTTTTTAATTCTTTTTAGATCCACCACAACAAACCAATATTACCATCAGTCCAATGTCAGTAAAAAAAGGTCAAAATGTGACAATAACTTGTGAATCAGATGGTTATCCTGAACCAACCTACACTATTTATCACAATGGTGCAGTTATCAGTAATAAAAAGACATACATCATTCAATCTGTCAACTTCAATAACGCTGGTTCATATCGTTGTGAAGCAACAAATAAACTGGGAAATGATTTATCTGATGTTAAAAATCTTACTATCATCAAAGGTAAAATTAAAATTTTACTTCATCAATTTTTTGGGCTAGTATTCTACATTGTACATGAACAAATTACGACTATTCAGTTTTATCTCATTTGTACACGATAGTGCAAGATTGTGCTAAACAATGAAGATAGTTATATATTTTTCTTTGTTTGCGAGATTTAGATTCGTTGTGCTGAAAGACTACCACTGCCAATTATGATTGACTCTTAAGCCTACACCTCAAATGCCCCTTTCGCTGCCTGCTGCGCTGACCAGGGGCGGATCTAGGGGTAGGCACCATAGGCAAGTGCCTATGGTGAAATTACCAAAATATACTTCGACTTAGATTCGATACGAATTTATCGAATTATGAAACTATGAATAGCACTTTATCGCAGTCAAATCATCTGACTTTTGTTTAGAAATGTTGTGCAATTAAATGACGTAATTTTGATATGAATCGTAGTCCAGATGCGTATGATTATCTATAAAGCTCCGTGTCGTTAGGCAAAGCAGCCATTTTGCCTAAGTCAAGAAGGCGATCTAGCCATTTGATTGGTTGTTAGCAATTTGCCTAAACAAGATGAATTTGCCTAACTTGACATCGTGTATAGGTATTCTGATTGGGCAATTTTTGCAACCGTATGCTTTCATTGGTCAATTTTTTGCCTAACTTGAGCAATTCCAACCAATCATTGCTGTTGATAAGCATAGTTGAGCTAGGCAAATTAGGCAATTGAAAATTAACATACACTCGTATTGTTTCTGAACAGCCTCTGTGCTCAGTTTACGGTTTTGTGATATTTTATAATGTCTTCATTGTGTTGTGGTAATTTATACGAGACTGCTCAGTCTGCGTTGGCCAAAACGATTTAAAATGCCTTAATGAGCTTTATTCTCGTTTATTGGTCGACGTTCGACCTATGTTTACTAACGAGCAGCTGTTAGATAGAATTTATGACCCCGACCATACTCTGTGTCGAAATTTTGGAGCTGAAATATATGTGCCAAAGCACGCTCATGACGGAAAGACTTGTACTGCAATAAGGTAAATATATTATAATTATATATATCGTATTGTAGTATTTATATATACGTGTAAAATGGTTAAATCTCAATTTCGCTATATCTTTGTCTACAGTCAGCAATTCATTCATACAATGCAATCAATCTACCAAACAAAATATTAATTTCTTTTCTTGAATATTTTTAAGATCTGAAGCTTCTGGCAATTGCCTCTACAGTTCAGCTTCCTAGTTCTGGTAGGTAACAATGCATTGGTCCCTACTTTGCGAATTTTAACATCGCTTGAGCTATTTATTCATGCTGCTTTTATGCTCAACACCCATGCTTTTGTCTGTTATAAGTGAGCACAGTGATTACTTTGCCCAAAGCTTAAACAATCTTTTGCCTTTGTCAGTGTCTAAAGAATGTTTAGACACTGGATATACAACAGATGAACTGGTAAAACAGGAGGCTATTTTAAATTGTAATGACCAGAAATGGTCATCTTTTCTTTGTATTTTGGGCCTATCTTCTGTTTTAGGTAGAAAAATTCATACTTTTTATCCTGATTCTGGTGAAAGTAGATATAAATTGTTATTTAATCGTATTGTTCAGCCCCGTTATTAAGCCAAAGAGGTTTGGATGCTATTAATATTTTGTTTTGTCATGAAGGATCTGTACAACCAGGTGAGACTTTTCAGTCTAATCATTTTGTGCCTCTCATTTTCCATGCCCACAGGTTGAAGCGAAAATTGTCTAATTCCTGTACACAGTCTAATTCTAGCAGCTCAACAACAGAGAAACGAAAATTTGTCAAAATTTTTCCAAATATTGCACCAAAAACAGTTGACATTTCAAATTTTTTTACTTCAACTAATAGGCCTGCTGCCCAACCAACTTTTAAAAGGATGCCCAATGAGAGTTTTTCTTCTGCAGCTCTTGCTCAGACATTAAATAAAGCCAATAGTCTTTTGCTTCACACATCATCCCAGGAACTATTGCCTGGTATTCCAACTTCTGGTGATATGCAACCTGCTGTTTTAACCCATAATTTTGATGTTTCCTTGTATAGGAGAAAGTTAAGGGTATGGATAATTCTGAAATATGTCATTTGATAAAAATGTATATAAACCAGATAAAAGTATCATTTTCCTAAATCTAATGGCAGATCATTTAGGCATGATTGGCTAGACCAGCATGAATGGCTTTGCTATTCACCTTCACAAAATGGTGCGTATTGTCTATCGTGTGTGTTTGGCAATAGATTCCCAGGCAAGGCCAGTAAAGTAAAAAGTTGTTTACTGAACCTCTTCAAGATTGGAAGAATGCTAAATGCTCTTTCACTCAACATGCTGGAAAAAGTAAAGGAGGGAAGTCGGTTTGCATGCATCCACATCACCAATTTTGATGCTTTGCGTCCCAAATATCAGGTACTCTGCAGCCTATCGAGATGATCATGGATGCTGGTATCAAGAAAGAAATAGAACAGAATAGGAAATACTATCTCCAATTATTGATTCTGTCATTTTTGTGGACGTCTAGGTTTACCTCTTCGTGGGCATCGTGATGATTCCAAGTATCACCCTACTGTTGGTTGTTATTCATCTGGAGGGTTGGTAATTTCATTGAAACACTCAATTATGGAGTTAGGAGAGGGGATAAAGTTTTAGAAAATCATTTAAAGAATTGTGGTAAGAATAGAAGTTATATTTCTAAAACAAGTCAAAATAAAATCATTAAATGTTGTGGCCAGGTAATCAGTAATCAGATTATTTCTGATATCAAAAAGTAAGTTTTTCTGTTATTGCTGATGAAGCATCTGATTCTTCACATAAAGAACAAATGTCTCTTGTTTTGCGCTTTGTTGATACCGATATGAATATCAGGGAAGAATTCATTTCATTTCTTTTTGTAAGTGGGGACTAAGTGGTGCTCAACTTGCCAAGCTACTTTTAGAGGCTCTAAAGGAACTGACTTTATCAATAGATGATTGTAGGGGGCAAGGTTATGATGGGGCTGGTTCAGTTGCTGGTTGCACTAATGGTCTAGCAGCTCAAATTTTAAAGCTTAACCCAAAGGCTCTTTATACACACTGCTATAGTCATAGGTTAAACTTATCCATTTGCGATTCTTTGAGTATACGTGTTGTCAATGATATGTTGAAACATGTTAACAATGCCACTAATTTTATTAAAATTTCCCAAACTCGCAATATTCCCTTTGAAAACATATACGTAATTCAGAAACAAACTCGAAAAGACTAGATTAACAGACGTTTGCAAAACTAGATGGGTAGAACGTATCGAAGGTTTAGATACATTCCAAGAGCTTTTGTACCTGTATACACCACCCTTAACGATATGTCTGAAAATCTAGATGGTGAGTTCAAACCGTCGCTTCAGTCTGATGCCTCATCTTTGTTTCAACTTATTGACAGGTTTGATTTCGTCGTTGCTTTAGTTATCACGAGAAATATTCTTGATTCAACTCTTCCAGTAACACAGTTATTACAGGGTAAGAGTATCGATATAATGGATGGTATTCATTTAATTTCAACTTTGAAAACTGAGGTGGTGAACATGAGGAATTCCTCTGATTTTTATCATGACACCTGGTATGACGAAGCGCTTGAACTGGCAGCAAAAGTTGGCATTGAAGAATGGAAACCAAGAACAGTGCGCAAACAAACGACCAGGGAAAATATTCCCCACACAACCATTTCTGAGTATTATAAACGTGCAATTACTCTTCCTCTACTAGATCATTTGCAATCTTCTTTAGAATCACGATTCGACCTTGAGAGTGTGAATGTCTATAAAGGCCTTAGCATTGTACCGACGAAAATGATGTCCATGACAAGAGATGGGGTGGATTGGAAAGAGCCATTCAAAACTGTGGCTAACTTTTATTATGATGATTTGCCAAATCCTTTGGCCTTAGATGCTGAACTTAGGTTGTGGTACACTTATTGGGAGACCCACTGCGGCCTCCTTCCTGATAACATTGCCCAGACTTTAAAATCTGTTCATTTCGCCGGATTTGAAAACATTAAAATTTTACTACGTATTTTAGGAACGCTCCCATTACCTCTTGTGAATGTGAACGATCTATTTCTTCCCTTAGGACACTTAAAACTATCAGCGAAGTACCATGGTTGGGGAACGCTTAAATGGTTTGGCCTTGATGCAAATTCATCAGGAAATTGTACCAGATATTGGTGAGGTTATTAATACTTTGCTGTTGGAAATACAAGGCTAAAATTTGCATGAATTTATTCATATCCTAGTTTTTTATTTTGTTGAAATGTCCATATGTTAACCATTTATTGTGCGTTGTACACAATAGTAACGTCAATAGAATTTGCATCAAACTAATAGCTCGCCCGATAAAGGTTTTTTCCCTATATTCCAATCTTAAAACTGCTGAGTACGTGTATGGTACTCGGCCGTTGTCGATAAATTTACTTTCACTTATGAGACCTGAAAATCAGGTGACTGGATCACCTGATTCAGGTTCTGACGATTGCTTAAATTTCTAATCATATCATTTAATTTCACTGCATAAAAATTGTTACAAAGTTAAGCATAAATAGAATAATTTTTCCTTACACCAAATTTTAGTCTTCACAAAGACTCTTTATACAAAGCTCTATTTTGACTATTACATTACATTTACATTCTGCTCATTTGTTGGCAAATGAGAGTGCACATTTTAGGTGGGGGGTAAAGGGTTGGAATTGACTGGGATGGTGTAAGAAACTGAGCAATCTTACATCCATGAAATGTCCCACATAGTCACCCATTTCTAACCAAACTCCTTTGCTATTTGCTAAAGGTGTGAAAGGCGAGTTTCTGGCGCCTTCAAAACCAGAGTGCTCATTTTAGGTGGGGGGTAAAGGGTTGGAATTGACTGGGATGGTGTGAAAAATTGAGCAATATCACATCCATGAAATATCCCATATAGTCACCCATTTCTAACCAAACTCCTTTTCAAAGGTGTAGGCGAACTTCTGGCGCCATAACCAGTCTGCTTAATTCGGCTCTCACAGGGCTGTCCATGCCGGATCACGATTTTTTGTTTTGCGTTAAAGTGTTCCTAGGCATGCTGATGAGCCCTGATATGGGGCTAAACAGTCTTGTGTGCATTCAATATTCTGAATAGTGAAAATCAACGACCTTGTGATATGTAAGTATAAATATACAATGTTTTTATGTATTTATACGATTGAGATCTACAAGATTCTGCATAGCTGAATGATTAGACTGTTTGATTTAAACAATTTATCGAAAGCATAAATAGTGTAGTATGTTTTGCAAAGTATGACGTCATAGGTTTAGCACTGAATGACGTCATAATGTTTTGCCTATGGTATCCAAAATCCTAGATACGCCCCTGGCGCTGACGTATGCATCTGTCGTCACCTAGCTGTTAACTTTGGCAATTGCATATCCTCATTAAATAGGTTATCAAGAGCCTTAGATGACTATGATTTGTTTATAGTTCTTCGAAGACCAATGATAGTTGTTTAGGCTTCATAATAAGTCAATATTGTTTAGGTCTAGTCGGTCACGCGATTGACTTTCAAAATTTCAAAATTTATTATTAATATACAGCTTGAAAGTTGAGTGATTATTGTTATTTTGTTGTTCTTTTGCAACATCAAAGTCTTTTTTACAAATGAAATTTTCATTAAGCGAATTGCTTCACAATGCAGTGGTTAAATCCAAAAATCACATTGGATAGCAGTATAGTGGAAAATTTCCACTAATTTGGACTTTTGGAGACTGATAAGCGTGCTTCCTGCTGGCTTGTGACTGGTTAGGGCATCGATCCAACAATCCTAAGAAAATGCACCTAACACTAACGAATATTCTCATTATTAATTTTCTTTTTCATAACTAATTTAAGAAAGGAATATTTTTTGTTTTTAATTTCAGTGAAACCAAAGGTGGTAATTAATTGTTCAACTCATGTGGTTGTGAATGATGGTGATAATGTGTCATGTGTATGTAGAGGTGAAGGAGGTAACCCTCCTGCTAATGTCACATGCATTTGTCGTTTGATTTTTTGCCATAACCTGTGAATTTGTTTAACAACTGTTTCTCCGAATTCAGTAATTTTTTATTGATTTTAGTAATTTTTGCAGTTTGACTTGGTAATTTACTTTCAGAAAGTCTTGTCACGGTGGGCCACACTGATTAAATACATCTATTTTATTCAATGTACTTTGGTTCAATGATCACCACTTAGCATTCCAGTTATATCATTTCAATAAAAATACGCCAGTGAATTACCATAGTGAATATATTGAGTGAATATATGCACAGAAATATGAAATACGCCCACTGAAACCGCATAATCAACAACCACATCACGTACGTTAAACTGTAGTGACGTACATAACGTGCGTACATTATTCATCTAGATTCATGTATTAGCAATAGAGGAAAAAGCCAATCCTACACTTAGGGGGTGTTTACATGAATCCGGAATGACTTTCAATCCCGATCGAAACGTGATGTCAATCCGTGTTTACATGAAACTAATTGTTGTTTTTCTTCGCACTCATTTTAACCCATTTAGCCTCTTTATTTACTTACGAGCTTCAATTTGCCAGAAGACAATACCCATGGCACATGCGTGCTTCGTCATTAATCACAATATCATTCCAGAATGAAACTCAATTCGCGTTTACATGAGATAAAAAGTAAATTTCGATCCGGAATGAAATTTCGATCTGGAATGAAACTAGGAATGAGTTCATTCCGGATCGAAACTCATTACGGATTCATGTAAACACCCCCTTACTCAAACGCGCTACTTAAACTTACGCACTTAACTTTATAATCACGTAAAACTACTCAAATTTCAAGTACATTATCCGCTGTGTAATAACTGCACCTTCTTTAACCAAATATATAAAAAGCCTGTAAATAAATTCTAACACATAGAATACTCACGACTGTTGTAAATAACTTCTAACACATAGAATACTCACGACTGTTGTAAATAACTTCTTCGCTAGTGAATAAAATAATCACAAAATTTAATAGCGTAAAACGAAAATACAGAGCTCATACGAAAGACTTATATAACGCTAAACGTCAAACGTTGCGAAGCAGGAAATTGGGTCTTTCTGAAATTCTCACAGAAGAAAACCAAATTACATGGGTATGTTACGTTTTGCTGTATTTTTAGTGGAATAACGTACTTGTACTTGTTGAGCTCTACCTGTAGAGCGGCGGACTAGTATCCCGAAGTTGCGAGTTCAAATCTCGTCCAAGTCACATGTTTTTCATGTTCATATTAAAAAACCGTGTTTAGATTAATATATTACATTTATTCTCTGATGATGGCTTTGGAATAATAAAGGCATGTTTACATGGGAATAGGGTAACCATACTTGCAAGGCTATCTTTTTGTGTAGGGTGACTCTACCATTGTCAGGTTTGTGTATTACTATTAATGACAGCAACATTAGCATGTTGTAGACTTGATTGAAGATGAAACATTTTGTCTTCCTTGAGGCATATTTATAAATATCCATAATTCAGTTTAAGACCTCTGAAAATTGTTTCAAATTCATTTTTATTATATTATATTCACATTGAGTGGTTTTTTTCAATGACGACTTAACATTCATAGAATAAAAACCTTCTTTGCCATCTCGAAAACTTCCTTGTAGATGGTGGATGGGCTCTAGTTTTATTGTTTGTCTCTGTAAAATCATGTAGTGCATCTTGTGTATAATTTTATGCTTTGGAAGCAATTTATTTTCCCTGATATGCAAATATGTTGAGTAGATATGATGTGAACATAGCCCTACTGAAAGGGATTACCTTATCTCAAACATTTTTATGGTTTATGAAATAAAAACATCATAATCCAACTATTGTGGTAACCTTATCAATTTGATATGGAAACCCTTACCCTCAGGGTTACCCTAGCACACATGTAAATGCCACATATAAAGCAATTTCACGTTGGGTAACTTGCTTGCTAATGTAACCCTTCTGGTAGGGTTACCCTACCTCCATGGGCCCAGTGTGCGAATTAGTTCAGAAAAAACGATGTGCAATTTTTTTTGACAAAAGTGTTTCTTTAGAGGCATAATCAAATCGATATTACATTAATTATTATATAGTGCTAATTGCTACCGCCGACATTCCACCCCACCTCGACTCAAAATATACATTAAAGTACACAAACACACCTAACTGAGGCTAACTCACAATTGACTGACTTGACGACGCAAAGACGACGAATACAAGAATTTTTAAACCAGGAAGTTGAATAACCTCAACCGTTTATTGATAAAGCAAAAGCCTAAACGTTTTGGTGAGTTAAAAATCATTTCATTTTTAGATGTGAAGTGTTAAGTTGTATATTACTGAAGGAAATTTCATTTTATACGCTTTAAATTTGCTGTGTAATTTTCACGGAACTATGTAATTGGCTGCTTCAGGATCTTTAACGTTGAACATGAGGCAACAGTTTTAATAAGAATATAGTTTAATATTATTGTTTATTTAAAAATGAAAAAATATAAGACTCATAGCTTTTTATTATTACATAAATAACCAATGGAAGTAGCAGGCGGATCTAGAGTATGTCAAATCCGTCGCGCGACTGATGTTTGAAACTCAAAATTACCTATTCATATTAGTTAAAAATTCTTTAATTATTCTTACTTTATTATCGCATTTACTTCGTGATAAAAATCCAGCTTTATTTATTATTGAAAACTAATGACTAATCCAATGAATATCTCGTTGGTAACCAGATCAGTTGAATTTTAATTGACCTGGAATAACCGACTGATAAGCGGGGTGGCTTGACTGGTTCGACGGATAAAGGAGTCTATGAACGCCAAAAACGCTTATTTCATTGGTCAATAGCCAGATCAGTGGACGATCTGGAATAATCTTGACCGATAAGCGGGGTGGCCGGACCTATACCATTGAGTTCTATAATAACTGGAGGGGAACGTCAACAAAATTAGTATAAATTATTAGCGCGCGGCCGCGTGGTCAAAAACATGGCGGATTTTGGTGGTCAAAGTCAGCGGAGAGACGCGGGCTCATGAAATAAAATTTTTGTCGCCCACCCTGATTTGACCACCACGATTGCGAGTATAGAAAATATCAAAACTATTTATTTTCCTAACATAAACACTTTTTTAAAACTTTATTTATTAAACTGCCAACTTCTGAGGTTTGCGGATGCTGAAATAGCGACAGAAAAGGGAACATTTCTTGACTCCGGTAAGTAGCACAGTATTAATTTTACTATTTTGTTTTTAACACGATACTTGAAGAGTGTTTCTACTACTAAGTTTTAATTTAAAGTTATTTTGGTCCAGTCTTGTTTGTTCTTCACTTAATCGCTCGCCAGACGTGGCGAAGCTGTCAATTTTTATCGAGTTTTGCATCCATCTTGTATCATGATCAAGGCATCAAGCTAAACTCTCCTGATTTGAATTGAGTTTACCTCCCAAAATGGGGCATAATTTGTTCATGTTTTTTGAAAAGATGAAGGGAAAGTTTACAACAGAGTTGTGTTGAAATTGAATGCAGTGCCATGCAAAATTAATGAGAACTATGGTATATGTTGTATAATAAAAATAACTATTAAACTGTTTGCCTGCTCAATTTGACTGACTGTATAGTGTAGACAATTATAATGGGATTGGAAAGTTGGATTTATGCAAACAATTTTAAAGTACTACTTAGCGTTTCTGTAAATGAAGTATTTATTGTTATAGTAAACAGGTTACTACTTCAAAACCAAGATAAAAGTAGTGTGTTGAACAATGTGCTAAGATTTGTTTCTACCTTGAAATTTTTGTTCAACAGTAGCTTATGATTATATCATTAATATGCATGAAAAATTAAACATATTATTGTCTCATCTCATTAAATCCATACTTGGTATGATTCCAGGTGATCCACAAATTCACATCGGATGCATTGGTTACAATGAAGTTGAATGTAGAAGAAGCAAAAATAGATGGCAAAGAAATTCTTTGTGTCTTATGAAGAATTAGTAGAAATCAATAAAAAGAATTCTTTAAACAAATTGTAAACAAATTTAAATTTGCTCATGGTCAAGCAACCTAGTCAAAGAAGCAAAGTCTGTCTTCAACATGTGACCTTTCCAATTATTTAGTTTCTTTGTACAAAATACTATTTTCGAGAAACTTGATTTGTAAGTCTTTCATTAATATTTTTTTACCAAGAGATAAAAGGAACTAATTCAAAGGCTTGATGTAAAATACAAAGATTTAACAAGTTGTTTATCATTTAATTCCCAAATGTTAGTTTGTACATATAAATAATTAGTATTGGTAGCTGTAAGTTGTTTAAGCAAAACAGAAGAGTAGTAGTGCTCGAAGGGGTTAGCATTTTGAAAAATTATATCTTGTTCATGACATATATTACACAATTCCAAAAAACTGTAAGTAATGCACAATAATATCTATAGAACTTGATAAATTTCTTCACCTACACTGTCAAATAACTATTTTGCCTTCATGCAGCAATAGACAGTGTTTTTGTCAGAGAAACCAATGCACTTTAGTTTCCAAGTTTGTAATTTCAATGGAAAATTAATGTAGTTCTGTTCAGTAATAGATCCAAGATTCTGCCAAGCTGTTTACAAAATACAAATTACCAAGCAACAGTGTCATGGTGTTTTGAATTTTTTCTTTTTGTAGCTCTTCTAGTTCAACATACTTTCTTTATGAGTTTTCAGTAGATTTATCAGGTAATGACAATACACTTATGATACTTATCCATGGTAAATTTCAGTTGACTTATGTCGTAGGACTGAAGCAAACATTTTCTCGCTTCCTTAGGAGCATTTTACACAGATTTATCCATTTGAAGCAAGAAAAATAGGTGCACCAAACTGTTTACAAACAGTCAAACATACAAAAGCATGAAATAATGTATAAGTTTGACGAGATTGACAGGTCTAGTAAAGAATGCCGTTTGATTTTCACTTTTAAAGGCTAAAATGTCATAAAATAACTTAAATGTTACATCCAAAATATGCGTTTCTCTACCGTCGATCTTCTTTATTTTGATGTGTGTCTGTACTGGTTTTTCACGCAATGCTAAGCATTATTTTCACATGATATGCTGTCGGTATCGTAATTGTTTTTTCTCACTTGTTTTCGTTCATACAAACAGAAATCAGGAGGGAGTGAATATTGAAAAAATAAAGTGGAAGTTTTGACCACCAAAATCCGCCATTACCGCCATGTTTTGACCACGGGTCCAGGCCCTTTGCCCTCCAGGTTTTAGAGCTCAATGGCCTGGACCCCGTGGTCAAAACATGGCGGTAATGGCGGATTTTGGTTGTCAAACTTCCACTTTGAGAAAAATTTTAACATTCGCCCTCCCGAATCCGGATCTCTATTACTGCTTATATCAATGACAACCAGCGAAAACAACCACGATACCGTAAGCATAAAATATTGAAAATAATGCTTCAGGTTTTTGTGAAATAGACACATACATTTAAATGAGGTAAATCTACTGTAAAATAACGTAGATTTTGTCAAGTAATGCTTTAGCTATGATAGAAATAAATATCAAACGGCATTCTTTACACTTTCAATGTGTTGTTAAGCTTTAATGCATAATCCCATGCACAATACTTGTGTTTTTGACTGTTTGATAACAGCTTGGTGCAACTGTCTTTCTTGAATAGATGGGTAAATCTAAGTTAAAATGTCCAAAAAGGAAAAAGTTAGCTTACCCCTACGACTTAAGTCGACTGGAAATATATTATAAGTAGGTATGAAATTTTTTGTTTTTTGGTAGGATTGATTCTAGGTGTCTTATAAGGTATTATGATATTCTGATAAATCTACTGAGAACTTATGAAGAAAATATCTTGAACTAGGAGAGCAAAAGAACGAAATTCAGAAATTCTATAATCATGTTGCTGGTTCTGTTTTGAGCCAAGATATTAGAAACTGGATTGTCATTGACAACCATGGATCTACTACTGAACAGAACTACATTAATTTCCCATTGAAAATATGATTTCTTAAATTAAAGTGCATTGGTTTCTCTGACATAACACTTTTCTTATTGCTGCATGAGGGCAAACCTGTTTAAATAATTATAATGTAGGTGAAGATTTTTAGCATGTTGTATAATTGTTATTGTACAGTCATTATTTATAATATTATGGCCTTGTGTAATGTATGTCAAGAAGAACATATTAATTCTCAAAAATGCTAACCTTGCACTATTTTCTCTTGTGTCCTTACAAATTACTAGTACCTATACTAATTTTTTCTAGGTTCAAACAACTTGACAAACTTTTGAATTTTACATTATGCCTTTGAATTTTTCTTCTTTGTCTTTTGGTAAAAATATCAGTGAATGACTTAAAAATCAAGTTTTCTAAAATAGTATTTTGTACAAAGAAACTATACATAATTGGAAAAGTCTATCTTATTCTTTTAAATGATATCGTAATTCTTCAAAAGACATAAAAAGTTCTATGCCATCAATTTTTCCTTCTTCCACATTCAACTTCATTGCAACAATGCATCTTATGTGAATTTTAATCACCTGAAATTGAAAACGTATGGATTTTGACAGATGATGCAGTACTATATTTAATGTTTCATGCATGTCATCATTAGCTTTTCTTGAGCAAATATTTCAAGGTAGGAGCATAATTTGGCATATTATTGAACAAAGTAGTTTTTATCTTGATTTTGATGTACTAACCTGTTTACTATAACAAACAATTCAATTACAGAAACACCCGATGGCATTTATAAAACTTTTAGCATAAAGCAAACCCTTAAACACCATCATCATGATTGTTCATAATCTGTCAAATTGTCCAGGCTAGCTGTTTAATACAGGTATTTTTTATTGTACGACATGCACCAAAAAGTTCATTAATTAATCCTGCACTGCATTTGATTTCAATACAGCTCTGTTCTTAATATTTGCTTCATGTTTTCAGAAAAATATCATGAAAAAATCCTCTATTTTTTGGAGGTAAAGTCAGTTGAAACAAGGAGTTTTAAGACATGCATATCTCGATAAGAATTGGTTGCTTTGCCTCGTCTAACAAGCAATTAGGTAAAGAACAAATAAGACTGGATATACATAACTTAAATTATAACTTAGAAGTAAAAACATTCACAAAATATATACCATCACACTTCAAGTATTGACTTAAAACAAAACACTGAACACTTTAAATGGTAAACAATCTTACGTTGCTCACCGGTGTCATGAAATGTTTCCTTTTCTGGCATTACTTCAGCATCCGTACACCAAACAAGTTTGCAGCATGTTTTAAAAATAAAATTTCTAAAAGTTTTTGTGCTTCGCATTGAAATTTTACATAATCGCAATTATGGTTGTCAAATCAGGGTGGGCGAAAAAAATTTTATTTTATCAGCCCGCGTCTTTCCGCTGACATTGAAAACCAAAATCCGCCATGTTTTTGACCACGCGGCCGCGCGCTAATAATTTATAGTAATTTGGTTGACGTTTCCCCTCCAGTTAATATAGAGCTCAATAGTCAAGCCACCCCGCTTATCAGTCGGTTATTCCAGGTCAATTAAAATTCAACTGATCTGGTTAGCAAGGAGATATTCCTTTGGATTAGTCATTAGTTTTCAATAATAAATAAAGGGGTTATAAAGCTGGATTTTTATCACGAAGTAAATGCGATAATAAGTAAGAATAATTAATGAATTTTTAATTAATATGAATAGGTTATTTTTTAATTTCAAACATTAGTCGCGCGACGGATTTGACATACTCTAGATCCGCCCCTGCTTCGTAGCTATAAACAGAGGTAATTCTCTAAAATATCAATAACATTATCTTCTATAACATTGCTTCGTCAACCAACCACAGCATCCAAATTTCCAAACATTTAAAGTATTATTGTTGATTCGTAATGTATAGGATTTGACGCAAAACAAATTCTATAAAATGTTGAATAACTGGGGCAGATGGCATGAGTGTTTGTATATACTCAATACGCCAATGCACACTCGAGGAAACAGCCTTGGCCAGCAGTTGCAAGTAAAACGTTGCGAAAGCCACAACTCTGTTGTTCGTCTGACTTGTATGTATCTTAATTTTTCTCTGTTTGTTTAAGGTTTATTGCTTCAGTCGCCTTATTGTGTTTGCTTTTCAATTAATAAACGAACAAAGGTAAGTTGTGATGTAGTTGATAGTAAAACGGAAGATTCTTTATCTTCGATGCTTTATTAACATTTAATACAGCAAAATTTTTCTTTGACTTAATTTGGCAAATAAGTGTTAATACAAACACCGCACAACTTCCGCCCCCCAAATGATTTGATTCTTATAGTAAATGGAGAGATTTTTTCATTTATCACAATGGGGACAGGTTTCACATTAATATTTTTATTCGTATATTTATGTATTATCATATTTTTCGCTCAAATCTCTCAACTACATCAAAAACAAACCCTATTCCACTGTTCTGTAAATATATTCGTTCTTCAGCGGAACCTGCGAAAAATTAAAAAGAAATCCGCTTGACATTTTCAATTCTTATGGAGTATTCATTGACAGTTAGTACTCCACACTGCAAACAAAGGAGTAACGAAAAGCTTGGAAAAATGTAAAAAGCTGCAAACCATTTTCAAGATTTTCTGTGATATTTCTGTAAATTTTTATAAAAGAATTTGAGCAATCTCAAGATAACGCTGAAACCCAAAACTACTTAACTGCCCTTAATATCGACGATGGTTTATTTCGTAAGCTCTTCCTCCCCAATAGAAAAAAAGCTCTATGATTTCATAGGTTTTTTACATGTATCATGACATAACAGGAAATTGAAATGAAATAGCTAATGGGAAGCTCTGCATGCACAATTGTTCATTTCATATTCAGAGAAAGAATTTTAACATCGTCTTGGGTTTTTAATCTATTGTATCTAAAATAAATGCTTTGATTTTAATTTGATCTCGCTTTCTTCACTTCCTTAGCGCCATCCACAAAAAGGCATTTTTTCATCGTTCAATAAATCTCTTGAAACACAAAAAGTTGAAATTTAGATTGAACCGAGTAAGAAGAATAAAGCATAAATTGAAAGTTAACCAAGTTTCATTATTTTAAGAAAATTATAACCACGTACCTATATAATAGCTACAGTGGCTACCAATAAGAGAGCCATCATGCAGCCATATGAGACTAACTCGATCTATTTCTGAACAGTTTTTCTCGCTACACAATTTTGCTGAAATGACTTTTTTAGATAATGCTCATATATTGCTCAAAAATACGTTTTGATCGTGATCTGCTTGCATCACAGATGTAATTGTGACGTAGTCATTGTCGATCTAAATATAAATTTAAAGTCTTCTGTGATAACGTACATACATCCAACAATCAATTATAATTTAGAGCTTTACTGTATATCCTTGGATCTATGCAATGATGAGTTTAATGATATGGTGGTTATTGTGGCTGTTATTTGGTCAAGGATTCACGATGAAAATGGGTTGGAATGAAGAGCTTGAGTTTTGTGAGGAAGAATGGAAGAAATTTGTGGCGGACAAAATTGAAATCGATTCGAAATGCAACAATACTCGTACACGTTGTTGTGTTGAGGAGAAGAAATATCTTTTGGAGCGATTTAAAATGTTTAGTGAAATATGTCCTCTTGAAGGTAAAGTAAACAACAGTTCAGTTTACAGTAAGTACAGAACATCAACTGGCCATGTACTTGGCAAACAATCACAACACTTATATTACTGAGGTACTGTTTAATTTAAATATTTAATTGAAACCGTGTTCTTAGAAAGTGCAATAAAGTAAGGTACCTAAAGTAAATGGTTTGAACCCGTAAGGTACATGTTAAAGTACTCAACTGATTTGGATACACTAGCTTCACAGCATTGACGCAGCATAATCTCCTGTTCATTGTTCCTCTGTCTAGTTACAAAAGCAAAGTAATATGACAGTAGAGTCAAAAATAGTAATATATGCTGTTATATGATAAAGTCTGTATAGTTATTGTCTATTTGGGTTTAAGGAGGACTTTCGATTCAATGTGAATAGTATGTAACATTTTGTGGCCAAATGAGTGTCACTTTCTACTTGTTCTTTTTCTCTGGACAACCAGTTAAAGATAACTTAATTTCTTGTTAGGGACATGTGGATGCAGCCCGATTATTATGAACGTTACTGCGCCATTCTACGGATATCGTTATTCTCTTTATTCTCCATCCGCAAAATGGAAAGAACCAGAAAACTTCACGTGTTCACATAAGTACATAATTGAAAGAGTAGAAAAGTATTATCTTACACGTTTTACTCGCTTTGGAATCGGACGACACTTTTTCCCTTACAAGTATGTTTTATACGGTGGAAAAAGTCACACTTGTTATGTTGTCATCAACGCGAACCCAAAACGACAAGGTACATGCAAGAGTAGTTCATTTTAGTTTCTCCTGTGTCCGTTTAATTTATAGTGCACCAATGTGATTATAATGCTTCATATTCAACTTCGCTCAAATCCATACGACACTTTGACCTATATTCAATTCATCATGTACGTATACTTTTAAGTGAATTTCTTTGCAGTTGCAAAGCTAATAGAATACACCCCGGAACAGCCAAACATGTTTAATTCGTCATACATATATTATAATGTAAACCTGTAAAAGAGTAAAAGCTCAATTCAAGAGCGTGTCTTGGTTATTTTCGGGTTTATTGATTTTATTCATTAACGATCACGTTGGAAGATTTTTGTTGTTTGTTAATGGGTGTGAGGGTTAGGGTTAAGATGTTCATATATTGATCTGTGCTAGTTGAGCTTAATTATTATAATACAACGGTGATGCAATCTCGATTGTGATTGTCTAAAAGCCTTCAAATAATTGTCAATACACTATCACCTAGAAAAAATTGAAAATTACCTGTAGGTGACGAATTTTCTTTATGAGACAACTGTATATACAAGAAATATTTTGGTAGAATCTTCCTCGAGACTTTCAAGTGTTTTACTCTGCTCAAATTATCGGGAATATAGACGAAAAGACACCGAAAGTGTTAAACTGTTTGTCCAGAGAGTTTTCATCGCGTATTTACAGGAAATAGACGAAAGCAAACCGCAAAAATTTTTCAATCAGACTGCAGTCAGCGCTATCCCCCTCAGATTTGCTTCGGTAGATATCCAATTGACCTCGGTCTGAATATTCTTTTATATCATGCTCAACTTAATCCAAAAATTGTTAAATATTTTTAACGGGAGAATGTTCTTATATCACTTCTTGTTGCGTTGCATTAATTGTGACAGACATATTTGCTATTTCCAGCTATTAGTTGGAAGTTTATTAAACACTTGCAATTTCCAAAAAATCCCTTAGACTTTATTTTTTGTTTCAGCATCCATTTTCTTTAGCATAATTAGTTAAATTTTTTTGCTTTTGTTTTCAGGAAAGCCTACAGTGGTGATTAATTGTTCAACTCCTCTGGTTGTGAGTAAAGGTGATAATGTGTCATGTGTATGTAGAGGTGAAAGAGGTAACCCTCCTGCTAATGTCACATGGTTTGATAAAAATAACAACATAATTGGTGATGTTGGAGTTGTAAATAAGACATTAGTAATCACTAATGTTACATTGAATGATGGTGGAAGTTACAAATGTAAAGCACAAAGTTATGATGATCCAGGTTTCAGAGATCAAAAATCCATTGAAATACAAGTAAAATGTAAGTTTTGCAGATATATATTTTATCATCTTGTTACTATAGATGTTTGAAAACTTTGTCTTCAACTTTGTTATTATTGACGTGTGGTAAAATATCATGACTTTGTGTTATACACTTATTGTATGCTCTCAAGGGAAATAGTGAGTTTAGTTTTCCAAGAGTCTCAATACATTGCATGTGATTCGAGGGAAAACAAAGCTCAGTATTTCTCACGGAAGTATACATTAAGTGTTTTGTTATATATAGGAATAAAATTCATATATTTTCACAGCTTTTCAATGAAATCAACGTCTCTTTCGGTGGAGATTTGTCCGTCGAGATTTTGTTGTTAAATGCTATAAAGGCGAAATGCTTTTATATGATATTAAAATCAGCACGCAACAATTTTTCACTTGTTTCCCTGACGAGAAACATTGCGTTTATTTTATATCATGTGACTACGAATAAACCAATCAAATTTGACATACACAGCACATACAACAATAAATTTTATTCTTTACAGATGCGACATTCCTCTTCCGGTTTTACCCTGTCTCACTGACGCTTACAAATAAATACCCTATTGTTTCTATCATGACTATTATTATGATTCTGTCTTTAATTTCAGTTAAACCAACAGTGTCGATTAACTGTTCATCTCCTCTGCTTGTGAATGAAAGTGATAGTGTGTCATGTGTATGTAGAGGTGAAGGAGGTATCCTCCTGCTAATGTCACATGGTTTGATAAAGATAACACAACAGTTCGTGGATTTGGAGTTGAAAGTGCGACTTTAGTAATCCCTGGTGCCTCAACAAATGATCCTGGAAGTTACAGATGTAAAGCTGAAAGTTTTAATGATCCACGTTTCATTGACGAAAAATCCATTGAAATAATAGTGAATTGTAAGTTTCGAACTTATATATTTAGTACTTTTGCAATAAAGTTTTGAAATTGTCAAATACGTAGAATTTTGAATTTTAAATTTTAGATCAACCAAGAAATACGACCATAACCCTCTCAAAAAAAGATCCAAAAATTGGTAAAAGTGTGAATATAACCTGCGAATCAGATGGTTTTCCTCCGCCAACCTTCATTATTCATCATAATGGTGATGTTGTCAGCAATAAAAAGACATACAGCATTCAATCTGTCAACTTCAGTCAAAAAGGTTCATATCGCTGTGAAGCAAAGAATAAACTGGGAAATGATTTATCTGAGGTTAAAAATCTCACTGTTGTCAACGAAGGTAAAATTATTAAGAACCTCAGTTTATCACTTGTTGGACTTTTATTTTACATTATGTACGAACTTTCTTGGTAGCAAAAGTTGACAGACTGATGTTTATCTTTTTGTAATTAGCATTAGACTTCTTGAATGCACTTGAATACCCTTATAACAATAAAATTTCAGTAAACAACGAAGATTGCTCTGATTACATAACTTTTTACTGGCTCGTGTGGTAAAACAAAGACTGGCAATGTCTGCATGCTGCATTAACCATAACATTTTTTCCTATGTATATATATTCTTCAATGACTATCAGTAAAAATATGTTTAACTTATCTGTATTCCCCAGTATAATCAATAAAGTGTTTAGAAAAGTAAATTGCCTAGAGTTCATTAATTTAAATAGATTAAAAAAAACACTTGAGAAAAACGACGATTTTTTTGAGAGCAAACATGTTTCGACATTATCAGAATGCCATCTTCAGTGCAGAATGGTTAGTGTTAAGTAATATGATACATGATATGATATGAATAAATTAATTACAATGAATAGGATTATGATTCAGTTACTAAATATAAAATATTTACAAAAAAGGAAAAGAAAAATAAGTATTAAGAACTTATAACAAAAAATATTATTATAAAGTAAGTATAGTGTTGTAGTGGTGAACTTGGATATTTAAGTCGGGATTAGTTTTATTAATGTGTAGAGCTTCCTTGATTTTGAGTGAGAAAGTGGATTGATCAGTGTCGATGATTTTAAAACAGGAAGGTGAGAATTTGTTTTTACATGAAGGAGAGGCTTGAAGATGTTTGTAGATAGTGGAGTTTTTGTCTGTGTGAGTATGTTCCTTTATCCTGGTAGATAATTGGCGAGAAGTTTCACCAATATAGCGGGAATTACATCCCGCACATGAAAATTGATAAACTACCATAGATTTGGAAAGTTCGGGAAGTGGGTCTTTAAACGAAAATAAAGATTTTATTTTAAAAGGTGTGAAAATAAGTTTAACGTCAATGTCAGTGCAGTAGAAACATAAAATTCTAAGGAACATTCGTAATAATGACAAAATCATTGTTCTTAAACCTGACAAAGGAAATGGTGTAGTCATTATGGATCGTCAGGTATACATTAACTCTTGCCTCACTATAATTAACAATTTATCTAAGTTCAAACCACTCGATCATGATCCTACAATTTCCCGTGAAGCAAAATTACAACGACTGCTACGTAACTTAAAGAAAAAGAACTCTATTAACGAAAAATCATTTCAAGAAATGTACCCTAGAGGTTCACAGCCAGCTCGATTATATGGTTTACCTAAACTTCATAAATTAAACAATATCAATGACATACCTCCTATCAGACCTATAAATTCTTCAATCAATTCGTATAACTACAAATTAGCCAAATACCTCAGCTCTTTACTCCAACCCCTAATACCTAATGACCATTCTGCTAAAGATTCTTTTAGTTTTGTCGATGATTTTTTTATCTTTTAACACTAACGCTCCACATGACAAATTCTTTATTTCTTTTGACGTTGAAAGCCTTTTTACCAACATACCACTGACCGAAACCATAGACATTGCTATTGATTTAATTTTTACCAATAACCCTACATTCAAAATGAACAGAACAGAACTAAAACTATTGTTTAACATCGCTACGGCCGAGACTCATTTTTTTATTTAACGGTAAGTACTACGACCAAATTGACGGGGTAAGTATGGGCTCACCCTTGGCACCCATTCTAGCCAACATTTTCATGGGTTTTCACGAACGAAACTGGTTAAATAACTACAGCAACAACAAACCTTTATTTTACCGCAGATACGTTGACGACATTTTTTTGTATTTTTCATAACAAAGACGAAGCATTACTCTTTTACGAATACATCAACAAACAACATCAAAACATAAACTTTACATACGAAACCGAACAAGACAATCAGTTACCCTTTCTTGACATCTTACTAACTAAATCACATGAAAACTGTATGACCTCTACATACCACAAACCAACATATACAGGACTACTGACTAACTTTTTTTAGTTTCACACCATTAAATTACAAAATTGGACTGATACGAACACTGACCGACAGAGCACGGAAACTTAACAACACAGACATCGGCTTTCAACGTGATTTAAAGAAACTAATATTCACTCTCCAACGTAATTCTTTTCCTTTTCATTTCATCAACAACACTATACAACACTATTTGGACAACAAGATAAGCACTGACTCATCTAACGCCACAACTAACACTAACGATATACAACAACCTGACAATAAACGTTATTTCAAACTACCTTACATAGGTGATTACTCACGACACACACAACGCAAACTCACACAAATCATTAAACGCTACTGCACTGACATTGACGTTAAACTTATTTTCACACCTTTTAAAATAAAATCTTTATTTTCGTTTAAAGACCCACTTCCCGAACTTTCCAAATCTATGGTAGTTTATCAATTTTCATGTGCGGGATGTAATTCCCGCTATATTGGTGAAACTTCTCGCCAATTATCTACCAGGATAAAGGAACATACTCACACAGACAAAACTCCACTATCTACAAACATCTTCAAGCCTCTCCTTCATGTAAAACAAATTCTCACCTTCCTGTTTTAAAATCATCGACACTGATCAATCCACTTTCTCACTCAAAATCAAGGAAGCTCTACACATTAATAAAACTAATCCCGATTTAAATATCCAAGTTCACCACTACAACACTATATTTACTTTATAATAATATTTTTGTTATAAGTTCTTAATACTTATTTTTCTTTTCCTTTTTGTAAATATTTTATATTTAGTAACTGAATCATAATCCTATTCATTGTAATTAATTTATTCATATCATATCATGTATCATATTACTTAACACTAACCATTCTGCACTGAAGATGGCATTCTGATAATGTCGAAACATGTTTGCTCTCAAAAATCGTCGTTTTTCTCAAGTGTTTTTTAAAATTGCTGCTAATTAGAAATTATTAAATAGATTACTTGGCGTGAATTGCTTAAATGACTGGAATTTCAAACTAGCAAATTTTCACGATTTGGTGGCACGCATTTCAATATTGAAGGAATTTCAATATTGGAATCATTCTCATTTGAACAATTTTTGTTATTGTGCTAGCTCCTATATCAAGCTCATTCAGTCTATCGCCGTTGATAATTACGTCATCGATGACGTTTACCTTTACGTTATCAATTAGTTCCACTCCACTAATAACGGTAACTTTTTAACGTTTTTTCTTTAATTCTTTAATATGGAACAATCATTTTGGAGATTGTGTCTCACCATTTGTTTTTAAACTTTTTTTATTAATTTATCAATTTACGTATGACCTGACACTAACTTTAGTGTTTATTGTGAATTTTATTTTTTTTTGCATATCGCATTGTTTCATTCTGGCTATTTCAAACTATTTGCTAGACCTATTTAAAAAGCTTTTGATTAATGTTTGAATTTGGGGTCGTCAAGAAGACTGTTTGATAAAATTTATCAAAGTTCACAACTCTTTATTTAAGTTAGCCAAAATACTTCTACAAGCAAAGATAATGGCAACAATAATTCTACAGTTAAAGATGATGATGATGATGGACCAAATATTGCTCTGATTGTTGGCATTGCTGTTGGAGCGGTTTTCCTTGTCGCCATTATAGTTGTTGTCATTTTCTGCTGTCGTATTACTAATTATTAAGTATCTACTTTTATGTTATGTTTATTGTAGAAAAAGGATACCAGTAAGTGAATTATTCATTTTAATTTTCTTTGTGTAATATGTGATGTTAATGTGTTTTGTGTTTCTCATCTTTTGAATAAAATATTTTCATGGTTTGAGCAAGTTAGAGAAGCTGTTGTATTTCGTACAGTACGAACTGTCGTATTAATGTTGTATCTATATTTTCTTCGTTTCTTCCATATCATGTACAAAATTTAATCATGGTTGTTAATGTTGCAGCGGTGAAAATGGTGTTGGACCTTTAGCTGGAGCTAATAATGCACAACCCAATCATTATGAAGTGGCTGGAGAACTTAGAGAAAATGCTTATGAATCTGTTGGTAATCAATATGAAACAGTAAATAATCAATCAACAAGTGATGAAAATAAACCATCAACAAGTAAAGCACCACCACCTGTTTATGCCTCGATCGATAGAGAAAATAGAGAAGGAAATCCGGTTTGTTGTGGATCTTTGTCATCTATTATTTATAAATAGGATTTGTGCATTTATTTTGTTTTAGTTGGATTATGGTGATGATTAATTTGAATGCATCATGGAGATTATGCGGGGTTAAAAACTGCTCGTATGTGAAAGCACCCGACATTTAGAATTATTGTTATTTAGCAGTAATTGATTCTCAAAGACCTGTAAACACACTTGAAAACAATACATACGAATTGCTTCGTTGAAACTTGATTTTATATTAGACGAGTGTCTCTAATAAGCGCTCAGTCTGCAATAGACAAACCCGGCACATTGTCATAATTTAAATTGTTTTATCGATTGGGCTAAGAAACCGTATATTCAATCTTGACTTTGTTTCTGTTTTGCTCACAATAAAGTGATAGAAAATGATGTAAACGTCTCTCTCTATTTCACTACTCGTGTAAACTGAACGTCCCTCCCCTCTCTCGAACTGCTATGGAATTTATTTAACGTCACGGGTTTATTAGATCATTTACGATGATTAAAAAACCTACATATATTTTATCATCATAGGTATATATGATAAAGTATATACAAAGTGTATTACAATGTGCCCTCCCGGCTATCACCATAGTAAATTGGTGACTCCTGCCCTTGGGACACAGGATGTACGTTTACACATTGTATGCATTGTTTTGTAACCAGAGTGCTCAAACATAATAGAAAAAAACAATGTTTGTAATGACAATATATACGTATTTTTTCTGTAGTTATACTCCTCACTTGATTTAAAAGATGTCCCTTGAAAAAACCCGGCCCAAAATCGTCCTGCACCGACTGGATACGCCAGGATTGATATGAGTAAACTGGCACCTGTCGAGAAAAAAGACGACAAGAAAAGTGATGACAAAAAAGGCGATGAAAAGAAGGAATAGTAAGTTTTATCTTTTGGAAAAGATCCACAAAGATCGACGTCATTCATTGATGGTTGAAGAAAAAATAAAAATTGATTCATTTGTTGAATATTTTTTTAAAAAATGCCGAAAACATGTTTTTCTTTCTCTTATTATGGTAGTTTAATCTTATTATAAATTTCCTTTAGAACTGGCGATCGTCGTTAATAAAACAAGAGTACGTAAAGACTGTTACTACATTTATAAAGTTTTATTTTGTTCTTCATTATATAATCTAGATTTGATCTCTAAACAGTACTAAACTGAATACTTTATGATTGTGTCTGTGTACATAATCTTTTGCCATGAACAAACTTGAATCTTGGCATCTATGCTACAGTTTGTGAATGTATTTTACTTGCCTTTATAAGGCAACAACATTACACACTGACTTTAACACAGCATTTTGAATAGAATATTGTTTTAATCGTAGTTTTACTTTTATTATTTTAATTATCATGGTTAAACCATTTAAACTTTTATTTACATAGAAATTAAGTGTAGAAATTAGATAGAAAAATCAAGCAATGTCAAGGAGTGTGATGGAAAACTCTTTAAATTGCTTCTTTACGATTAAATGATTTCATATGCACTAGTGTAAGAGATGTTTACGAATAAAAAAATTTCGTGATCATTATTATTTTTGCTTCTCTATTTTCGTGTCTACTTGTAGATGTGAGATTTGACCTACCCCCAAAGACAAGCTAACATTGAGTGGCTTTGTTTCAGCAACCTTGGCCAGAAAGACAGCAAACTGCAATTGAAACAATTTAGTGAACAAAATATAACAAAATTTTTATGTGTGAGTCACTGAACAATGGATAGTGCTATCCTTGCTTCGTGTAAACAATGCTTCAATTCCATAAACATCAATTGTAGTTTTCAGCGAGCGAACATCTCAATTATGCTCATCAGTGGACAATATTCATTGATCTTTAATGATAATCAATGACAGATGAGCAGGATAGCCTAAGGTAGAAGATAGCCTAAATATATATATACCGCAGAATGCAGATTTTCAAGTATTTCTTACACTGAAATGATTCGTAAAATTCAAATGTCTTACTTGGGAGTGAATACGCTTTATTTTAAACCGGATTTGCAATTCTATATTGTCCCCATATTTACTAAAATTTTGCAAAATTTTCTTTCATTTAAGATTCTAAGCTAATTGTAAAGCAATGTTAAATACAACAATTAAAAGAAATTATAGAACATTACTTTTGTACTTTTAATTTCTGAATTTGTTTTGGTGACTTGTTGGGCTTAGTGTTCTGGTTTTAAATACTTCTTTTAAGAACTGTTACGTTATTATTTTAACAATTCACCATGGTATTTGCTATTTTTTAAACAATTTTAACTTCTAATATACCCGATTAAAAAGAGCAAAGTCGTCTGACGTCATCCATGTACAGTCCTTTGCTAAACAGAAGTTTGCAGTCCAACCATCTGAATTGAAGTTGCTTGGGTTGAAGTGGTAAAAGTTAAAGGACAACTTGGTTATTTGTCATTTGATTCACTGTTTTACGAAATCAAAAATTTCTTAATGGTGCATGCCCCCTGGGACTCGTCAAGAACATTCTCAATCTAGCCACGTTTGGTATTTTCATCTAAAAACTGCAGAGTAAGATCATTGGTAAGATACATAGGGTAAGCAGGGGGGCGGATCAAGCTTTCCCAGGGCCCCTGGCGATTCCAAAGTCCCCCCCATCTAAAATTCTTTGTAGACAAAGTATAAGAAATTTTTAGTTGTGCATTAAAATTGTGAATATTACTAAGAATATTTCAGCAAAGCGATTTATACAGATGTTATTTTTCACAATGATTTTCTTACAAAATCCACTTGTGGATGTTCATCGTCTTCAAGAGCATTTTAATCAACTAGGAAATGGATATTGGCACAGCGTGTCGAAGTATGCTTTCACAATTTATACATTCATCTAAAACCACCATTAAGTCATATGTAAGGATAAAATTACAGAATAAAGATTGTGTGGCTGGTATTCTGTTTTAAAAACAACTCTGGGTAATTTGCGTGGCTTGTAATAAGACAGGTTTTCATAAAATATGGTCGCTCTGTTACATATGACAGCGTTGTCAAGGCGTTTACATTCTTTTCATTCACTTGTATAAATATTTGCACAACATGAGACCAGGAAATAATTTTGAAAAGAGGAAAATTGGCTGGTTTCTTTAAGAAACACGTGAAGATTTTTCACCGGCTTATTTACTTCAGTATTGTTTAAGGTAAAGTGAATCATTTAAAATATTAACAAATATTGTTGGACAAGATTATTTGTAAATAATTTCATTGACATTTCACGGAATTTCCTGTGGAATTAAGAAGTTGTCTGAGATGTATCATAGTGGAAAGTTCTTTAGTATTTCCACAAAGTACAACACAAAAACATCTTGTTTTACTGGCTACAACAGAGGATTTTTTTTATCAAAAATTTTGGACGTTTTACTGATGCTCTTGTTTCCTTCAATATTAATGGTTATAGGAAATCAAAAATATACATAAAATATGAAGGAATACATCATATATTTCTGTAGCAGTTCTGTGATTTTACTTAAGTTGCATCTTCACTTTACCTTTATAGACAGAAGACAGGATGGCAAAGTTTGACTTCCTTTCATTTGTTTTGTTCTGGTGGATTTCATCTTTTCAAGGTATTTATTATTTTTATTAGATCATTAAGGAAGTAAATGGCTATTTTTGTCAAATACAACTGTGGAATTTGCTTAGAATTTTAAGGTATATTGACTAAAATACTTACTTAATTCTTCATTTTGTGTACAATGACCATAATCAGTTCTGCATTGAATGAAATAATTTAAAAGCAATACCTGGCAGTATTTTAGAAGACAAAGAGTGTTCATTTCTTGCGTAATTTTCATCCAACGTTAGTTCAGTGAGTAAACGTCTCTGTGTACAGTGCTTCAGCTGATTTGAACCCTCCTAAAAATAGTTAAAATAAATAAATAAATTTTCATCCACAAAATGAAAAATGCTACAATTTTTATTAGGAGTATTGAAAATTAAATTAATCATTTACGTAATAAAAATAAGAAAATTTCGCGTAACAGACTTCATGAAAATTTATTCAGGAGCGACCGTATTCACCATGTTTTTCATGGGAACAAAACAATCTTATTAAGTTTGAGTCTGAATTTTAGCGTGATTTATTTCTATGCAGGGGTACATATCCTCTGTGACATAGGTCCTAGACTAATCGATGTCTTAACAGTAATGTAATGAACACCAAATTCGAAATATTCTGATATCGATATCAATTCATCCCCCTACATCCGTGTTGAATTTCTAAACATTCATAATGTCTTTTAACTCGTCAAACTTTCTACGTTTTCCTTCCTAAGACTTAACAAATAGAGCGATTTTATCTTCATTTTCAATTTTTTTGCCTTAAAGAAATGAGTTATTTTCTCCACATATTGCTTCAAAGCCTTAATGTCATCACTATTCTACAATGCGTAACCTTCTTCATTGTCTGTGTAATATATTGATTCACGCGTAGTTGAATACTGACTTAAATAATTTAGCAGCTGGTATAAATATATAGTAACAATGATTACACTTTAACAACATTATCATTGCAATACTGCAATAGTTTATTTCAAGATCATTATCTTTCTCTTTATAATTGTGGTGTCTTTGTGGAACACCTTCAAAAACCTGAATTCCTCTGCCTTTGTATGCTCATTTGAAGAGCCTAATGCTCATTAAGCTTTTGTAGTCGTTGTTATGATTAATAAGATGTTTCTTATGTTTCTTAATGGCTCAGACTGACTTATTTGCAATTGTCTCATGACACATCGGGGCCTCTCCTGGAAATCAAAACGGGCCTTTTATTGTACACATCTAGCTATATGATATCAATGTGACTGAAATTGAAAAAATTAGGAATATGTAAATACTTTTAAATTTTCAACTAACATCAAAGTCATCAGGAATGGAACAACTTCTCTTTTTTATAACACTAAAATATTTTACTTGGCTAGCAAAGGCTCTGATATTTGAAGTTGTTCAGAATGATATAAATTGTTGTCAATGACGACATAATGCCCTCATTTTTAGACACTGAAAAATAAATTTATAAATTTGGCACGGGGATATTTTCTGGGGGCCACCTACGCTTGAAATGACAATTTCCTTAAATTGGAGTTAGGGTGAGCCTGGTTCTCTATGTTAATTTTGTTTTATATGTTTCTGTTATCTATCCTTTGCTACTGTTTTCATTTAATAATTGATATTTAATGGATTAAAATGAATTAAACGTTATTAGATTTTATATATTTGTCTTTTATTTCTTGTCATGTATAGGAATTATTCAATCACCTCCCTCTGGAACAAGTTTTACATTTCTACTTGGAGAAACAACAATATAACGTGGACATTTAATGATAGAGAAAGTGATTTGGACAGTAGAGATTGGTATTTTACTGGTAGTAGTAATGGTTATGCACAAACACTTTTGGCCATTGTTTTGAAAACTTTAATGTAATAAAGTTACGTGCACAAATTCCTCCAAATTATAACGCCTACAAACCTTCAACGCTGCAATTAAGAAATATCACTCATAGTTATGATGGAACGTATGAGTTTCGATTAACAAGAAAGGACAGTCTGTTATCTCCTTTTATATCCAAAGTCAGAGTTTTCGTTGCAAGTAAGTCATCCCTGTTTTTTTATTATTTTGTGTTTTTATCAATTTTAGAAATTGGTATTTTTTTATTTGAACATTTAATATAATTACAATATGATTTATATCGATCATTTTAACTCTGTAGAACCCACAATGTGATTTTCTATAGCTAAAACTATTTCCATTGACTTTTTACTCATTTGGAGTCATTACTTGCTGAAATGGGGAAAAATTTTTGTTAGGTCCCATTTTAGCCTCTATTTTGCCTCATAATAAGTATATATGTAACACCGAGCTAATTGTGGCATAAAAGATAACTTTATGCATTTCAAAATGGTTTGTAAGAATATGCACCTCAAATAGCAGGGCAAAATGTATAATTTTTTTAGTCAACACAAAACAAGGTTTTAAGAATGAAAAAATATGTTTTTTGAAATGCTATCACTGGTGGAAATCATAGAAACAATTACGTTCCTCAGCAAAACAAAGTCTAACGTTACATTTCATACACACAGTGTTTGTGTTGTTTTTCATGCAAAGTTTGCACCGCCCACGTTTCTCACTTTTCTTTGGCCAATGACAGTAGCCATTTTCCGAATATCAGCAGTAGGCAATCGCTGTTTTTTCTTTGGTTGTTGCGGGTTGGTGATGGAGTGCTTGACGGTGATGGAGTGCTTGACGGTGATGGTCGGCCTACTTTTATTTTTGAATTTACATGCACCAGCGATGAAGCAACAGATGCCTGAAAGTGTCGACGGTTCATCATTTCCTTTATTGGAAGTCCCAGCAATCTGTGATCACGCCAGTATAAATTCCATGCATTTACAATTGCCACCATCAAAAAATGCCAATACAGATATGTGTACCACCGGCGTGATCTTACCTTGAAACGGTATTGAGCAAGAAATGAATCAAGCAGATCAATTCCACCCATATGCTTGTTGTATTGATCAATAACTGCTGGCATGGGCAATTTGACTCGTTCATTCTTTTTGTCCCATCTCTCAGCTGACATAATAGGCTCAATTCCAATAAGCGTAGAAAGAGTGTAACAGCTTTATTGTCAAACCAACGAACCGCAACAATGTTGCTGTTCTGTTCAACTCTGTGATCATAAGACCCTCTTCCCGTCTTCTTCGATCTTTTCCTCCTTCAAGTTACATCCTGACAATCGATTCTTTCGTACTGTACCAGTATAATGCATTCCCTCTCCTTTAGTTGCAGGAGAAGTTTGAAACTTGTGAACAAATTATCTGCATAAATTTTATAATTGGCATGGTATGCTAAAGTTGAGGTCAGCTTTAGTACTACATCGGCTCCTTGGCCCAATTCACTTCTTTTCCCATTTCCACCTTGGTAAACATCAAAATCGTACAATATTCCACTGTCGCCTGCTCTACACCAGACCTTGAATCCCCATGGATGTGGTTTACTCTTGATATATTGTCGAATGGGACTTGTCCTTCCTCTGTATTTACACATCATTTCATCAATTGAATTGTGCTCTTCTGGAATATGTTTTGGCAGTTTTCTCTCATTTTTCAAGCCATGGTCAATTTTCCACAATTTGTCTCCCTTGTCATTGTCAGATACCAAGAAATTGTTCACAAAATGAAGCATTCTCAACAAAAGCTTAAATTGATTACGACTCATGACATCACAAACAGAACTGTGTGCAGTAGCAGATTCCCAATACTGTCGAACTCCACTCATCCTTACAAGCCCATATGAAAAAACATACCAATGAGTTGTTCTATCTCTTTCTTATTAATGTTTATTGAGTTTCCAGACTTTTGGACACTGTATTCATTGGTGCTTGTCACCAAATTTTGATGCATATCACCACTCACAAATTGCTTAAAATATTGAAGAAGAGTTTTTGTTTCCATGTTCACTGGGGCTTCAACGTTTGGACCAGTAAATGTTACACTAGTTTCCGACACAAAAAATAAAGTTTTTCTCTAACTCGGCTTACTTGTTCGCATTGAAGCTAGGGGCATGTTAACATCATTGTCATCACTATCATCGATTTTCCCACTCACATTTTCAAACTCACCATCATCATCACTGCTACCAGAGTATTCTCCCAACAGAAAAAAATATTTTCAAATGAAAAAAAGTACTGGCTAGCATGATTGGCTTCTTGAATAATCAGCCTTACTGAAAATTACTGACATATTTATTTGTATTTTGAAATTGTATAACAATCAATCTTCCTTGAGAATTTTAACATGACAGACTTGAGGCACTTAACAAGCAATTGTAATTTTTATAAAAATATTACGAGCTCGTATGAAAAGTCCCTTAGTTTCATGTCATTGTTACTAAAAATTCATGAATGTTCATTATTCAAACTTGATTCTTAGAGGCCAATCTCCTGTAAATCTCTTTTTCATCACATTGCATTAAAATGACACGTAACTTTGTGCCTCTTCTATTATTGCTCTTCATTCAGACAAAGCATTTCCAATTCTTACAGCTTGTTTTTAATTATAGTTTAAAAGCTGTAATCCTTTTAATAAGATCACGAGAAACGTTCATTTTTCCAACTTATGTTGTAAAATATTGTGGTCTATTGAATTGAAACCTTTTCAAAAGTCTACAAAAAAGTTGAGCAGCCACGATCAATTGCTTCAAATTCATCTTCATCAGTTGTACAGTGGCCTTTCCGTGCGTATTGTTGTACATTGATTTTATCTTTAAGCAGTTTTGTAACAGTAAGGCATTCCATAATATCAGCCAAAGCATGCGTAAATGAAATGGGTTAGTGTTCATATTTTTTGGAGGGATCACTTCAGGGATTAAGGATCAAAATTGAAGTTTTTGTAAGAGTAATGGTAAATTTCCGTCTTTAATGATTGATTATGCATCTTTTACATGACTGGGAAGGAAAGATTTAAGCCTTAGAGCGACTTGTTTGGGATAATATCTGGTTTTGATGTGACAAGCAATATCAACAATACATCAAACGGCTACTAAAGCGAAGTAAACACACTAGTGAAAACCTCAAAACGCAATTCTCTTTCGTTTACACTTCACTAACAAAAGTTGTCGAATCTTTCAATGTGAAGAAAAAACCAGACACACAAACCAGTCAAATCAACTACAGACTATTGTAACAAAACTAAATCCAAGTCTTTCTATTACAAAACTACCCAGCAAAAACTACGAAAGTTAACAAGACGCTTCTGTAAATATGTGGACGTTAAAATAGTTTATTTCTCTGAGAAAATTCCAGAGGTTAAAGCCAAATTCCTCCCACAATATAAAAGCCACTGAAAGACACTATTTCCTTTCTTTTCGATTCTTTTGCGTGATATAATTCTCCTTATATATTGAGAAGATAACTCGCCATCTCTTCACGCTCATCAAAGAACACACAACTTCCAACAAAATTTACACATTTACAAACACCTTCACACTTCACTACAATGTAAAACTAACTACAACAATTTATGATTTTGCATCGTGGACATCGGTTACCTTTTATTTTACTCTAAAACTTAAAGAAGCTCTCTATACTAAAAAAGTTAAACAAACAAATTCATCACATCAACACCATCTTCAATTTCTTCGTATCTCTAAATTATTCAGTAATTTGATACCGGTAACATATTTCATATGAATATATTTCTCATTCCTCTGTACTGAAGAGGGTATAAGATTTCCGAAAACTATGTTTAATTTCAAAAAAATCGTCGTTCTCTTAAAATGTTTCATATATCTGTTGTGTTGTTAAGAAATCATAAAAATATGATTCGTAGAATAAAAAACAGTTTTTACCATCATATGAAAGGATGTAACAAACATTTCAACATCTCATGGTTAAAAATATTTTTGTTCTACACTGTATAGTTATTAGGTAGTGGTTATGTAAAACGATGTCTTCAATTTGTCTTATCTTTTTTTAGTTAAACCAAACGTGACAATTAATTGTTCAACACCTCTGGTTGTAAATGAAGATGATAATGTGTCATGTGTATGTAGAGGTGAAGGAGGTAACCCTCCTGCTAATGTCACATGGTTTGATAAAGATAACAACATACTTGGTGATGTTGGAGTTGTAAGTAAGACATTAGTAATCACTAATGTTACAATGAATGATGGTGGAAATTACAGATGTAAAGCACAAAGTTATAATGATCCACGTTTTAGAGATGAAAAATCTATTGAAGTAATAGTGAAAGCTACTTGTAAGTTTGTAAGACAGCATTTCAGATCTCATTATAAACGTTTACAGAATATTGAATTTTGAATTCTATTCAGATCCACCACAACAAACAAATATTACCATCAGTCCAATGTCAGTAAAAAAAGGTCAAAATGTGACAATAACCTGTGAATCAGATGGTTATCCTGAACCAACCTACACTATTTATCACAATGTAGCAGTTATCAGTAATAATAAGACATACATCATTCAATCATTCAACTTCAATCACGTTGGTTCATATTGTTGTGAAGCAAAGAATAAACTGGGAAATGATTCATCTGATGTTAAAAATCTTACTATCATCAAAGGTAAAATCAAAATTTTACTTCATCAATTTTTGGGCTAGTATTCTACACTGTACATGAACAAATTACGACTGTTCAGTTTCATCCCATTTGTACACAATAGTACAAGATTGTGCTGAACAATGAAGATAGTTATATATTTTTCTTTGTTGGCGAGATTTAGATTCGTTTTGCTGAAAGACCACCACTCCCAATTATGATTGATTCTTGAGCTTACGCCTCATATGCCCCTATTGCTGCCTGCTGCGCTGACGTATGCATCTGTCGTCACCAAGCTGTTAACTTTGCCAATTGCATATCCTCAATAAATAGGTTATCAAGAGCCTTAGACGACTATGATTTGTTTATAGTTCTTCGAAGACCAACGATAGTTGTTTAGGCTTCATAATAAGTCAATAATGTTTATGTCTAGTCGGTCACGAGATTGACTTTCAAAATTTCAAAATTTATTATTAATATGCATCTTGAAATTTGAGTGATTATTGTTACGTTGTTGTTCTTTTCCAACATCAAAGTCTTTTAAAAATGAAATTTTCATTAAGCAAATTGGTTAATAATGCAGCGGTTTAATTGAACACTCATAAGAAAATGCACCTAACACTAACGAATAATCTCATTAATAATTTTCTCATTACTAATTTTCATAACTAATTTAAGAAAGGAATATTTTCTGTTTTTAATTTCAGTAAAACCAAATGTGGTAATTAATTGTTCAGCACCTCTCGTTGTGAATGAAGGTGATAATGTATCATGTGTATGTAGAGGTGAAGGAGGTATCCCTCCTGCTAATGTCACATGGTTTGATAAAAATAACAACATAATTGGTGATGTTGGAGTTGTAAGTAAGACATTAGTAATCACTAATGTTACATTGAATGATGGTGGAAATTACAGATGTAAAGCACAAAGTTATAATGATCCACGTTTTAGAGATGAAAAATCTATTGAAGTGACAGTGAAAGCTACTTGTAAGTTTGTAAGACAGCATTTCAGATCTCATTATAAACGTTTGTGTAGAATATTGAATTTAGTTTTATTCTTTACAGATCCACCACAACAAACCAATAATTTGAGTTGATTTCTGTGTAGCTATTTTAGCATATTTCATTTAAGTTTGGGCTAGAATTCCAACCAGTAAATTCGTTAACATATGTATCTCCAACATCATTTTTCCTTTCAAAATATTCATCTACTGATTGCAACACAAAAGATAATTTATTTACTATGCTATAAAATCATATTTATGTTTAAAATACTATTAGCTCTTTCTGTTCTATTTGCATGCGCTACCTGAGATGATAAAAATCCTTAAAAGAAAATTTAAGCAAATCGCTCCTTTATAGCAAACTTTAGCTCTGGCCTCACAATGCAATTAACATCTCGACCTTTGCCTTAGACTTAATGGAAATGTTTAATTCAATCTATCCATTGCTCAATCAAAATGCTCCAATCTTGTTATCATATGTATTTTAGTATTGTGTACAAATAAATTCTTTTCATTTTTTCCATGTTTTAAGTTCTATGCTTCTTCTCTAGACAACGTTCTTTGTGATGACCAAAAAGAGAGAATAAAACAGTGCAAAACAGAATGGTACATTATATTAATAACTTTAACATCTGGAATTATCGTTGGAGTTTTCGTCTCTATTTTATTTTTTTTGCGTTATCGTCAACATTGGTTAAGTAAAAAACGTCATCAATGTCAATCTCCATCTGAAGTTAGAAAAAATTCTGTTGATACAACTTATCAAGAATTGGATTTATCAAAAATGAATAAAGAAGATAATTATCAATCATTGAGACCAAAGGATGACACAGTTGATACAACTTATGAAGAACTGGACATATCGAAAAGGAATATAGAAGATAATAATTATGAATCTTTGTAAAAAATAATGAATCGGAGTACGTGATAGCCGACGAAAGAAGAAATTATGAGAACAGTAATTTTTTTTCAAGAAAATCATAAATTTATTCTAAACATGTGTTTATAAACATTTTCCATGTTGTAAAGTCACAATGTTGCTTTTACGAACATTTACATTTTCTGATAAGATTTGAATTTTGCAACTTTTCCTCCCTTTGAAGCTGCCAATACTTTATGATTTTTTGAAAATTCATAAAGTATTGCAATCAAGAAGACTACACGAATCTCAAAACAGAGCTGGCACACATCGCTCACTCGTACATCTCATCTTATCACCCGACACCAGCTGATTTCAAAAAACATCACATTCTTAAAAACATTCGCAACAATCCAAACATTATCATTCTCAAACCGGACAAAGGCAACGGCGTAATAATCATGGATCATCAAATGTACCGTAACTCCTGCCTTAAAATCATTAACAATGCAAAGTTTACCCCACTCAAAGAAGACGTCACACTACCACGTGAAGCCAAACTACAACGACTGTTAAGGAAGCTTCTAAAGAAAGACTCCATTAGCAACGAAGTTTATAATAATATCTTCCCCAGAGGTTCTCAACCCTCACATTTCTATGGCTTACCGAAACTTCACAAGAAACGAGAATCAGAACAATCGCCTCCACTACGACCGATAGTTTCATCAATCAACGCATACAATTATAATTTAGCTAAGTATCTTAGTTCTTTACTAACACCACTCATGCCAGATGACCACTCCACTAAAGATTCTTTCACTTTCCTCGACGACTTCTCATCTTTCAACTCATCAACTTCTTGTCACAAATTCTTTATCTCCTACGACGTTGAAAGCCTATTTACTAACATATCACTTACTGAAACCATCAACCTAGCAATCGACTTAATATTCACTCACAACCCCACGTTCAGTATAAACAGGACCGACCTCACGCAACTATTTTTAATCAAAGAAGCACTCCACATTAACAAAACTAACCCTGACCTCAATGTTCAAGTTTTTAAATTCAATACAATATTTAGTTTATAATACGCTCGGACGCTCCTCATTATATTATCTTATTTCCTTTTTCTTGTTCAATTTATGTATCATATTACTTTTATATAAACCCTGTATCACCTATTATTTCATTCATACTGAAGATGGCATTATGAGATGTCGAAACATGTCTATTTAAAAAAAAAAAAAAAGTTGTCGTTTATATTAAATGTGTATTGGCAATAGTGCTTTTACGAAATTATGGAAACTTTATGATTTCCAGAAGGAAGCCATTTTTGGATGAGAAAATACACTGGTCATTCTGACTGATTCATTAGTTGTTTTTGATAACAGTGTATGGTAATACTGTTTTTGAATAAGTATTTTCTATTTATCTTACTGTACACCTGCCTTCCTGACTTATTTCCTGTTTATACCAAATTGTTTAGAACAGGATCACGAAAAGGCCCTGAATAAGCATGAAATCTTATTTCTGATGAACCTAAATCGTAAATTTCAAAATTTGTCTTTGATTAGGGAATGCCTTGAGACCCATCTAGTTAAGAGAAGACCATAGTTGGATAGTTACGAACACCTTTAGTGATCTACAATGGAGCGCCAATCGTAACAAAAATTATTTACAGTTTGTATGGTTTCATTTTGAATACAGGGTTAGTGGGGTGCTTGACAACATAAGGAGAGCCGTCTTAATACTTGATATATAAACAAATGTACTGGAGAATCCCAACTGTTTAATATCGCAAAGCTCCAGACGTACAAAAACCTCCATCATTTGGGAGCAACAATAAAACTGTTAACGTTTGGATATTTCATTCTCGATTTGAATGCTAAAACAACAAGAGCAATAACTTTAACTTTATAATACATTTACATTCAAAGACCTAAAGATGTTTTTCTTTGATATTTTAGTCAGCAGTTATTAAGTAATGGCATTCGCAAAGAATGGCAAAAACTTTTGGTTAGATTTTGTTGGGGGCTAAGCCTTCCCCCAGTGCTGTGTCCAATCCTTTGAAGCTTAGTGTTAATATTGACCTTGTAGTAATGGCTAAAGGCAAACATTCCATTTTTTTTTTATTTTATAAATTGAGGGTAGGGGAATATTCATATATTCAGCACTGCCCTGCTGGGGCCAGTTGCACAAAGCCTGGATAGCGCTATCCATTGGATAGCAAAAATTTTCAAATTTGTAAAAAAGGTGCTTATATTTTACTTACGACAAAGAAATTTTATAATCTTTGAAACAATATTTATTTCAGACTTTTCAGTGATTGCTCAGTTTGAATTTTATCTTTTTTCCTTTTTAAAAGGTTTTAAAAAAGTTTGAAAAAATTGCTATTCAGGCTTCGTGAAACCGGCCCATGATATCTTTTGAAATTATAATCGCCAACAAAAGGAAGTAGCAGGAAAGAGCTTAGTACATGAATATTCACACCCCCCCCCCTCACAATTAGTGTTCTAGTCTAGTTTCGTCCCGTCTTGTCTTAGCTAGATGAGTTTCTGGGCATCCCCAACCCAAGAAACAGCTGTAAATATTTTTTTACTATAAGGTGGGTGTGCATCAATTCTCTGGGTGTAAGAGAAAAATGAAATGCTCGCCATGTTGGATGAATTATGTATGGTAAATAAGAAAAATCCTCTGTTAAAATCATGCAAAATGGCGGTTGCACTTGCACACCAAGAAGTAGCACCCCATCCTTTGTATTCGGGTCTGGTTCAGTGGTCTGGTTATACAACCTTCTTCGGTCATTATGTTTTATAATTTATTTATAATATCTATGCTTTTAATCATAAAGATAAGATGTACTATGCAATGTTACACAAAATAGTGAGAATACGAAAATGAACTTCATTGGCCTAACTGGCCTTTATACAATTTTTACGATGAACAATGAAATAAATATTTGCACACCATGGACACGGAAATAATTTTAAAAGAGTAAAATTAGCCGATTTATTCAAGAAATGTGTTAAGTCTCACACCGTTCATTTAATATGTTATCAAAAATTGACTGATTAGTCTATTTGTAAATAATTTTATTGACATTTCACTGAGTTTTCTTTGGATTAAGAAGTTTCCAGTTTTGCATCATAGTGGAAAGTACGTTAGTACTTCCGCAAAGTACAAAACGAAAAAATCTTGTTTTACGATATTTTGGATATATTTTAGGCAATAAAATTATCTACAATATGACCGACTTTAAAAAAATTCCACCGTGTAGTTTTTTATTTATAGGCCTTTGTTTGCAAAGTTACCTGGATATAGGAAGTTAATTATATTAGATTATATTACGCGTAATCTTGTAATCCGACTTTGCCGATGATTTTCTACAACTTATTTTTTTGGCACTCTCCAGATTTTTGATATATTTTAGACAATATAATTATCTATATTCTGGCCAAGTTTAAAAAAATTCTACCGTGTAGTTTTTAAATTATACGCTAATTAAGAGAATAGAAAGTACACTGTAATATAAATCTTAGTGTTTTCTTCAATTTCTTGACTTTTATACATTTTTTGTGATGGTTAAGGACAGTAAAATAGTAATAAACAATTAAGAATTGTTTTTTACTGTTGTATTTGATGGAAAACGTGTTTTAAACACGATTTTTCGATTTATCATTTTGAATGATAAATTTTAGTTGAATGTGGTGATGATTGTTGTGTTGAATGTTGTGTTGAGTGTGGTTCCCATTGTTTACTGAAGACCATGTTATGTTATTTGTATGGCACGAAGTATTTATAATATACGTTTCGCAACCGCTGTCCAGTTTGCCAGTCAGAAATCTCGACGTATGGTTAATTTTCTCAACATGTGCTTGCTTTCTCATATGTCACTTATGATTCTCGACAAGTGATTGGAATTCTCGATACACTTTTGTCACAGTTTGGCGTGCCATATCTTCACGTACGTCATACGTTGCGAAGCAGGAAATTGAGTCTCTGAAATTCTCACGGAAGAAAACCAAATTACATGGGTATGTTACGTTTTGCTGTATTTTTAGTGGAATAACGTACTTGTACTTGTTGTCTTGAATGAAAATATTGTTTTGCTGTAAAGTTTTGCGTGCGTAAATATTCATGGCATTCGACAGGCGCTATTGAAACGAATCTCTTATCGAGAATTCTTAGTTCAAACTAAAATTAGCCAATACTAAAATTGTATTTGTGAAGGAAAATAAGTTTTAAGCCTAGGCCACACTATCGTCCATATCGACGAAAATCAGAACGAAAACTGCCGCAACGAAAATTTTGAACGAAAACTCGACGAAAATTTCGTTTTCGTGCATATGAGAAGAATTAAACTTTTGACCTTTTTCTTTTACGAAAACGCATATTATTGGCTAATAATATCAGACTTTGTACTCAAACATTCGGTGGCCGGTACGGGTCACCAGAAAAATAATTTAGAAAACATTACAAACAATAAGAAAACATCAATCAAAATCATACTACACATTTCAAAATACTCACTACACATTACAAAATACTCACTACACATTACAAAATACTCACTACACATTACAAAATACTCACTACACATTACAAAATACTCACTACACATTTCAAAATACTCACTACACATTTCAAAATACTCCCTACACATTACAAAATACTCGCTATACATTTCAAAATACTCACTACACATTTCAAAATACTCACTACACATTCGTTCCAGTCTTACCCTGGTCTGACCTGCTCACGGTCATCATTAGTTTACATATACGAAATTGACGTGATGGCAGAAAGCTAATATAAATATACGCTTCCGATATTACTAACAGTTCAGTACGCGTAAGGATATTTTGATGCTATTGTGGCGATATGTTGTCTATGTGGAATTCGGCACATAGACAAACATATCGCCACAATAGCATCAAAATATGCGATACGCGTACATGAACTATTAGTAATATTTCTTCCAGGGATTTCTTGGTCTTGGTTAGACAATACAACATGAGTGGTCAATCTACAGATTGCATGTAATTGTTTTGTATTGGTGATATTCGACAATCATTAGTTCAACTAATGCACGTATTGACGTGACTGGTATTGAAGTTCTAAATTTATTGCTTTTTACTCGAAATTACCTTTTTCTTTTACGAAAACGCATACTATTGGCTAATAATATCAGACTTTGTACTCAAACATTCGGTGGCCGGTACGGGTCACCAGAAAAATAATTTAGAAAACATTACAAACAATAAGAAAACGTCAATCAAATCATACTACCGCGTTTTCAAATGCTCTGCTACAGGTTACAAGATGCTCACTTCAATTACAAAATACTCACTCACATTTTCAAATCTCACTACCCATTTCAAAGATACTCACTTTCGCGTTTCGAATACTCACTACATTCAAAAATGCTCACTCACGTTTCCGTTCAAAATATCTCGCTACACTTTCAAAATACTCACTTTCACGTTTCAAAATACTCGCTTCGTTTCAAAATACTCTTTCACATTTCCAATGCTCACTCACATTTTCAAAATACTCCTACATGTTTCAAAAATTCGCTACACATTTTCAAAATACTCACTGCACATTACAAAATACTCACTACACATTTCAAAATACTCACTACACATTTCAAAATACTCACTACACATTTCAAAATACTCGCTACACATTTCAAAATACTCGGTTTGGCGTTTCTTGGTTTCCTTGTTATTTTTGTAACGCATCACACAAGTACGTACGCGACATAGCGAATGCTAAATTCATATACTCAGATTTTTGCTATTAAAGTACGGACATGTGTCGAAAGCCACTGCAAATACATTTGCTGGCGATATGTAGATCGATCATAATGTTGTTGCCGACCAAGTCCAGCAAAACCCTGGAAGAATTTCTGATTAAAGTTTAGCCAATATTTTCATGCTATTATCCCAAATTCCCAATTTGTTTGTCTTAAATGAGGTAATTATATATTTAATATTCTTTTTATGATGTCATGTCAGTTTCGTAGATATGGAAACTAATGATGACGCGGGCAGGCCAGACCAGCGTAATACTGGGACAGATAGTAGCGAAATGTGTAGTGAGTATTTTGTAATGTAGTGAAAAGTATTTGAAATGTGTAGTGAATATTTCCATCAGTGGCAATATTTTGAAATAATAACAGCAATATTTGAAATGTGTAATGTAATATTTGAAAATGTTAATGAGTAATATTTGAAATGTGTTATTATTTCAATATTAATGGCAATATTTTGAAAATATGTAGCAGTATTTTGAAATGTGTAGTGATATTTTGAAATATTATTAGCAATATTTGAAATATTAGTGAAATATTTTATAATGTTTAAGTGAAGTATTTTCTGTAATTGTGTAGTGAGTAGTATTTTTGAAATGTGCAGTAAATGTGAAATGTGTGAGAGTATTTTGAAAATGTGTAGTGAAAGTATTTTGAAATGTGTATTTTGAGAATATTTTGAATGTGAGTGAGAGGTGTTTGAAAATGGCAGTATTTTGTAATGTGTAGTAATATTTGAAATGTGAGAAGTATTTGAAATGTGTGTGTTAGAAATGTGTGTAGAGTATTTTGAAATGTGTGTATGTGAGTGAGTATTTTGAAATGTGAGTGAGTATTTTTGAAATGTGAGTGAGTCTTTTGAAAATGTGTAGTGAGTATTTTGAAATGTGTGAGTGATATTTTGAAAATGTGTAGTGAGTATTTTGAAATATGTGAGTGAGTATTTTGAATGTGTGTAGTGAGTATTTTGAAATGTGTAGTAGTATTTTTGAAATGTGTAGTGAGTATTTTGAAATGTGTAGTATGATTTTGAGTGATGTTTTCTTATTGTTTGTTATGTTTTCTAAATTATTTTTCTGGTGACCCGTACCGGCCACCGTACAAACATGGCGGAGTGGCAAGAGGTTTTGATAAATCAGGGCTAATAGACTTTCTAAGATGTGTGCCAATTTAGTGATGTGAGGTCTAATTAAATCCAAAGTGTAGTCAAAATTTGTCGTCGTCATTCGCAAGTATTTTACGTGTCTATTTTCATTGTTCGGCTCTCGTAATTCTTTAATCAAGTTGTTAAATAGTCCAAGACGATCACGCCGTTTATTAATTGGATGAATCCAGTATCGACGTTTGCTGTTGCTTGTTTTCAACTTTAAAAGCAGTAACATTTTCTTAAGAAAAAGTAATCTTTTTCTTTTAGAGATCGCCATTTTTTCTAATCCTTAAAAAATTCCGCTTGCTTATTGGCCAAAAAAGTTTTGGCTTTGCAAACATGCTTGTAATTTTTCGTCGTGTCTGGCATGCATTTTGTGCACGAATTTTCGTTTTCGTCAATATAGACGATAGTGTGGCCCAGGCTTTAGTCTGAATTCGAGAAAACCTTCAATAATATGGTACACAAGTGTATACGTTAAAATACAACAGCTTTTGGTATTGATATGCTGTGATGAAGATCTCTTTACCTTAACGTCGATTTAAACAAAACTTTTTAAGAATTTTGATGCATTTTGAATTTCATAATTTTAAAAGACCAAGACGAAACACTACATTAAATACTAAATTAGTATGTTGGGTTTCATTTCTTCTTTCATTCTTGAAAATATTTCTGTACTTCCTGTTGTATTGTTTAGTAACCAAACAAATAAGGGCTTGTTTACATGGGAATAGGGTAACCATACTTGCAAGCAGGGGCGGATCCAGCAATTTTCGTGACTGATGCACCACTGTGAGCGCCAAAGGCGCTAGCTCTGTAGTCTGGGAGGATGCCCCCCGGAAAATTTTGTACTTTAGACAATCGGAAATGCGATTTCCTGCGTTTTGACAACAGAATTTAAAAAAACTTGGCTTTACTTAGTTTGTAAACTTTTCGCAAATTTCAATGATATAAAATCTAAAATTTTTTGATAATTGAATCTAAGCATGGTAATGCCAGTGCTATACTTTCCCACCAAATTCATGAGACCAGCTTTCAAGAGGAGTATAAGTACGTACCTAATAGCTAATACTATGTGCCCTCCTAGCTTTAATCAAAGTGCAATGGTGAGGACTTATATACATAAGGATCAGGATGCACATATGCACATATGCAAAAATAAAATATGGTGATGTAATATACAATGAAATATGTAAAAGTATTACAATATAGAGCTGTTGCTATAAAATCTTTATGTATAGTGGGTAATTTTGAGATCATAATAATAATGTAAAGACCATACAGTAACATCATATCTATGTAAATGAAATGCTTTGCTGTCTACCCACCCTTTTGTGATCATAATGTTTTACGGTAAATTTAGAAATTTGGCACACTGTGCATGATTGTAAATGAGAGCACACACTCAAAAAAACATCATCTTGTAAACTCAAGATTCCAGTTATAACAGCAACAGAGAAGATTCAAAGCAATATTTCAACTTCATATGAAAGTCATTATCAAGCTAGGTGTGGAAGAAATAATAAGGAGTTGTTGTGGCTGAAATAATATGTAATTACAGTTTGCTTTGCTAAATTTCAGGGATTGACAATATTAGGCATGCAATATGAAAATGAAAAACTCTAATGAATAACATGGTTGGTCCAGCATAGCTCTTACATTCAACACATTGCATAGCTCAGAAAGTTAGTATTTATAAACAAGCAAAATGTATGAAAAATGTGCCCTCTCTGTCTGTCACATTGAGCACATATTACAACATATTACATGGAATATTTATATATCTATGAAATATCCTGAAGTAATGTAATATAAATTATTAGCTCTTATATTTTTATGTATGTTAAGTAACTTTGAAATCACAATATCCATGTGAGCACAATTAGAGTGCAGATTTCTCCAGGAAGTGCATAGAGACTTCCACCAGTGACTTTAATCCGAAGAAATCTTCACTATAAATATGCAGGACTACCCAAATTCAAACATATAGTTGTGAATAAAATGTTTTGTGATCTTATGTTATATGACACTTTATAAACTTGGCACAACAACATGCATAATTATGTGCACACTAGTTATGGCATAAATCCAAAGCATTGCATTATACTACTGGCTAAATTTCATTGAGCCAACAAGATTGGACATGGAGTTTGAAAATTGACATTGTAAAATAGAATACAGTAAATTTCGATTTAATAGGTTAATGCAGGTCAGGATGCTTTGAAATTTAAATAAATTCAACAGGGAATAAACACCCCATGTGCCCCTTCCCATCATATTCCTAACATTAAAGAGAGTAAGCCAAAAGCATTACATAAATACAAGTATAGACCTATAGCAATGCATTACAATGTCAAGCATAGTAAGCAGTAAGCACTTCAAGCTACTTACTTTAAAGCCCGCCAATTATCTCCCATATGCTTAGGGATAAGCAACTCTGCGTTAAGATCTCTTGCCAGCTTTCCTTTTCGAAACAGGTCTGTTTTAGTCGGAATGGCAGCAGAGACTTTTGCTTCATAATCCTAGCTTACAGAAGAAATCTCGCTGGTTTTACTGCCTTGAATCAATGAGCCAAAATCGTATATATGCCTACTTTCAGCCATGATGACTTCAAGATATAAATAAACCAAATGCCATAGTCATGTAATTATAATTTTGAAGGTTTGAAGATTGATAACGCTGGCTCAAGTGCATCAGTCAGAATGAAATTTTGGTGTTCGTGGGCTTAAGTGCAACAGTCAGCAGCGATTTCCCACCGTGACGTAGGCTAAAAAACAATGAAATTCGTGACGTTTAGGTGGTTCACTCAGCCAAAGAGACTCGGGACTGTTGCACCAACTGGTGCACTTTTTCCCCACCGTGACGTAGTGATTTACTATCTAGCCACCGTGACGTAGTAATACAAATTCAGCTCAGTGTAGCTGGATGATGAAACAGATTTTCGCTAAAAATTTCGACACATAAAAACGCCATATTTAGCGACGCATTTTTTAATACTGCGGCTGTAATCAAAATGATAGTCACATGGAAACAATCTACGAACAGGGTTGTTAGTTTGGCCTTTTTGAGGCCAAATAACTCGATTTTGGCCTTTTTTTTCTTTCTTTGGCCTCGAAATTTTTTTTTGGCTATTTGGCTACTTTTTGGCCTCTTTTTACTCAAACAATTTTTTTAAAATTTTTATTGAGCTTTATTTGTAAAAATCTCTTAAATGTACAAAATGTGATGGAAATACAACTAAAAATGATCATAAGGATCAAATTGAGCATTGAATTGTTTTCATCCAATCACAGCTAAGTATAATTCAGCCAATTGTCATGCAATTTGACCAGCTAATCACAAGCAAGCACACAGCTTTGTCTTCGTAGACGTCCGACATCTAGCTATAAATAGCACGTTCGACCACTACTAATACTAGTTAAGACTGATAAAAACGTTATTCGTTGCAATATTATGGCATCAAAATGGAAAGGAGCGTATGATAGCGGAAGAAAATATAACAAGTCTTGGGAAAGTAAATTTAGCTGGCTCACAAAAGCTTCAGACGGAAGTGAAGATGCTTTTTGTAAATTGTGCCGTGCCACAATCAGACCCAAACAAGCAAACTTAACCAAACACGAAAAAACTGATAAACACATCAAACACATTAAAGTATCTACTACTACAAGGCCCATCCAAGTCGTACGTGTCCCAAAAGTTGCAGAAGAAGTAAAGGTCGCCGAGATCGAGCTAGCTGTTACAATGGCTTGCCATTCGGCAATCTTGACCATGGATCATCTCGGAGGGATAATAGCCCGAAATGCTCATGGAAGCAAACTTGAGAACATTAAAATGCATAGAAACAAATGCTCAAAACTATTGACCAAAGTTATAAGTCCAGCGTTGAAGGAACAACTGATTGCTGATGTCCAGGGTAAGAAGTTTTCGTTAATTGTGGATGAATCTCCTGATATTTCCACATCGAAGCAGGTCTGCATTATCGTAAGGTATTTCAGCGAAGTTGAAAATAAGATCGTTACAGCGTTTGTTGACCTGATTCCTGTTGTCCACACTTCAGCAGATGATCTTTTTAATGCAATCAAAGATTGCCTTGCCACAATTAAACTTGATTTAGTGAATTGTGTTGGCTATGCTAGTGACGGTGCTTCAGTGATGGTTGGGGAACACAATTCGCTGTGGACAAGAATAGCTGCTGTCGCTCCTCATTGCATCAAGATGACGTGTATTTGCCATTCGTTGTCCCTTTGTGTTCAGCATGCATTTGAGAAACTTCCGTCGAGTGTAGGATTTCTTCTGACAGAAATTCCAAAATGGTTTTCAAAGAGCGCTATTAGAAGAGAAGCATACAAGACGCTCTACGAAGTGATGAATCCAGATGATGTGCAAGATGCACCGTTTGAGAAGTACTCAACTACGAGGTGGCTTGTGAGAGGAAAAGTTATATTTCGCATTCTCACAAATTAGTTTGAGCTGCAAGCTTACTTCCGAACAGCACAACCAGAGACGACGCAGGCAGCAAGATTAAGGCTCGTATTGTTCTGGACATGCTCAATGATCCAGTCCTATATCTTTATTTCCATTTCGTTTCTCCTCTGGTCACAGAATTCGACAGGGTGAATGCCTTCTTCCAGGCAACTGATGGTGATCCAGAAGAAATGTTCACGGAACTAAATGTACACCATAAAAGTTTATATGGTAGAGTTTTCAACCACCAAGGAAAATATCTAGCCATTTATGAAGTTGACTTTGGTGGAAAGTTCTTGTCAGAAGCAAAGAAATACATTTCTTCCGAACAAGACAAACGACGTGCTGAAGCTGAAGTTTCTGAAGTGAAAAATAGGTGTCTAGAATTTCTTGTGGAAGCTGTAAATCAAGTAGAGAAACGTTTACCAGCTGTCCGGAATATCTTTAAAGGTTTAAGCGCCCTGCATCCAAGCAAAGTTCTTGATGTAACAACGAGAGCCGATTTTGAGCAACTGCCGCTTCCTAATCTACGAAAGGATCAAGATTATGCAATTGAGGAGCAGTACAGGAAGATCGTCCACCGAAATTGGAAAGAGGAACAAATTTTAACGGCATCATACCTGATACAGCAGTTGCATTTTGGTCAAAGATAGTTCAGTTCCAAACTTCTCTTGGGGTCAAACCATTCAAGGAATTGGCAACTTACGCCTTAAGCTGCCTGACAAATCCTGTAAGCAATGCAGTGGTTGAAAGAACCTTTTCCTTGGTGACATCAGTGAAGACCAAACAACGCAATAGGATGAGCTTAGAACTGCTAAATGCCATTATTCGTATTCGTTCCAGCCTACACTTTGCCGGGAACTGCTGCATTAACTTTAAGGTAACTAAGCGAATGCTTGAGCTGTTTGCCACTAAACACATGTATGAATGTGAATAGAATAAACATTATAAGAACTATGCATAAATATTTATATAAATCTGTATATATGGAGCAGTAAAATGACAACTATGCACGTCGAGATCTTATAGAAAGACAGATAAAATAGTTTATTCACTTTGTATTTTGACATGGCCTTTTAAGCTTGTAATGCTTATCAAGAAATTTTGGACGTGTAGTTCATTTTTCTCTTCATTTCGTCAACAAGCACCTTATATTTTTGCAACAGCGAATAAATTTTCAGTCTTACGTTCTGTATTCACCTCTACCCATATGTCCTTTGATGTGAACATTAGGCGTTGGCATCGCTAGATTTGCAATGTATGGTATATATTTATGATAAATCCATATAGACTATAAGAAGCAATTAGAAAAACTTATTAAAACCGCATGCTATAAACAGTGCGGGCTCAGAAAACAAGTTTGGCCTCTTTTGTTGCCGTTTGGCCACTTTTCAAACCATATTTGGCTACAAACGAGCGCTGGAGCCTAACAATCCTGTCTACGAAGGCTTTTAACAATATTTCTCAATCATCAATGTAAATCTAATGTCAATATATTGTCAGTGTTAAGGTATTTAAAGCATTTAGAAACTATAAACGTTCCAATCTGATATGTTTCTTGCATTTTGCTCGAATTGATTGTAAGTTATAATGTTGTGAAACATTAACTATTCAATTTTATGACTGATGCACTCGCATCAGTTGCACCAGCCTGGATCCGCCTCTGTTTGCAAGGCTATCTTTTTGTGTAGGGTGATTCTACCATTGATAGGTCTGTGTATTACTGTTAATGACAGCAACATCAGCATGTTGTAGACATGATTGCAGATGAAACATTTTGGCTTCCTTGAGGCCTATTTATAAAGATGCATAATTCAGTGTAAGACCTCTGAAAATCGTTTCAAATTCATTTTCATTATATTATATTCACATTGAGTGTTTTTTTTTCAATGACGACTTAACATTCATAGAATAAAAACCTTCTTTGCCATCTCGAAAACTTCCTTGTAGATGGTGGATGGGCTCTAGTTTTATTGTTTGTCTCTATAGAGTCATGTAGCACATTTTGTGTATAATTTTATGCTTTGGAAGCAATTTATTTTCCCTGATATGCAAATATGTTGAGTAGATATGATGTGAACATAGCCCTACTGAAAGGGATTACCTTATCTCAAACGTTTTCATGGTTTATGAAATAAAAATATCATAATCCAACTATTGTGGTAACCTTATCAATTTGATATGGAAACCCTAACCCTCAGGGTTACCCTAGCACACATGTAAATGCTACATATAAAGCAATTTCACGTTGGGTAACTTGCTTGCTAATGTAACCCTTCTGGTAGGGTTACCCTACCTACATGGGCCCAGTGTGCGTATTAGTTCAGAAAAAACGATGTGCGATTTTTTTTTGACTAAAGTGTTTCTTTAGAGGCATAATCAAATCGATATTACATTTATTATTATATAGTGCTAATTGCTAAATTAATATTTTTAAACGTGAACAAATTCATATGATTCACGACAGTGTTTTTCGTGTATCGTTTGAATAGAAGTTTTTTGCATGTCGTTTGAAAAAGTGATGTGCAATTGTTTGCATTGTAGTTAAAACGATGTGCAAATTGCACCGCTAATTCGCACACTGCATGGGCCTAACAATCACTATATTTTATCATGAATCATACTGTAAACATTTGCCCATAAGCCTTGAACTTATATAATTTGTATGCCTTCTTTCTTGGGCTTATATAGGTGGGTCTTGTTTATGTGGAGTGAATGCTTAAATTATATTGTATGGTAGTCATCAGCACAGTATACACAACACAGTCTTTATTAACAATAGTATGAAAATTCAACTGAAAAAACATTAAAACATAGTAAAAGTATGCGTAAACAGTTTACAACTACATTAATTCTTATCCTGTAATAAATTTATGCTTGTGGGCTTTTCTGTGGACCGAGTTGAAAACTAAACTAAGCTCCAATTGCAGTAGTTACAAACAGTTAGTAAAAGATAAAAATTCATTCAAAACTAAAGCATTTTGGTTGAAAAGAGAAGAATTTCTGTTCACTATTATTTAAGAATTACACAAAATTACTTTCCTCTACAGCTAACTGTCTTTTCCTAAAGTTCATTTTGCTAAAGCAATGTCAATCCTTATATATAAACAATGTTTCTTTTGTAGTTTGTGTATCGTCTTTATTAGCATAGTTAAATGATTTAAATTTCAAGTTTATTCTGTTAAGAACATTAGGAAAGTTAGCCTGCAAATTTGGTTGTGCTATGTAAATTTCAGATCATTGTCATTGTTCATTTTTTTGAAATCTATTGTTTTTACAGCTAGTGAACTCATGAATAATTTGCATGGCAGAACTAAAGATATGTCACTGGTCACATATGATAATTGTAATGTGAGATGTAAATGTATCCAATGATTCACAATCTTTAGGGATTAGTATTTATGTTCATCTTATGCTTTCCCAATCAAGTCAAGAAAGAAAAATGTTTACCATGTTTCCACAAACTGAGGAGACCTTTTAGAGAACTTGAGAGTTGATCAGTGTAAAGCAAGTTTTGCACCTGCTTGAGCGTTCTCACAAAGATCTCCGAGGCTTGCATAAGATTTTCAAGGTTTGTGTTTTAATTTTCCACAAAGTGCATTAATGAATGTTTTGCAAAATCTCTTTGATTGATTGAGGTTGAGCTACAATCAATTTACACAGGCTAATGCAAACTCAGCCTTTGACCAATCAGCGCACATGTTTTACTGTTTTTATTTTATAAAGCAAATTAAAACACAAAAAATTTATTGCAATGATAAAGATATTTCTGTGGTAGAATTAATGGAACATATTGCTACGCAAAATATTGCCTATTTACGAGTAGAAATTACTATTTATTTTGATGCACCATGTTTAGTTCTGTGCACCGGAGATGGGCTGCAGCGTCGGCTATTTTTACCGGTTCAGAATTGACTAGCCGAAGCTGAAAAACCAGAATTTTCACAGCACTAACCATGTTAACTCATGATTTTATTTTCAAAGATTATAAGCATTAAAATTCATGGTTTAATTTTTTAGTGAAAATGGTAAAGACAAATTTAGTATTTTCGACTGTTACATTGATCACATTTCTTGGTCTTGCCAAAGGTATTTAAATTCAAATAACCATTACTTTTTTACTTGATTTTTGATGTATTTTTAGTTGTTGTAGTAGTAATATTTAATTAGTTTACTTTTTTATTCACAATTTTTGAATAGAACCTTAATTAAGAAAATCAATTACTTTTGTTATGTTAGTAGAAGATGTGTTTTTTCCTTAAACTATCTTTTTATCAGTCATAGATATCAGCTAAATTTTAATTTCAGGAACAATAACATCTCCACCTGATGGTCAAAGATTAGTATTTTTACCTGGATCTTCTCACAATATAACTTGGACATTAAATGTTACTGGAAACATTCGTTTATGGCAGTGGAGTTTAACACCTCGTGGTTCATCTCCCCCTCAACAAATTGCATATATATATTCTGATAGTGACATACCCGAATATTCAGCATCACCTTTGACATTTGAAGTTTTTAAACCTGGAACTTTGTGGCTGAAGAATGTAAATCAAAGTTACAATGGTGAATTTACATTTAGAATTACAACTAATCGTACTACTCCATCAAAAGTAAATGTTTATATTGCTGGTAAGTTTTAATTATTTCAATCTTTCTTGTATTGTATGCATTGTTCTGAGTATTTAATGGGGGAAACTTGGCCTAAAAAATTTTGCCGAAGAAACGTTTATAACTGTTATTGTGTCGTTCCAAACTTTCTTTTTCGGAGTTGGACCTTTAGGACATTTGACAATGCTTCTGCAGCTCATACAATTGTAACAATAAGTGGCAATAATGGAGACCTAAAATATGAACATCAGTCCTTAAGTCATTTGGTTTAAATGTTGAAGTTTTTAAACCTGCAACTCTGATGTTAAAGAATGTTACTCAAAGTTACATTGGTGTTTATAAATTTACCTAACTCCCGATCCTATTGACTCATTTGTAAACGTGTGTATTGCAAGTAAGTTGTATTTATTTTAAACTTAGCAGCGGGGTTATCCAAGCCTTTCATGTAATCTAAGTAGCTGTAGCATTGGGCGTAATTATACGATATATGACCGCGGTCTGGAATCCTATAGCTAAATACTTGAGCCGTTGAGCGAAGACAAATGCGAAGACTTTTTTTGTTTTGTTTTAATTTAAAAAGGAAATTATAGGGTATCTTTTGATTTGAATATTATATGTTAAAGTGTTTGTATCACAGATTTTACTACATTTCAGTATAGGACAAAAATTAGTTATTGATACGACTTTCGACCTTTTGATACCACTTTCGACTTTTGTGGTATAAAATTTGATATCAATTGATCAACTGGTAATATCACTATTATGTCTCGCCGAACAAAGAACAGTCTATCCACGCTTACAGATGTTGATGTTAAAAGCTTGATTCTGAATCTGCCCAAAACAGATGAAACCAAAGAAAAAGATATTCCACCAGAAAGATCTGCCAAAGATAACGGAAACAAGACGAAAGAAAATGAATCGTGCACCGAACCTAATGATAAAGAACCAAAATTTCGCGTGCGCGTTGTAAATTTCGAGACATTTGTTTTAACGTTACCCAGCACAGACAAAATTGTTTCAGAAAAGTTAGACATAGACGATAATGCAAGTAAACTCGACCAAATCCTCACTCGTCTACGTATTTTAGAAGAAAAATCGAAAAACGATGATATCGAAAAAGCCGTCCTTCAAGTCGACAACGCGAAAATGGCAGCCGAGATTGACCATTTGAAATTTTCTATTAGCATGCTAAGAGAAGACTACTATCGAATCTTGTCTCTCCTTGATAACAATCAAAATGCCTGGATAGATGTCAATCGTAAGAATCAACACAAGACCAATCAACAAAAACCAACAATTAATCCTCTTCCTTTAGTAAATAGATTTGGAAATCTCCACGATAAATCCCACAAAGAAAGTCACGTAGCTCCGACAGTTAGCACACAGTCAATGGAAGTATGCCTCACTAAGTCAACTCAGTCCCAATTGAATGCTTACCGCTGTAAGTAGAAAGAAAAGTTTTTAAAATTATGAATTGGCAATCCTGATGAAGACAAAGGGCAAACTGACAAAAAAATTCAATCTCAACGGAATGCCTACCGCAATAAGCAGAAGAAAAGTTCATAAAATCAAAAATTGACACTCCTAATGACGACCAAGATATAACTGACCAAAAAACCCATAATTATTCAACTGCATCAACTCTTATCATTGGTGACTCAATGTTGAAACATATAGATCCAAAAAAGATCTCCTGGGCAGCGAGATGGAAATCTTCCTGCCACTCCTTCAGTGGTGCAAAAGTAAAGGACATCCAGCAAAAAGTCCTGGAGATCCCCCAGAATAAATATGGTACTATTATTATTCATGCTGGTACTAATGATTTTGTCAATAGTAGTGCTGATGAAGTTGCCACAGGTTTAGAAACCTTGATTGTAAGTTCGAAGAAGTTAGCAGGTAAAGTGGGAATTTCAAGTGTTGTAAAAAGATTTGATGGAAGGTTTCCTTAAATAAAATGGCTTTTTATAATTCTCTCATCTACAAATTATGCTCTAAACATAATGTTTCTTTTATAAATAACGAAGATATTGGCAAAAATCACTTAAATGGCTCCAATCTCCACTTGAACAAATTGGGAGACCAATTTTTTGGTAGTGCTATTTATCGCCACCTTACTCTCCTAATGATTTCTTTTTGCATTTTGAAAAATTAATCAAACAATTTGACGATCAAAATAAAGAATTATATATTCTTCGTGATCTTAACTGCGACATGCTTAAACATGAACCTGTTACACCAACAAAGAAAATTATATCTCTATATGAATTGTATCAACTCTCTCAACTCATTAATTGTCCACGCGAGTAACACAGTCAACCTCCACTCTAATTAACCATATAATAACTAATAGCCCAGACAATATTTCCCATTCTGGCGTCATACATAATGGAATTTCTGATCATAACTTGATATTTGCGGTTAGGAAAATTAACTTCTCAAAAAAAAAACAAAATGAGAATACATTTGAAATTAGAAACATGAAAAATTTCAATAGTGAAAAATTTATTGAAGATTTAACTTATCAGCATTTGGAGCACATATTTTATTTTGCTGATAATCCCAACGACATGTGGAATTTATGGAAAACGCTATTTAATGAAGTACTTAATAAACATGCTCCTATACAACATAAGAAAATCAAATCCAAAAATGTACCTTGGGTTACAAGGTACATTAAACAACTTATTATTGACAGAAACGCATTCAAGAGAAAAGCCATCATAAACAAGAATGAAACTGATTGGAATATGTTTAAGCAACTAAGGGATAAAGTTAACAACATAGAAGTGAGAAAAGCTAAACAAAATTATTATGCAAGGACAATTGCTGGTCTAAAGAACAAACCAAAAGAGACTTGGAAAACAATCAACCATCTATTGGGCAGTCAAAATAGACGGGGCAATGTCAATTAGTTAAGTATAGATGGCATCAATCTGACAAACTCCGAGGATATTGCTGAGGGTTTCAATATATATTTTTCAAAAATTGGGTCTGAATTGACTGAAAAACTTGACTCATTAAATTGTAACTTTCAAGAGTTTATAAAAAATCCCAAATCGGAATTTTCAAATTTTCAACCTGTAACCAAAAGTAAACTATCAAATGTTATGTAGTCTCTCCTATAAAAAATTTCACGAAATTTCACTTACTACGTGACTCCCAATTTGGCTTCCGAAAGCATCATTCAACAGCTACAGCCTTACTAGATTGTACCAATAGCTGGTATATAAATATTGACAAGAATTATTCAACCTTGTTGTGTTCATTGACTTAAAAAAGGCTTTCGACACTGTTGATCGTGAAATTTTACTAAATAAATTTAAACTGTATGGCATAAACGTAAATGCTTTATCTTTTTTGACATCTTACTTGACAAACCGCACTCAGATATGTCAAATTAATGGAGCTGTTTCATCTAAACAGTTGGTCAAGTGCGGTGTACATCTAGTTTCTTTATTTGTAAGCACTTTTGTAAAATTGAATTGCAAACTCAACGGCCATTTTTATAGTAAACAAAGAAAGCAGGATGACTAATTTTCTGTTCTTTAAAAGTTCAGAGTTTCCTCCACTTTATCATAAAGGGCATTACTTGTGCATGGTTTATAAAGTAATGTAGATATATATAAGCAGTTTGCCGAACGTATTTATTGGTGGGTTACAACCATCCCCCTGGGAGTAAGAGAAGAATGGAATGCTCGCCATGTTGGATGAAATTTACATTGTAAATAAGGAAAGTCCTTTGTTAAAATTATCCAGCATGGCGACTGTGAGGTAGCTTTCAATCCAAGAATTTACAAAATCACAGAGGCAGACTGGCCTATTAAGACACCCGGAAGTTTCCCGGTGATCCACGCATTCATATGCTCTTTTGCGTTGGCCCTTTTTCCGGAAAATAGTAAATAAAACACTGGCAAGCCTATTAAAGTACAACAGGGTAAAGATAGTATTGCTACAATGACAAAATGCAAAAGCATCTACGTGTATTAGTAAACTTCCCAATTTCTATTGACATTCAGCTTTTGAGTAGTCTACGCTTTTTAAAATTTCTTACAACTTGTTAGCCTAAAAGCTTTTTTGTTACTTCTAGCATAGTATTTTACGTAAAAACATTTTGTTCAATGGTGCAAGCAAGTGATATGGACTAGCCTAGTGCTGGGAACATCATGCAGTTCTCAAAGAACAAAATCCTCAAAATCTTATTTTTCGTTTTATTAGTTATGTAGTTCATTTGAGTTCTCGCCTTAACTTGGTATAGCCAAGTAGCTGTCAATAACTTATACTCGATATAGCAGCACATGCACTTCAGCCTCTCCCCCTACAAATGGCTACTTGCTACAAACAAGTACCCCTTTCTGAGTTTTCCTGGTAAGTCATGAACAGGTCAGTCTACCCCTGCAACACCACAGTATTTGGGTTAGAATTGTAGATAAAAATAGACCAGGGGGTGCAGCGTATATCGTTTGTAGGAACTAAAAAATATTCAAACGATGTGCAACCGTAAATGGTTAACGACATAGCGTGTGCCGGTGTTTTTTCCATAATTCCATATGCCTTCAGTCCCTGCTTCATGCTAGTGTTTTAAAATTTAGCGGTTGTTTGGGCTGTCATGTGGCCCATGTTATTGGTGGATTATAAAAGTATGAATTAATTGTGTATTAGCAACTCAGATAAGGAGAGCAGTCAAATGAAATTTTGCGATAATAGGGAGCTTTAGCAAAGACTACGAGTACGACTACGAGTACCATTTACGTCATTTTGGCGCGTAAACATTGTTGCGACAACAAAAACACGTAGCCGTCATCAATCTGAGTACGATGTTTTGTAAAAAATTCGTAGTCGCGACTACGATGTCTTTTTAAGCAAAGAAAGTAGGTATATTTCTTCATTCTGTAAGAAATTAGTTTACAGTACTATTTTCAAATCAAGTTTGACATACACAGCACATACAAGAATAAATTTTATTCTTTACAGATCCAACATTCCTCTTCCGAGTTTTACCCTGTCTCACTGACACTTACAAATAAATACCCTATTGTTTCTATCATGACTATTATTATGATTCTGTCTTTAATTTCAGTTAAACCAACAGTATCGATTGACTGTTCATCTCCTCTGTTTGTGAGTGAAAGTGATGGTGTGTCATGTGTATGTAAAGGTGAAAGAGGTAACCCTCCTGCTAATGTCACATGGTTTGATAAAGATAACAACATAATTGGTGATGTTGGAGTTGTAAGTGCGACTTTAGTAATCCCTGATGTTAAAGTGAATGATAATGGAAGTTACAGATGTAAAGCACAAAGTTATGATGATCCAGGTTTCAGAGATGAAAAATCCATTGAAATACAAGTAAAACGTAAGTTTTGCAGATATATATTTTATCATCTTGTTACTACAGATGTTTGAAAACTTCGTCTTCAACTTTGTTATTATTGACGTGTGGTAAAATATCATGACTTTGTGTTATACACTTATTGTATGCTCGTAAGGGAAATAGTGAGTTTAGTTTTCCAAGAGTCTCAATACATTGCATGCCATTCGAGGGAAAACAAAGCTCAGTATTTCTCACGCAAGTATACATTAAGTGTTTTGTTATATATAGGAATAAAATTCATAGATTTTCACAGCTTTTCAATGAAATCAACGTCTCTTTCGGTCGGCGATTTGTCTGTCGAGATTTTGTTGTAAAATGCTATAAGGTCGAAATGCTTTTTTATGATATTAAAATCAGCACGCAACAATTTTTCACTTGTTTCCCTGACGAGAAACATTGCGTTTATTTTATATCATGTGACTACGAATAAACCAATCAAATTTGACATACACAGCACATACAACAATAAATTTTATTCTTTACAGATCCAACATTCCTCTTCCGAGTTTTACCCCTGTCTCACTGACACTTACAAATAAATACCCTATTGTTTTTATCATGACTATTATTATGATTCTGTCTTTAATTTCAGTGAAACCAAATGTGACAATTAACAATTGTTCAACTCATGTGGTTGTGAATGAAAGTGACAGTGTGTCGTGTGTATGTAGAGGTGAAGGAGGTAACCCTCCTGCTAAAGTCACATGGTTTGATAAAGATAACAACATAATTGGTGATGTTGGAGTTGAAAGTGCGACTTTAGTAATCACTGGTGCCTCACCAAATGATCGTGGAAATTACACATGTAAAGCTGAAAGTTTTAATGATCCACTTTTCATTGACGAAAAATCCATTGAAATAATAGTGAATTGTAAGTTGCCAACTTATATATTTAGTACTTTTGCAATAAGGTTTTCAAATTGTGAAATACGTATAATTTTGAATTTTAAATTTTAGATAAACCAAGAAGAACGAACATATCCCTATCAAAAGAAGAACTACAAATTGGTGAAAGTGTGACTAAAACCTGCGTATCAGATGGTTTTCCTCCGCCAACCTTCATTATTCATCATAATGATACTGGTAATATGCGTGTTCTTGGCAAAAAAAATACATACATCATTATGAAACTCAACTCCAGTCACCTAGGTTCATATCGTTGTGAAGCAAGGAATGAACTGGGAAATCATTGGTCTGATTTTCTAAGTCTCCCTGTTAATAACGAAGGTAAAAATCCCACTGACAACGGATCTAATAAGCCCACTAGCAACGAAGGTAAAATTAAGAACCTCAGTTTATCACTTGTTGGACTTTTATTTTGCATTATGTACGAACTTTCTTGGTAGCAAAAGGTGAAAGACCGATGTTTATCTTATTGTAATTAGCATTAGACTTCTTGAATGTACTTGAATACCCTTATAACAATAAAATTTCAGTAAACAACGAAGATTGCTCTGATTACATAACTTTTTACTGGCTCGTGTGGTTAAGACTGGCAATGTCTGCATGCTGCATTAACCATAACATTTTTTTCTAAGTATATATATTCTTCAATGACTATCAGTAAAAATATGTTTAACTTATCTGTATTCCCCTGTATAATCATTAAAGTGCTTATAAACGTAAATTGCCTAGAGTTCATTAATTTTAAATAGATTACTTGGCGTGAATTGCTTAAATGACTGGAATTTCAAACTAGCAAATTTTCACGATTTGGTGACACGCATTTCAATATTGAAGGAATTTCAATATTGGAATCATTCTCATTTGAACAATTTTTGTTATTGTGCTAGCTCCTATATCAAGCTCATTCATTCTATCGCCAACGATAATTACGTCATCGATGACGTTTACCTTTACGTCATCAATTAGTTCCACTCCCACTAATAACGGTAACTTTTTTAACGTTTTTTTCTTTAATTCTTTAATATGGAACATCATTTTTGGAGAGTGTGTCTCACCATTTGTTTTTTAAACTTTTTTATTAATTTATCAATTTACGTATGACCTGACACTAACTTTAGTGTGTATTGTGAATTTTATTTTTTTTTGCATATCGCATTGTTTCATTTTGGCTATTTCAAACTATTTGCTAGACCTATTTAAAAAGCTATTGATTAATGTTTGAATTTGGTAGGGTCGTCAAGAAGACTGTTTGATAAAATTTATCAAAGTTCACAACTTTTTATTTAAGTTAGCAAAAATACTTCTACAAGCAAAGATAATGGCAACAATAATTCTACAGTTAAAGATGATGATGATGATGGACCAAATATTGCCCTGATTGTTGGCATTGCTGTTGGAGCGGTTTTCCTTGTCGCCATTATAGTTGTTGTCATTTTCTACTGTCGTATTACTAATTATTAAGTATCTACTTTTGTGTTGTGTTTGTTGTAGAAAAAGGATACCAGTAAGTGAATTATTCATTTTAATTTTCTTTGTGTAATATGTGATGTTAATGTGTTTTTTGTTTCTCATCTTTTGAATAAAATAGTTTCATGGTTTGAGCAGGTTAGAGAAGCTGTTGTTTTTCGTACAGAACGAACTGTTGTATTAATGTTGTATCTATATTTTCTTCGTTTTGTCCATATCATGTACAAAATTTAATCATGGTTGTTAATGTTGCAGTGGTGAAAATGGTGTTGAACCATTAGCAGTAGCTAATAATGCACAACCCAATCATTATGAAGCGGCTGGAGAAGTTAGAGAAAATGCCTATGAATCTGTTGGTAATCAATATGAATCAGTAAATAATCCATCAACAAGTGATGAAAATAAACCATCAACAAGTGATGAAAATAAACCATCAACAAGCAAAGCACCACCACCTGTATATGCCTCGATCGATAGAGAAAATAGGGAAGGAAATCTGGTTTGTTGTGGATATTTGTCATTTATTATTTATAAATAAAATTTGTGCATTTATTTTGTTTTAGTTAGATTGATGATTAATTTGAATGCATCATGGGATTATGCGGGGGTGGGGTGGGGGTGGGGGGGTTAAAAAGACTTCTCGTATGTGAAAACACCCGATATTTAGAATTATTATCATTTAGCAGTAATTGATTCTCAAAGACCTGTAAACACACTTGAAAACAATACATACGAACTGCTTCATTGAAACTTGATTTTATATTAGACGAGTGTCTCTAATAAGCGCTCAGTCTGCAATAGACAAACGCTGCACATTGTCATAATTTAAATTTTGTTATCGATTACGCTAAGAAACCGTATATTTAATCTTGACTTTGTTTCTGTTTTGCTCACAATGTGGTGATAGAAAATGATGTAAACGTCACTCTCTATTTCACTATTCGTGTCAACGATAGGATAGATGGGGTAAACAGGGGCGGATCAAGCTTTCCCAGGGCCATTGGTGATTCCAAAGTCCCCCATCTGGAATTCTTTGTAGACAAAGTATAAGAAATTTTTAATTGTGCATTAAAATTGTGAAAATTACTGAGAATATTTCATCAAAAGCGATTTATACAGATGTTATTTTTCACAATGATTTTCTTACAAAATCCACTTGTGGATGCTCATCGGCTCATCGCCTTCAAGAGCATTGTAATCAACTAGGAAATGGATATTGGCACAACGTGTCGAAGTATGCTTTCACAATTTATACATTCATCTAAAAGCACCATTAAGTCATATGTAAGGATAAAATTACAGAATAAAGATTGTGTGGCTGGTATTCTGTTTTTAAAACAACTCTGGGCAATTTGCGTGGCTTGTCATGAGACAGGTTTTGATAAAATATGATCGCTCTGTTACATATGACAGCGTTGTCAAGGCGTTTACATTCTTTTCATTACTTATGTAAATATTTGCACAACATGAGACCCGGAAATAATGTGAAATAAGGAAAATTAGCTGGTTTATTTAAGAAATACGATAAGATTTTTCACCAGCTTAGTTACTTCAGTATTCTTTAAGGTAAAGTGAATCATTTAAAATGTTATCAAATATTGACTGTTCAGTTCATTTGTAAATAATTTCATTGACATTTCACGGAATTTCCTGTGGAATTAAGAAGTTGTCTGAGTTGTATCATAGTGGAAAGTACGTTAGTACTTTCGCAAAGTACAAAACGATGTATAAACACAACGTTTTCCAACGAAACTTTTGTAAGTTTTTACTGATGCTGTTGTTCCTTCAGTATTAATGGTTATGGGAAATCAAAAATATACATAAAATATGAAGGAATACATCATAATACTGTATAGTAGTTCTGTGATTTTATTTAAGTCATATCTTCATCTTAGCTCTTATAGACAGAATACAAGATGGAAAAGTTTGGCTTCTTTTCATTTGTTTTGTTCTGTTGGATTTCATCTTGTCAAGGTATTTATTATTTTATTAGACCATTAAGGAAGTAAATCGTTATTTTTGTCAAATAAAACTGTGGAATTTACTTAGAAATTTAAGCTAAATTGACTAAAATACTTGCTGGTTTTAAGTCCTCATGTGTACACAATAACACTCATCGTAGCCAGTTCTGCATTTAAAAATAATCCAAAAGCAATATCTTGCAGTATTTCATCTTTTAAGTACATGTACATAATGGCTATTTAGCAAAGAAGTAAGAATATCTCATTTACAATAGAGTAATTGACATTTTTGCGGTAAATAGTAATAGCCCCTATGCTTGTACAATAATACCAAATGTGTTTCACCATTATAAAATATGTTGCTCTTTGTGGCTATAGTGCAATTATGAATCTAAATTATAAACTATTAAATATTTATATTCCAGCTATTATTATTTATCAATTGATGCTCATACCAATGTATGAACAATGTTTAAATGCCCATGACTCATACATCAATGCACTAAATCTTCTGTTGATTAGAAATTGACTTCAATCATATAGTTTGATATCATTTTTCCATAAAGTTTTCAAAGTTCATCACTTCTAGCAATTTTAGCTTCTTCTGTAGTATTGCTTTTTTTGCTTAGAAAGATCACATTTGGCCTTGATGTACTAAAACTATTTTGCAATCATTCAGTTCAATTTTAAAAGGAAAAAAAATTGTTTGTCAATTTAAAAAACCTGTTTATCAGTTTCACAAGTTTTTTTTTAATCCTGGGACTGTACGGTTTTCATAATTTTTCTCAAGTACATCATTATAGCTGAAAACTGGTTGCTGCCTTTTGATATCTGGTTATAGTAATGTTCATTTTTTATCAGTTTTGATCAATAAGGCTCTTACAGATACACATAGAGGTACTTGTTACAGTGTCCTCTGCTACTGACTCCTTAACATTGAGCTTAACAGTTAAACCTTTCTTTCCTTTTTTCCTCTATGTCTTTATCCATGGCCACCATACCTCCCTGATATCTCCTGGTCTATGCTTTTCACTCTTGACTTTCATGAATGGATTTCATGAAAAAGATCCAGGATGTCACTTTTTCCTTGTATTGAACAAGTACGCATATGTCACACACAGACGTCACATTCATCTTGTTCATTTAAATCTTCTTCCAGCATTAATAAAGCTTGATATTCTCTTTATATCCTATTGAAAAACAAGGTCTTGCAGAGATGCGCGGTGCAGAGTTAATTACACCATCACATATTCCATGTTTTACCTAGAGTTTAGTCTGTGTGTCATATTCACAATCATATTTGTATGCATGGCAAAAGACAATGGCTAAACTCGGCTGACGATATTTATGGCGTAGCTTTGCCACATTTGAAAAATATAAGTAATGGATTTTATTGTGTATAGAACTTGAAATGACGACCTTAAAGGAGTTGGTAGATTTTCTTTTCTGCATAAGGCAACGACAATCCTTCCTTGTTAAGCTGAGTATATATCTTTACTGACAATGTAAACGTCTACAAAGCTATTGTTCTTTCGTCTCTGTCTGTCATTTCATAAGGTAGCACTGTTTGTACTCTATAAAGTAAAGTCTTACATGATACCGCGTTGACTTCTCCTTTTTGTCCTAATGAACTAGTACTTCCAGCTATTGTATGAAAGTCTTAACTTAAAAATATCGTAAAAAATGCTTTTTGAACTCCACAATACAGGCGTTGGTGCTTATTTTGCTGTCCTTACTTCGCATGCTTTCAGGCACAGGGCGCCGAAGGTTATTCTAGAGCGACCGTATGGAAAACAGCTCACCATGTTTTGCATGGGAACAAAACAATGTTAATAAGTTTGAGTCTGAATTTTAGGGTGATCCATTTTTGCTTTAGGTCGTACCTATGCTCTGTGACATAGGTCTCTCTATAATTGTGGTGCTTTTTTGTGGAACAACTTCAAAAACCTGAGTTCCTCTGCAATCATATTTTCATTTGAACAGCTAACAGTGCATTATGCATGTGGTAGTCGTAGTCGTTGTTATGATAGATAAAAGATATACTTAGGTTTGATATGTTTTTGATATCTGTCATTTGGTACTGTTTTTATTTAAAAATTGGTCTTTAATGGCTCAAAAGGATATAAGTTTTATTACATTTTATAGTTTTATCTTTTATTTTTTGTCATAGGAAAAATTCTATCACCTCCTCCTGGCACAAGTTTTACATTTTTACCTGGAGAAACACACAATATTATCTGGACATTTGATGATGATTTAAATGCTTTGGACAGTAGAGATTGGTTTTTTACGGGTAGTAATGTTTCAATAGGAATACGATTGGCCACTGTCGCTCGGGATTTTTCATTGATAAAACTTAATGCACCAATTCTTCCAAATTATGACGTCTACAAACCTTCAAGGCTGGAATTAAGAAATATCACTCATAGTTATGATGGAACATATAATTTTCGATTAGTAAGAAGGGACAGTCTGTTATCTCCTTTCATATCTGAAGTCAGAGTTTTCGTTGCAAGTAAGTCATTCCTATTTTTTATTATTTTATATTCTTATCAGTTTTAGAAATTTATATTTTTCATTTGAAAATTAATGAAAGCAATACATCTATCTAGTTAGAAACGTAGAAAAATAATTAGACCAGTGGTTGCAACGTTAGGAAACTAAGAAGTTCAAACCATGTGCATGGGTCGTATGGTTCATGTTATTGGTTGAATACGAAATCATGGGTTAAAGTGTATATTAGCTACCAGAGGCGGTTCTAGAATTTTTCAAACGTCAGCCATAAAACATCGAACGCCGGACATTCTCTCTTGGCAAATTTTGAAACATAAGGTGCTAGAAATGCGATTTCAAGCATATTGGAATACCTTAACTGTCAATTTTTGCAGGGTTACAAAGTGAGCGAAATCGCCGTTGTTAAAAATCAATGATAATAATCAATGCTCTTCCTCATGTTGACTACATCATTCTTCAAAGTGATTATCAAATGAAAACCATCCATAACATCAATAGTTTTTCCATGCAACAATTGCGTACTGGAGGAGTAGCATCCAGAATCTTTCTGGTAAAAACTAGCGCAACAATAAAATGAAATTAAGTGACTAATGATAGTAAGTGAGAAGCATCAGCAGCAAGGGAAGGCTTTACCTCGTCGCTTACATTGTTTATCATATGAATGGATGTAACAAACATTTTAACATTTCATGGTTAAAAATATTTTTGTTCTATACTGTATAGTTATTAGATAGTGGTTATGTAAAACGATGTCTTCAATTTGTCTTCTCTTTTTTAGTGAAACCAAATGTTGCAATTAGTTGTTCAAATCCTCTGCTTGTGAATAAAGGTGGTAATGTGTCATGTGTATGTAGAGGTGAAGGAGGTAACCCTCCTGCTAATGTCACATGGTTTGATAAAGATAACAACATACTTGGTGATGTTGGAGTTGTAAGTAAGACATTAGTAATCATTAATGTTACATTAAATGATGGTGGAAATTACACATGTAAAGCACAAAGTTATAATGATCCACGTTTTAGAGATGAAAAATCAATTGAAGTAACAGTGAAAGCTACTTGTAAGTTTGTAAGACAGTATTTCAGATCTCATTAGAAACGTTTGTGTAGGATATTGAATTTAATTTTATTCTAAACAGATCCACCACAACAAACCAATATTACCATCAGTCCAATGTCAGTAAAACAAGGTCAAAATGTGACAATAACCTGTAAATCAGATGGTTATCCTGAACCAACCTACACTATTTACCATAATGGTGCAGTTATCAGCAATAATAAGACATACATCATTCAATCTGTCAACTTCAATCACGCTGGTTCATATCGTTGTGAAGCAAAAAATAAACTGGGAAATGATTTATCTGATGTTAAAAATCTTACTATCATCAAAGGTAAAATTAAAATTTTACTTCATCAATTTTTGGCTAGTATTCTACATTGTACAAGAACAAATTACGACTGTTCAGTTTCATCCCATTTGTACACGATAGTACAAGATTGTGCTGAACAATGAAGATAGTTATATATTTTTCTTTGTTGGCGAGATTTAGATTCGTTGTGCTGAAAGACTACCACTGCCAATTATGATTGACTCTTAAGCCTACACCTCATATGTCCCTTTCGCTGCCTACTGGGCTGACGTATGCATCTGTCGTCACCAAGCTGTTAACTTTTCCTATTGCATATTCTCATTAAATAGGTTATCAAGAGCCTTAGACGACTATGATTTGTTTATATTTCTTCGAAGACCAATGATAGTTGTTTAGGCTTCATAATAAGTCAATATTCTTTAGGTCTAGTCGGTCACGCGATTGACTTTTAAAATTTCAAAAATTATTTTTAATATACATCTTGAAATTTGAGTGATTATTGTTATGTTGTTGTTCTTTTCCAACATCAAAGTCTTGTTTACCAATAAGAATTTCAATAAGCAAATTGGTTAATAGTGCAGCGGTTTACCGTCGATTTCAGTTAACTTTTCAAATGGCGGTTGCCAAATTACTTTCTAATGTTGCCAACTACATTTCCAAATATGGAATATTCGATATGAACTTGTCAACCTGAATTGACAAGTTGTGTACTTGAGTACTGAAGTTGTGTACTTGAGTACTGAAGCTGTGAACTAAAGTTGCGAAGTACTGACAAACGCCAAAGGTCTTTGTACCCTGTAGACATTTGGCAATGAATCCGTTTAGTAAGCAAGGAAAAGCTTTACCAAAGATATAAGAAATGAAATACTTGAAAGGTGGTTAAATAACCAGCGTTTGACAAACATTTTGAAACAACTAAATCTACCGTATAAGACTATATCAAATATAATAGACAATAAAGTCGTACACAAATAAGTGCACGTTAAATTACGTTAAATATTTGAAATGTGGTTAAATAACGAGCGTTTGACAAACATTTCAAATATAATAGATCTATGGGTAGACACTGGTTCTATTGCACCTCGCCAGGGCGAACGTGATGTTCGAACCACGCGTACAGATGACGTTATTGCATACGCTGAATATCAAAAAATTAATAAACCATCTATTTACGCAAAAGAGATTCAGCAACACCTAGAAAATAACAAAGTTTGCCTTCCAGCAAACATACCTAGCAGGTCATCCATTAGTAGAATTTCGAAAAAAGATCTTGGTTACTCTAAGAAGATAATAAGTCAAATTCCTCGAGAGACAGAACGGCCAGGCGTTATGGAGAAGTTAGAAGCTTACGTAGCAAATATTTCATGGATTGATTGCAACCGTATGCATTTCTTTGATGAGTCGTCTGTAGTTGTTACGAGTGGCTACAGACGTCGAGGGCACAGTATGCAGGGTACTCCTGCATTTAAAATCCAACGATCATCTTCTAGTGCCACATTTACTGTAAATTTATTACATAATGTAAACGGCGTATCGCATTATAACACTCTTAGAGGGCCGTCAAACGGATTAGAATTGCTAAAGCTTTTCCTTGCTTACTGAACGGATTCATTGCCAAATGTCTACAGGGTACAAAGACCTTTGGCGTTTGCTAGTACTTCGCAACTTTAGTTGACAACTTCAGTACTCAAGTACACAACTTCAGTACTCAAGTACACAACTTCAGTACTCAAGTACACAACTTGTCAACTCAAGTTGACAAGTTCATATCGAATATTCCATATTTGGAAATGTAGTTGGCAACATTAGAAAGTAACTTGGCAACCGCCATTTGAAAAGTTAACTGAAATCGACAATAATGCAAAAATCTCATTGGATAACAGTTTAGTGGAAAATTTCCACTATTCTGGACTTTTAGCGAGTGATAAGCGGGCTTCGTGCTGGCTTGTGTCTGGTTAGGGCATCGATCCAACACTCCTAAGAAAATGCACCTAACACTAACGAATACTCTCATTATTAATTTTCTTTTTCATAACTAATTTAAGAAAGGAATATTTTCTGTTTTTTATTTCAGTGAAACCAAATGTGGTAATTAATTGTTCAACACCTCTGGTTGTGAATGAAGGTGATAATGTATCATGTGTATGTAGAGGTGAAGGAGGTAACCCTCCTGCTAATGTCACATGGTTTGATAAAAATAACAACATAATTGGTGATGTTGGAGTTGTAAATAAGACATTAGTAATCACTAATGTTACATTGAATGATGGTGGAAATTACACATGTAAAGCACAAAGTTATAATGATCCACGTTTTAGAGATGAAAAATCTATTGAAGTAACAGTGAAAGCTACTTGTAAGTTTGTAAGACAGCATTTCAGATCTCATTATAAACGTTTACAGAATATTGAATTTTGTTAATTCTATACAGATCCACCACAACAAACCAATATCACCATCTGTCCGATATCAGTTAGAAAAGGTCAAACTGTGACAATAACCTGTGAATCAGATGGTTATCCTGAACCAACCTACACTATTTATCATAATGGTGCAGTTATCAGTAATAATAAGACATACATCATTCAATCTGTCAACTTCAATAACGCTGGTTCATATCGTTGTCAAGCAATAAATAAACTGGGAAATGATTCATCTGATGTTAAAAATCTTACTATCATCAGAGGTAAAATTAAAATTTTACTTCATCAATTTTTGGGCTAGTATTCTGCATTGTACAAGAACAAATTACGACTGTTCAGTTTCATTTGTAGACGATAGTACAAGATTGTGCTGAACAATGAAGATAGTTATGTATTTTTCTTTGTTGGCGAGGCTTAGATTCGTTGTGCTGAAAGACTACCACTGCCAATTATGATTGACTCTTAAGCCTACACCTCAAATGCCCCTTTCGCTGCCTACTGCGCTGACGTATACATCTGTCGTCACCTAGCTGTTAACTTTACCTATTGCATATTCTCATTAAATAGGTTATCAAAAGCCTTAGACGACTATGATTTGTTTATAGTTCTTCGAAGACCAATGATAGTTGTTTAGGCTTCATAATAAGTCAATATTGTTTATGTCTAGTCGGTCACGCGATTGACTTTCAAAATTTCAAAATTTATTATTAATATACAGCTTGAAAGTTGAGTGATTATTGTTATTTTGTTGTTCTTTTGCAACATCAAAGTCTTTTTTACAAATAAGATTTTCATTAAGACAATTGGTTAATAATGCAGCGGTTTAATGCAAGAATCACATTGGATAGCAGTTTAGTGAAAAATTTCCACTAATTTGGACTTTTAGCGAGTGATAAGCGGCTTACTGCTGGCTTGTGATTGGTTAGGGCATCGATCCAACACTCCTAAGAAAATGCACCTAACACTAACGAATACTCTCATTATTAATTTTCTTTTTCATAACTAATTTAAGAAAGGAATATTTTCTGTTTTTAATTTCAGTGAAACCTACAGTGGTAATTAATTGTTCAACACCTCTGGTTGTGGATGAAGGTGATAATGTATCATGTGTATGTAGAGGTGAAGGAGGTAACTCTCCTGCTAATGTCACATGGTTTGATAAAGATAACAACATAATTGGTGATGTTGGAGTTGTAAATAAGACATTAGTAATCACTAATGTTACATTGAATGATGGTGGAAATTACACATGTAAAGCACAAAGTTATAATGATCCACGTTTTACAGATGAAAAATCTATTGAAGTAACAGTGAAAGCTACTTGTAAGTTTGTAAGACAGCATTTCAGATCTCAATATAAACGTTTGTGTAGGATATTGAATTTAATTTTATTCGTTACAGATCGACCACAACAAACCAATATCACCATCAGTCCAATGTCAGTAAAACAAGGTCAAAATGTGACAATATCCTGTGAATCAGATGGTTATCCTGAACCAACCTACACTATTTATCATAATGGTGCAGTTATCAGTTATAAAAAGACATACATCATTCAATCTGTCAACTTTAATCACGCTGGTTCATATCGTTGTCAAGCAAAGAATAAAGTGGGAAATGATTTATCTGATGTTAAAAATCTTACTATCATCACAGGTAAAATTAAAATCTTACTTTTATCAATTTTTGAGATAGTATCCTACTTTGTACGTAAATCAGAATTACTTACTACTTGTCAATGTTCATCTTCAATTGACTTGCATTTGTACACGATGGTACAAGATTGTAAAAAAAGTCCTTTTTACAAATGAAAGTTTTCATAAAGTAAATTGCTTTATGAAGCAGCGGCCAAAAATCTCATTAGTTACCAAATTAGTGGGAAAATTCCACTAATCTGGACTTTTACAAACTAGCGCGCTGTGCGCTGGTTTGTAAGTGATTTGGACATGGCCATTCTTACGCTAGTCGTAGTTCGGCCGTCTAAATTTGTCATCGTACTCAAATTGTAAATCAGCTACTGCGCATGCTCTATGGACTCAGACTGCTTCACCCGGATCCGTGGCATCAAATTTTGCCTTTTTTATCGTTCTTTTTATCGTTGTGAAGCAATGTTTACACAGGGCAAAGATTTGATGTTAAGAATTTCGCTATCAACCAAGGTAAAAAGATTGAGTTTCACTCTTTCATTTGATTTGTTCTTTTTGGTCAATTATTATTATTTTTTTCGATAGATATTTCTGTCATTCAGTATTCTGTTAGCATTTTCATCTCTTTGACATTTTTATTTGAGTTGATTTCTGTGTAGCTATTTTAGCATTTGTCATTGAAGCATTTGTCAAGATATTCATCTACTGATTGCAACACGAAAGGTAATTGATTTACAATGCTTTAAAATCATATTTATGTTTAAAATACTATTAGCTCTTTCTGCTCAATGTGCATGCGCTACCTGAGATGCTAAAAATCTTTAAAAGAAAATTTAAGCAAAACGCTCTTTTATAGCAAACTTTAGCTTAGACTTAATGGAAATGTTCAATTCAATCTATCCAATGCTCAATCAAAATGCTCCAATCTTGTTATCATATGTTATCATAATGCTAAATTATTAAGTATCTACTTTTGTGTTATGTTTATTGTAGAAAAAGGATACCAGTAAGTGAATTATTTATTTTTATTTTCTTTGTGTGATATGTGATGTTAATGTGTTTTTTATTTCTCATCTTTTGAATAAAATATTTTCATGGTTTGAGCAAGTTAGAGAAGCTGTTGTTTTTCGTACAGTACTAACTGTTGTATTAATGTTTTATCTATATTTTCTTTGTTTCGTCTATATCATGTACAAAATTTAATCATGGTTGTTAATGTTGCAGTGGTGAAAATGGTGTTGAACCATTAGCAGGAGCTAATAATGCACAACCCAATCATTATGAAGAGGCTGGACAACTGAGAGAAAATGCTTATTAATCTGTTGGTAATCAATATGAAACAGTAAATAATCCATCAACAAGTGATGAAAGTAAACCATCAACAAGCAAAGCACCACCACCTGTTTATGCCTCGATCGATAGAGAAAATAGAGAAGGAAATCCAGTTTGTTGTGGATCTTTTTCATTTATTATTTAGAAATAGGATTTGTGCATTTATTTTGTTTTAGTTGGATTATGGCAATGATTAATTTGAATGCATCATGGGATTATGCAGGGGTTAAAAACTGCTCGTATGTGAAAGCACCCGATATTTAGAATTATTGTTATTTAGCAGTAATTGATTCTCAAAGACCTGTAAACACACTTGAAAACAATACATACGAATTGCTTCATTGAAACTTGATTTTATATTAGACGAGTGTCTCTAATAAGCGCTCAGTCTGCAATAGACAAACCCGGCACATTGTCATAATTTAAATTTTGTTATCGATTGGGCTAAGAAACCGTATATTTAGTCTTGACTTTGTTTCTGTTTGCTCACAATAAGGTGATAGAAAATGGTGTAAACGTCTCTCTCTATTTCACTACTCGTGTCAACTGAACGTCCCTCCCCTCTCTCGAACTGCTTTGGAATTTATTTAACGTCACGGGTTTATTAGATTATTTACGATGATTAAAAAACCTACATATATTTTATCATCATGTATATATGATAAAGTATATACAAAGTGTATAAAAATGTGCCCTCCTGGCTATCACCATAGTAAAATGGTGACTCCTGCACTTAGGACACAGGATGTACGGTTACACATTGTATGGATTGTTTTGTAACCAGAGTGCTCAAACATAATAGAAAGAAACAATGTGTGTAATGACAATATATACGTATTTTTTCTGTAGTTATACTCCTCACTTGATTTAAAAGATGTCCCTTAAAAAAACCCGGCCCAAAATCGTCCTGCACCGACTAAATGCGCCAGTATTGATATGAGCAAACTGGCACCTGTCGAGAAAAAAGACGACAAGAAAAAAGACGACAAGAAAGGCGGTGACAAAAAAGGCGATGAAAAGAAGGTATAGTAAGTTTTATCTTTTGGAAAAGATCCACAAAGCTCGACGTCATCGATTGATGGTTGAAGAAAAAAGTAAAAATTGATTCATTTCTTGAATATTTTTTTAAAAAATGCCGAAAACATGTTTTTCTGTTTCTTATTATGGTAGTTTAATCTTATTATAAATTTCCTTTAGAACTGGCGATCGTCGTTAATAAAACAAGAGTACGTAAAGACTGTTACTACATTTATAAAGTTTTATTTTGTTCTTTATTATATAATCTAGATTTGATCTCTAAACAGTACTAAACTGAATACTTTATGATTGTGTCTGTGTACATAATCTTTTGCCATGAACAAACTTGAATCTTGGCATCTATGCTACAGTTTGTGAATGTATTTTACTTGCCTTTATAAGGCAACAACATTACACACTGACTTTAACACAGCATTTTGAATAGAATATTGTTTTAATCGTAGTTTTACTTTTATTATTTTAATTATCAAGGTTAAACCATTTAAACTTTTATTTACATAGAAATTAAGTGTAGAAATTAGATAGAAAAATCAATCAATTTCAAGGAGTGCGATGGAAAACTCTTTAAATTGCTTCTTTACGATTGAATGATTTCATATGCATTGTGTAAGGGATGTTTACGAATAAAACAATTTCGTGATCATTATTATTTTTGCTTCTTTATTTTCGTGTCTACTGTAGATGTGAGATTTGACCTACCCCCAAAGACAAGCTAACATTGAGTGGCTTTGTTTCAGCATTCTTGGCGGTATTAGAAATTTTTTGATTTAAAAATTTCTAGAAAGACAGAAAACTGCAAATTAAACAATTTAAACAAAGAAATAAATAGGTCGTTAATGAAACACGTGAAATTCTTTCTGTTTCTGAAAAGTAAATTATTTGAAGCTTTGGCAGGTATTAATTAATGAGTTCATTATTACATAATTTTATTGGGGCTTCTGAATATGTGTATTAAATTTTTAATGAAGTATTTTGTGTGGGAGGTTGGGGTTATGTTGCTATTATACTTCCGCATGAACTGGTAAAAATTCACGTTTCACTGACAACTGAAGGTAATTTTTGCAATGATTTGACCTTAAAAACTGTTTGTGCATCCCATCACAACCAAAAGTTTTGCTGCATTTAAAAAATATTTACTTCAAATTAATGCTAGAATAAATTCAGTTTCACAACACAGAGTATACCACTTGGCAATTGTAGGAAATAAAAATCACACTCTAAGTATGATTTTTTCTATTCAGACAAAGTATGTGATGGCGAATTTTGGCTTTCTCTCACTGATTTCACTCAGTTTCATATCTTCTTATCAAGGTACATTATATTTCATGTTTTTTGTGTGTATTGTTTTAAAGGCAAGTCACATTATATTAGTGATGTTTAGTTTTGCATGATAAAACACTATTGAGATTGCGTGGACAAGATTTGCTTCAAAAAGATTTGATCAAGAAATATTTCATATTAGCTTCATACCATTAACACAGGCACATCAGAGCAAGTGTACGCCAATCATTTTGCTGTATTTCAAACTTGAGATATGATTGTAATGTTGTGAATACTTCCGAAAGCAAATGTGTCATCAATATCCGAAAAACATGCCAAATGAACCCTTTAGCGAATTTTTTTAAAACTTGTTTGCCATTTCGTTTGGTGATTGTTTCAGATCTGCTACATTGACAAGTAAAAGTTTAAGGACTAAATAATAAATAAAAGCAACGAATTTTCCATCATGTGCATGAAAAAATTGCACGAAGGCAGTGCATTTTTTCATCATACAATGAGGCACTCCAAACTATAAGTCATTATCAATAGCTTAGGTTAAGGATCTTAAAAAATGATTTATTTCATTTGAAGTTTTTTTGAAAAGTTTTATTGGTGCGATATACAACGAATTTGTTTAGCCATATTTTTTTTGCGTGGAAAGACTAAGGCTGGGGAGGAAGCAGCTACAATCAGACAATCTCCTACAATGTCACCACCATTGAACTAAAATACACATTGTGATCAAACACCGTAATTTTAATTACTTTCAGTAAATTTTGGTAATTAGAAAATTTTAGTAATTTTTGACTTTGTAAGAATAAGATTCAGTATCAAATTTTCGTAAGTTTGAAACTCTTGTTTTCCATGGCAATAAAGTTTTGTTGTTTGCATGTGTCAGTTGCACGTTTTGAGCTTTTGAGCACGGTCTAGCTATGTATAAATAATAGCAAGAAAATTCTGTAAGTATGGAAACACAGAAGGGCAATTTTGAAGTTATGGAAGCACAATCAAAACAAGCAATAAAATATCTTGATAGTTGGTTGGATTGTAATAATGCTGTTTAGCATTTTGCATTATTTAGGTATGTTTGTAATTTATTATACTGTAAATGACGTTTAATAAAGTCAAGCGGCTGTAGATGGGGCGTTTGTTAGAGACGTTTATGTCATTCCATCACCTTAGAAAGTTTTGTTTCATTCTGAGCCAAATCGAAAAACAACTGTAATAATAATATTATCATAATGATAGGGGGTCACTAATAAAGAAAAGCCAGAGCATTTATGATTTATTGTGGAGAGCGGTCATTGGTTTAAGTGAAATACACTTTAGAGAGGGGCGTTTATTAAATATGAGGTGTTTATTTGATAGAGGGCATGGGAACGAATTTGGTAATTTTTTATTGATTTTAGTATTTTTGGAGCTTGGCTTGGTAATTTACTTTCAGAAAGTCTGGTCACGGTGGGGCACATTGATTAAATACATCTATTTTACTCAATGTATTTTGGTTCAATGATCACCACTTAGCATTCCAGTTTTATCATTTCAATAAAAATACGCCATTGAATTACCATAGTGAATATATTGAGTGAATATATTCACAGAAATATGAAATACGCCCATCGAAACTGCATAATCAACAACGACATCATGTACGTCAAACGTTGCGAAGCAGGAAATTGATTTTTTTTGGAAATTCTCACGGAAGAAAACCAAATTACGTGGGTATGTTACATTTTGCTGTATTTTTAGTGGAATAGCGTACTTGTCCTTGTTGTCTTGAATGAAAATATTGTTTTGCTGTAAAGTTTTGGCGTAAATATTCATGTAATTCTACAGGCGCTATTGAAACGAATCTCTTATCGAGAATTCTTAGTTCAAACTAAAATTAGCCAATACTAAAATTGTGTTTGTGAAGGAAAATAAATTTTAGTCTGAATTTGAGAAAATCTTCAATAATATGGTACACAAGTGTATACGTTAAAATACAACAGCTTTTTGTTTTTGTATGCTGTGATGAAGATTTCTTTAACTTAACGTCGCTTTAAACAAAACTTTTTAAGAATTTTGATGCATTTTGAATTTCATAATTTTAAAAGACCAAGAAAAGACACTACATTAAATACTAAATGAGTTTGTTGGGTTTCATTTCTTCTTTGATTCTTGAAAATATTTCTGTACTTCCTGTTGTACAAGGGCATGTTTACATGGGAATAGTGTACCATACTTGCAAGGCTATATTTTTGTGTAGGGTGACTCTACCATTGATAGGTCTGTGTATTACTATTAATGACAGCAACATCAGCATGTTGTAGACTTGATTGCAGATGAAACATTTTGCCTTCCTTGAGGCATATTTATAAATATCCATAATTCAGTCTAAGACCTCTGAAAATTGTTTCAAATTCATTTTCATTATATTAAATTCACATTGAGTGTTTTTATTTTCAATGAAGACTTAACATTCATAGCGAGCCTGAGCTAAAAAACAAGAATTTTCACAGCACTAACCATGTTAACTCATGATTTTATTTTCAAAGATCATAATCATTAAAATTTATCATTTAATTTCTTAGTGAAAATGGTAAAGACAAATTTAGTATTTTCGACTGTTACATTGATCACATTTCTTGGTCTTGCCAAAGGTATTTAACTTCAAATAAGCATTTCTTTTTTTTTACTTAAATGATTTTTGATGTATTTTTAGTTGTTGTTGTAGTAATATTTAATTAGTTTATTTTTTATTCGCAATTTTTGAATAGAACCTGAATTTAAAATATCAATTACTTTTGTTATGTTAGTAGAAGATGTATTTTTCCCTAAACTATCTTTTTATCAGTCATAGATATCAGCTAAATTTCAATTTCAGGAACAATAACATCTCCACCTGATGGTCAAAGATTTGTACTTTTACCTGGATCTTCTCACAATATAACTTGGACATTTAATGTTACTGGAAACATTATTACAAGGCTTTGGAGTTTTACACCTCGTGGTTCATCTTCCCCTCAACAACTTGCATATACATTTTCTAATAGTGACACACCCGAATATTTTCCATCACCTTTAACATTTGAAGTTTTTAAACCTGGAACTTCGAGGCTGAAGAATGTAAATCAAAGTTACAATGGGGAATTTACATTTAGAATTATAATTACTCCTCGTACTCTTTTATCAAAAGTAAATGTTTATATTGCTGGTAAGTTTTAATTATTTCAATCTTTCTTGTATTGTATACATTGTTCTGAGTATTTAATGGGGGAAACTTGGCCTGAAAATTTTGCCGAAGAAACGTTTATAACTGTTCTTGTGTCATTGCAAACTTTCTTTTTCGGAGTTGGATCTTTAGTACATTTGACAATGCTTCTGCTACTCATGCAATTGTAACAATTAGTGGCAATAATGGAGACCCAAAATATGATACATCAGTCCTTAAGTCATTCGGTTTAGATGTTGAAGTTTTTAAGCCTGCAACTCTAATGTTAAAGAATGTTACTCAAAGTTACATTGGTGTTTATAAATTTACCTAACTCCTGATCCTATTGACTCATCTTTAGACGTGTGTATTGCGAGTAAGTTGTATTTATTATTTTTAACTTAGCAGTGGGGTTATCCAAGCCTTTCATATAATCTGAGTAGCTGTAGCATTAGGCGTAATAATACGATATATGACCGCAGTCTGGAATCCTATAGCTAAATACTTGAGCCGTTGAGCGAAGACAAATGCGAAGACTTGTTTTGTTTTGTTTTAATTTAAAGAGGAAATTATGAGGCATCTTTGATTTGAATAATGTATGTTAAAGTGCTTGTATCACAGATTTACTACATTTGAGTATAGGACAAAAAATTAGTCATTGATACCACTTTCGACTTTTGTGGTATAAAATTTGATATCAATTGATCAACTGGTCATATCACTATTATGTCTCGCCGAACAAAGAACAGTCTATCCACGATTATATGATTTCATAATATTGCAGTGCTAGTGTAAAAAAATCCACTCGACATGAGCGCAGTATGCGCATGCGAATTGTCACCAGTCTCCTGATTAGTAACTGTAGGGAGCCTCCTTTAGACAAGATCAACATCAGCTCCTTCATATGCAGTGCTTTGATTTATGTCTTTTGAGTGTCTTTTGAGCTGACGATTGACTTTTTAAGGTTTACTGTCCGAAGAAAGCCACCG